TATAGGCGGTTTATTAAGATCTAAACACTTAGATATCTAATAACTCTATTTATTATAATAAAAACAACTATTCTTCTTATAGTCAGAGTTAAAGAATTTAGCTTTACGCTTTACGCTATCGTCTTAAGTGCGTACTATATAAGCGCCGCCATTTAAAATTAATTTAGACTTCGAAATTCGATTCTTTAGAGAGCTTATCCTTAGCGAACCCCCTCGAAGACTTTAAATAAAAACCGCCGTCTGAAGCGTATATATTCTAAAATCTTTTCCTATATAATAGTCTAGATAAGAATTTTTTTCTATTATTTCGATATACTATTAGTATTTAAGATCTTATTCTTAAGCTCTAATCTAAGTTTAGTTAAAAAGAAATTAACTTGATACTTCTTAGAAAATAAGATTATATAGACCTCTAGCTCCTTTAAATAGATCTTAAAAATAAATACTTTCTAATCGAAGCGTTATTTAGTCTTCTCCCACTTTTCGTATAGACGAGAAGATAACAATTTACTAAATCCGCTACTAAATCAAGTAGAAACTACTTAAAGAATTCGAAAGTTATATCTTCTAAGATTATAGATTTAATAGTATTTATACTATTAAATATTAAGAGTTACCTTTTAAGAATTACATATAATAAATAATTCTTAATTAATTAATAGTAAAATATTTAGAACTTATAAAAAACTTAATTTCGACTTCGCGAAATTAGCGTAAATACTCTCCCTTACTAATACTCTTATAAGAACATATTTTTTTAAAGCGAAGTATTTTTGCCTTAATTAATATATCTATTAGAGAGTGATAGTAATAATAACCGACGTAGATAGGCCTCCGCTAATTATAAATAATAAGCTAATATTATAAAGCTCGCGATTATAAGTCTTTAACGTAGTTAATTCTTATTCTTATTTTAAGCGACGATTTTCGACCTTAGCGATTATAAGACGTTCTTTTATAGTAAGATCTTTTATTAATAAGAAATTCTTGAACTTATTATCGACGCTATAGCGGCTCTTAATATTATTTTTGTTTTCCATTATATAATTTAGAGATAAACTTAATATTATAACGATAATAGATCTTTTCCTTTAAAAGGTAGAGAGATTAGAATTATAAGAGCGTAGTTTACTAGTAGTTAGCTTATAAATATAGACTATAAAAGACGTAATATCGTTATAGAGTTTAATAGTATATTTAATAGTAGAACTAATTTCTAAAAAATATCAAAACTTCGAGATATATATATAAAACGTAGACATCTAGAATATTCGTTAAGACTAACTCTAAAGAGAAAATATACGAGATATATATTATCTAAAGTTATAACGTTAGAGTAAATACTTATAAGGGACAATCTAAGAATTATAAAGAATAAAAATAAATAATTAAAGAAGTTTTTATAGGCTTTATTATAGCGCTATTATTAGTAGATAGTACTAGTAATATAAAAAAGCGCCGCGATTATAATTCGCTATTATCTATAAAGTGCGTTATCTAACTAATTATTATTAATAATTAATAACGAGATATTATCGCGAACGCGTCGCTCTATCGATTACTTTTTTTAAATTTCTATAATAAAGATTATTATTATATTACTTCGCTATAAATATAATACGCTATAAAAACAATATTACCTATAAAGAAACTCTTCTCTCTTTATTTATCTATTAAATTTTTTAAGATTTTATTATAAGCTCCTAAATCTAATATTATTCGCTATAGAAGATTATTAATTAACGCTATAAAAACATTAATATTAAGCGTATCGACTTACTATAAATTATTATTAATTAATATTATAAAAGTAATATTATTCTCGAAGATAGTATTAATATTATTATATAATATATTAATAATACGCTTATAACGCGTAATAGTTAGTTTTACTATCTTATTAAAATAATATTATAATAAATTGACTCTTTTCCTTATTTCTCTATTAGAATTTAAAGATTTTTTAATAAGTATTCTATTTCTACTTAGATATTTAAAAATTAAAGTCTAAAAGAGAAGATAATTATTAAATCTTAATACTATTATAAACCTTAACGCTACTTATATTAAGACGTCGATATCATATATATTATATTAATATTTCTTTTAAAGTTTAATTTTAATAACGTACTTCGTATATACTTAGAGGCTTAGCGAATATAAATCTACTTTATATATCTTAGAGTTTTAATATTTCTTAAAGATTTAGTTCTACTATTATTAAATATACTATTAAATCTTATAACGATATTATATCTTTTATAGTCGCTATATTCGCTAGCTAATCGTTAGTAAACTACGCTCTTATAAGAAAGCTATAAGAGAAATAAAGAAAGTAGTTATACGACGTTAAGTTACGCTAGACTAAGCTCTATTAAGTAATAAGTTTATAGAAACGTAATAACTAAATTCGAATTATAGTTCGCTAGAGGTAAAAATAAGTTCGATAGAGATAAAGCTTCGATATAGAGTATTTTATAGAATTCTTAGCGAGAGCTTTCGATTAATAGTCTATCTCGCTAAATTTTATCTAAATTATTATTAAAGATAAATAAAAGATAAAATAATAATTATATATTGATATTAATTTTTTTTTTTTTTATTTTAATTATTAATTAATAACTTAATTAATAATATTATATAAATATATATAAATAATAATTTTATTTTATTTATAGATTATATTATTATTATTATATTATATAAATAATACTTTAATTCTAAAAAGCTTTTTATAAGAAAGAGATATATAAATCTTTTACTAGCTATTAATAATAAATAATCTTTATTTTTTTTAAATATAATTATAAAAGAATTTAAATATAGTTATTAAAGAAGATAATATAAATAATATAGCGATAATAGATATTTTTATTATATCTACTTTTAAGATATCTAATTTAAAACTTATTATAAAATCTTTTATATTAATAATATTAATATTAAAATCTAAATATTAATATAAATAATAGAATAAGATAGAGTTAAGCTTAAAAATCTTAAATTTATATATATAGCTAATTATAAATTTAAAGTTATTACGCTCTTTAATTAGATCGACTAAGTTATCGCGAATAAATAAATTAGCGTTTATAACTATTAAAAAAATAGATATACGTTAACTATTAAAAGATAGATATACGTTATTAATATATAGAATAACTTTTTTATTTTCTATTAAAATTTTGAGTTATTTTTTTAAATTATAGAACGAAATATAAGCTTTTAGAAAAAAATAATTTAAATTTAGTCTTATAATTATTAAAGCGTAAGGAATTCAAATATCGCTCATTAAAGTTTAAAGATCGCTTATCTATTTACTCGATAGCCCTAATTAAAAAAAAATTATGAATTTAATTTATAGGCCTTTACTCGTTTAAATATAATAAAATAGATTTAATATGGCAAAAAAAAAGAGTAAAAAACGGTTGGTCATTATCGAACACCGTACCGGAGCTGTTTTGGCCCCCGTGCCCCCACGGCAGCCTCAACTGCCAAAAACCCCGCTAAATTCAGCCCTGAATATCTGCCCCGCCTGCCAATGAGGATCCCTGGAGAAAGATCTTACTCGTTCCTTCAATTCCTGTTACGCACTGCTATCAATACACATGAAATAAATCTCGTACCTCAGATCGATTACATTGCCTTACATTCTCATCATATCAGCTAGTTCTAAAGTCCCTACTCAACACCAGATAATAACATGCCTGACGCATGGGACGATGACTGGATAGCCAAAGGCGATTCGTCACCTTCTAAGACTGAGCCTGCCCCAATTAGCACAAAGACATCCAAAGCAGAACGACGGGCGAAGCAGGCCGAATTCAACCGTCAGCTATGGGAAGATGCTGAAGACCCACAAGACAACTTCTTCCTCAAGTCTCGGGACATCGTACCACTCAAATCGGAGTTCAGACCTGCTATGAAGGTGCTGAGCAGGAAGCCGGAGAAGAGCTCAGCAACTAATGTGGAGGGAATTGGTCAGCTGAATATCGATGACGACGATGAGAGCGAAGATGAAAATAAGAAGCATCATTTGACTGCTGAGGAACGGCGGGAGAAAGCTCAAAGGGAGAGGGAAGAGAAGCAGAAGAAGTATGAAGAAGTGAGGCAGAAGCTGTTTGGCAACGATCAGTCCTCGTGTGCCACTGCTGCATCTGGTCCAAGGAAGAACACCTCGAAAAACGCCCCTCCCGGAACCAAAGCAGGAATAAGACTAGCAGAGACAGTCGACCTTCGTCATCTGCGAGCAACCAGACTGGGCGGTTGTATGATCCTAATGATACAGGCAAACCAGGGGTGTCCTCAGTTCTACGGAAAGAGACGAAAGCAGAGCCAAATGAGTTACAGCCTATCAGATCTCCACGAGCCCCTGATAATAGTGGCAGAGGGGGTTTTGGATTCGCTCCTCGAGGCGGCAAGCCTGCTTGAATGGCTTCTATATACGATTGGCATGTTTTGGCCGCCTTTAGATTGCCGCATACCGGCAATCCTAGGATCTACAAACACAATAACAAGGAAAATGGTCCATACGGGGGCTAATTCTTAAGAGCGAGGGAAGAAGAAGCAAGCTTTGGAACAGGTGTGGCCACTGCTGAGTAACTCGAAAATAATACAAAGTGCCTCCCAAGCAGGCCCAATGCTTGGCTCTTGCACAATTCGGTACGATGAAGTCAACCGAGACAGGTGTCACGAATCAATTATGCAAGCCATGTGTCAAATTTGTGGCAGGTATGCAATGCTCTTCGGGATGCACGGTCACTCGTTCGTTCCTAGCGAAGTCATCTCACGTCAAATTAGCTGGAATGGAGGGGGCCATCACAAGCGGTCCTACTCTTACGACTGAGAACTTATAAAGAGCCAGATCCAATTCTGTGTGTGACCCGCAGGCGAACATTCCATTTTTTCCTTTACTCTCATTGAAGGCTGCACATCGACAGACTGACATTCAGCCTACATACACAAGTGTCACCGCTATATCAATATCAAAAGCCACAATTATGCATCTATTCACCCTCGTCTCCCTCGCTGCAACTGCTCTCACCGCCTCCGCCAACCCTGCTCTCTTCCCACCACTACTCCCTTCGTTCTTTCCTGCCGGACCTACAGTGGGCTCCATCGTTTCCACTGCCCTTGCCGCGGCTCCGATCCCCTCAGCAGTCGCCCCCGTCGTCGCTTCCGCCGTTGCAGCTGTCCCAGCTACCCCCAACAATGCCAGTGCTGACTCGATCCCCGGCCTCGACATCCCGCCCACTGAGCTCTTTGACAACATCTTGGCCGCCATCGCCATCCTCGATGTTGTCTTGACTCTGCTCAACTCGTCCGGGTTGGCGGATACCCAAAGTGTAAAGATTCGCGATCTTGATCTTCCGACTTCGGGATTGACGGGTTTGCTGGAGGTTGGGGGGAGTCTGGGGTATACCATCACGACTGTGACGGATTTGGCCATTCCTCTTCTTAGCACTAGCGTTGACTAGGATTGCATTTTCTCACGGAGCGGATCGGGGGAAGCATGTTCTCTGATTTGCGGGGGTCCACTCCATCTTATGGCTTTCAAAAGTTCTCCTTGTTCGCTTCTCCAGACAGAGCATATGATGGATTGCCAGGTCTGGCCGAGTTGAGGGTGGTCCTGGCGGCTGGCCTAAGTTTAGTACTGATTTGGGAGAAGGGGTAAGGGATATGTGTGGCTTATTCCATGTTTTTGTGCTGCTTGTCGACCTGTCGGTAGCCGAAACAATCATACCACTCGTTGAGTCCCACAAGTCTCCGTCTTAGTAGATTCCTTTGTAGTCAAGTCCTCTTCCAATGTCAGTAATTTCTCTGCAGGAACGATCCTGCAATATGCTGGCTATCTTGCGGACGTGACATCCAACCTGAGCTCCGCGGCGAATCTACCGATGGTTTTTGCAGCAATGCCTCCGGAATCACGACCGTTGTTTGACCAACTTGTAGCTGTACAAGAACAATAGTTGGTGGTAATTCTACGGATTTGGACCCGGATGTGGTGACCCGGCCCATTCACTCTCCCTAAAGACGAGGCCAAACACCTGTAAGGCACGCTCGCTGAATCTCAGAGTCCTCGTGTCCAACGGTGTCATCGTCGTGCTACCAGCCTCCACCAATCTTCCCCGCCAGTTCCACCACTCTCTCATTCTCCGCTCCTCCAACCTTCCCGACGTCACTCTCCACCTTCCGATAGCTTGTCGTAACCAGCTTCCGCAGATCAATACCGGTCGTCTGCGCCCAGTGCTCCAGCACCTCCCTGACACGCGTCGTGTCGATACCATTGATTCTGTTTTTTTCCTCCACTTTCCCCGCTTCTTCGTTGTCGTTGTCGTTGTCGTTGTCGTCAGTATTCATAGCGTCGTCAATCTCATTCTCAGATTCACTCTCAGACATCGAGTAGTATGCTTCGTCGACTCTAGCCAACCACTCCTTCTGGCTCATGGCTGTTTCGGGCTTGATAGGCACATCATCAACTTTGATCTGCCCGCCTCCGTTCGTGCAACCACCTGGACACGCCATCACCTCCACATATGCATAATCCATCCCTGCTCCTCCAGTAGCAGATGCAGCTCTTGCACTAACCCGTCCGCCTGGTAGTCTGCTTTTCTTCTGAGGCTTGAGCTTCCGTACCAGGTTTTGTATGTTTCGGAAGCCATAGTAGCGCGCTGCTTTGAAGATGGGCTGTTCTTGATTGGGAGAGGTAATGGCGTACTCGACGACGTCGGCGTTACGGCCGCGGGTGGTTTTCAGGGAGCTAGAAGGATTGAGACTGAGTTGGGCTTGGAGGATATGATGGAGATAGCCTCCTGAGGTGCCGGCTTCGGAAGCCTGCTTTCGGTGGTATTTCGGGAAGAGGAAGGACGAGAGCATGGGATCGGGGAAGGCGGGTCGCGGAGATGGGGGTGCGAGGTAAAGCAGGGAAACTGATCCCACGAGTATCGGCCAGCATCAAGACCTCGCGAGCCGTAATAACGCAGTCGACGTCGCGGACTGGTTGGGCCAAAGCAGTGGTGGATGGAGGCCGCCAATAGATGTCGGTGAGCTCTTCACGAGAAGCTTCGAGCTTTTTGTCAAAACACGGCATTATTGAGACGTGCCATATCTGGTCGGGGCGTATATTGAGACATTGTGAAAGGACGGTCTTGAGGAGGGTGCCGGTGAGAGCTTGAGGGGATCTTAAACATGAGAGGTGTGGGAGGACGTGTGGGTGGGTCTTTTCCGCGTAGCATATCCAGCCTGGACAGGCCGAGCTGAGTATAGGCTTCTTAGGTATTGCCGTTGAGGCGCTGTCGTCGTTGGAAGCCGCTTGTAGGCCAGGTGTTTGCAGGGACTCCATCACCTCGTCTGCTCCCAAGACCAAACTTGCTTCCCGCATAGCATTCGTGTCAACAATCCAGGTGAAGCCATTGCCATATTTCCCCCCTGCCGCTAGTCCTTGTGGGCCACCCAACAGCTGATCGATCATCCATCCAGCTTCTGCCTCCGAGACACCGTAGGTAGCGGCCACACTCGCTCGCACCTGTGGGCTAACGCTGGCAACAAAGAGTCTCCCTTCCTGTTGATTTGGTCCATATTCACTGCCAGTTGTAGAAAAATCGATGGGGTGTTGTGAATCTAGTGCGTTGAGTACTTCTGAATGAGATTGGAGCGATACCAGCACAGCTTCTGCAGAGGTAACGCATCCCGAGCAGGCTAGACAGTCTGTTAAGGAGATTTGAGCAGGCGGAGCACTTTGCTTTTGGAGCTTGTCTTCCGTTGTTACTTCGTAAGCCTATGACCCACTCATTAACAGGAGACAATGGAAATACTGAAGGTGGGCGGGCATACATTGATCTCTTCAGGTGCTTGTTTCGGTAGTGTCTCAACAGGTTTGATACATGCTACACCTGGTGAGATGAAATCATTTAGATCGTCAGCAGACAGGATTGCAGACATGTTGCTGTCGCTTTGACAGACAAAGAGATGATATTAATGCAGACATTGAGGAGCAAATATATTTGCCATCACGCGCATGATCCACACCGAAGTTCAACCGGGGGGGTGGCAAAAATCGCGTCACAGTTTTACCCGCTGTCAGAAACTACGGCAACCAACACGACAGGGCAACCTTCGAAAATCCTTTTCATTTTCCATTTCCATTTCCATTTTGAATACTCGCTTATCCTACAACATTGCTTCACACCAAGACACTTAATTTAGATTCTGAAGAGTGTAAATTATAGCGCGTATTCTATAATGTAATTTAGAATTCGAAATATATTATTTAACTTAATATTAACGAAGTAATATTTAATTAAAGATTTAAATAGTATTTATAAAAGTTAGCGAGAGTACTAGCCCTAACCCTACTTTTAAAAATACTTCCTTAGAAAATATTATATAAATTAAGTTTTAGATATCTTTCTAAGACGTAATAGAAAAATACTCTAAGCGTATTATTTAAAGATCTTTACGTAAAAGTCTTAACGTTTAGTATTCTAATATAAATCTTATACTCTATAGAGTTATCGTATTAATTTTAATGGATTAATATAGAATTGAGAGGTGGCTATGAAATATGGTTTTACGATTTCAGAAAATCGAATTCGCGGGGTTGACCCTCCTGCACTATGGGTTGCCGTAGATAGGGGCTCACAGCTCGGCAGGGGTGAAAAAAGTTCGGCAGGGGTGAGTAGATGCTAAGTATAGCACCTCGTCCGGGGGAAAGGGATACACTAGCATATGCCAGCACCTCATCGGGGTGAAGAAAATTAAATTTAGTTCAGCGACGTTAGCCCACGCGGGTAACTCATCCACAAATTTTATCTATCGCAAATTTCACTCGGCTCCCGCGCATCAGCCACCTGATTTGACGTATCAGGACCCCCCGAAGAGGTTTTGGACATATCACATACCTGATATTTTGGCACTTGAGGGGGTTAAGGCATATACTAAGCATATGCCTCAATCTCCGTAATCTGTGACATTATTTTCGACCCGGCCCGAGTTCATCCGGGGTGAAAGGATACGTTCAGCATATGCTATGGGTTCATCTGGGGTGAAGTGAGCATATGCTGAAGCTCACCCCTGCCGAACTTTTTTCACCCCTGCTGAGCTGTAACCCGCCTAAGGAACCCTTACTCCACACAATCGTACATTCCCATTCACAATTGCTATTCCAAGGTCAACACCCACAAATTCTGTATCTATGCTTGATTTGAAAAGCTGCGAGGTAGAAGGTGTTAAGACATAGCCCCCAATAATGGAATTGAAACGTGGTCCCCGAGAATGCAATGCAGTTTTGCGCACACACCCACCGGTAGCTGGAAATTGGAAAATGACATTACACAACCTCTAATAGCTTTCGAAGCGTGGATACAATGGTCTCCTGAACATCGAGTGAATCGTCGTACTCCTCATCTCCTGAGTTGCTGGGATTGGGCTCTGCATTTAAGCAATCCATCACGAGCTTGCTGTAAACCTTACCCATTTGGAATTCAAGATCAGCCCTAATGCTGCAGCTTCCTCGCTCTTCCAACAGTCTCTGTTTCTCTTTGACCATTGAGTAATACTCCGTGGCATCCTTAGGCGCCAGTATGGCTAAAGAAGACGCCGCAGGTGAGGTAGCGTCTTTCTCATCCGATTGACTTCTTAATTGTTGCAGCAAGATTGTCGGCAAAGGCAACCAGAAAGCCAATTCAAGCAGGACGCAGCCAAGGCTGTACAAGTCGAATTTCTTGTTAAAGGAAGCCCTCCCGTGGCCCAGCGATCTAGGATGCCGATACAACTCCGAATGCGGCTGTGACGAGGGGGCCTCCGTAGTTTCGAGTGGATTGTCTGCTCTTGCGTACTCGTAGCCGCCAAGATAAGCTGATGACAGGTCGTCCTTACTGCTCCATTGCTCCGTGCCAGATTTAAAGATCAGGATATTGTCTGCTCGTATGCCTTTGTGCAGCCAGCCGGCTGTGTGGAGCTGAAGGACCGTTTCCGCCAACACAATGGCAATGCCTAAGCGGTTGTTGAGGCTCGGACGTTGAGAGGCTAGGTACAGGAGTTCCTTTAACGACCACATGGAAAAGGCGGTACCCAAAGCTTTTGGAGGACTAAACAAATAGGCGTACCGGCCTGACTTGGGTGCTTTGAGGAAGCCAAAACACGTCAAAGAGTGGAAGGCGGGGTTTGTCATTTCTGTTAGAAACGCTGCGACTTTCTTGATGCGATATTTCAGTTTGGACTCGACAGCACTTGCCACATCCTTCCATTCGACGATGACGGTATTCCCATCATATTGTGCAACTTCTCGAGACACCGTCGCGGAGACGTGGCCCTGACAGAGCAGAAGCAGATCGGAGCTATGCTGCAAGTCCTTAGCCCCTTTCAGCAGCGAGCTTCTATGATGTGTGGTGGACATCATCGTTGTCGATCTAGCACGCTGAGAAGTACCAGATGGCCCACAGCTCGGCAATCCAATCAACTCCAGTAGGAGTCCTTTGTGTCTTAGTCTGGCAGCCGCAGCAACAGCCCCATCAACCATGTCCAGGGGTCCGCTCATGGCATCCAACAATGCTCTGTCTGGGCTCTGAGCCACAATCGATCGCAGCACTGTATTTCCATCATTATAATTTGATTCCTGGTCTAATGGGTGCAGCACACTTAGAAGCTGTTCGTTGAAGTAGCGGATGTCCTTCAGGAGTACTCTGAGTCTGTCCGAGTCGATCGCGCCCCACTTGACCTTTTTCCAAGCATTGTTCCGTCTTGCGTACACTTTCGCGGTGTCATTGATGAATTGGGGTTTTGTCTTCTTTAAGAAAAATCCAAAGCGACGGTTCGGGGTTTGTAACTCTCTGATCTCTTCCTCTGTGACGGTGATATCAAGCCCATAGTTCTCCTTGAGTTCCGCTGCGTTGGTCAGGAGCTGTTCAAGATTCGCAAGGGTTTTGTGAACGAGCATGGGATTGGAGACATTCAATTCCGGTGGATCTTTAAATAAACCCACGGTTCTCGCCCATTTGTGGAGGCAGTAGTGCTCCCATTCTAGCTGACATGCAAGCACATCGCCTCTACTTCCAAGCTCCTGAGCAGTAGAAAGTAGCACAAATCCTTTGATGCACCCATCGAACAATTGGAAGCTCAAGGATATGAAGCTGGCGATAGAAGCAGCTTCTCCAATGCCGGCCATATGAGTCCCGGTGTCCTAGCGCCACTAAGATCTTGTTTAGGATTCGCGTATTTCTGTCCTACTCGAGTATCTTCGTAGGCTGTTTATTAGCTTTGCAAACCATCATCAAACCGACTGGAGGTAGTCATACCACTGTATCGGCATGGGGCAGTCGAAGTCGTCAAAAGCAAAAAAAAAAATAATAATAACATAAGGAGATTTAAAATATTATTTATAGGGATATTATAATAATAGGGCGGGTAATATAAAATTATTTTCGCGAGAGGTATAGCGAAGTATAAATATCTCTATTTAATCCTTAGCGTAACCAAGTTATAAATAATTAGAATAAATAACTAAAACTCTAAAATACCTAATAATTATAATATAAATATATCAACAGAAAAACTTAATTAGGTATCCCTATAGCAAATCTATTATCTAAATAGGGCCCCGAGGAGGACGCGAGGGCCATAAGGCACGCAATATGTTAATAATACTTATATTTTAACCCAAAAATAATAACTTATAAATAACAAAGATAACTTATAATTATACCATTTTTGGTAGGGTTGAAAATGTAAGATGGGTATAATTGTAAAATTATATTGGGTAAATTTAATGCTCAAAAGCAGACCTCGAGTTTTACTCCGCCTTGTTAAGTATCATGAGGCTGTGGGGGTTCTCCGCCCCTCTTTCGCATGTTAATCAGGCGGCTGTCGTCCACTCACATTGCACTAGTATGCAGCCCGCTATGCTCGCACATCCCGGCTCAGAAGGAATACGCGGGTGCGCTAGGCTGACAGTTGCATTTTTTCTCGCTACCCACCTCTTCATGAATTGGTCATCCTCTGCAGCTCTTTCAAAACTTTTCCCATCGTCTCATGGATTCTGCACACGCCTCCTCCTATCGAGCGGGCGAAGCGCCATCAAGACCCGCAAATTTTGATTATACGTATCAGCCGAACGAGGCTACAGACGCTTCCGTCAAACCCCTACCGCAGTCAGTTTTCAACGAGATCTCAACGAGATTAGAGGCGGAAGTGCAGAAGAGAGAATGGACCAATCGGCCAAGAACCTGGTTCATTCTGAACCAAATCAAACGCCTTGATGCTATGGAAGCGTTCATCAATCAAGGTCTCAATGATACCTCTCTACCATACAAGGGTCGAAACTCACTGCCGGAAACTCTCAATTTCTTTGAAGCCAATGACTTCTTGAAATGGCAAGATTTAGTAATCAGCGACGTACTGTCTTTGGAACAAGGCAAGCACGTTTGGATTCCGAATGGAGATGTGCTTTTCGAAAGCAGCCGGCCGAGGTTAGGTGTTGGTAGCCAAGGGTGAGAGAACCTTTCCAAGACTGTCCTACTTTTGGGTTGCACCTTCCAGATTTTCATGCTTCTTGCACAGAGTGATCTGGGCAATGCTTTCCGATTTCCTCTGCTGGGTTCGATATTTTCCCTATTTTGTGGACGGCACTAACCACGGCAACAGTTCCTCAGTCGTGGACAAAGTGGTCAGCAAAGCGACCGGAAAAGTGTACGCTCGAAAACGCATCAATCGTGCGAAGCTTTTTGGTCACGACAGACAAGCGCAGAAGACATATGAAAATGAAATCAAAGTTCTCTCCAAAGTTGCTGAGAATGATCATCTCATTAAAGTGAGGGGGACATATACCGACAAGAAGTATCTAGTCATGCTCTTGGAGCCTGTGGCCGATGGTAACCTAAAACAGTACATGAATAAAGGACCGTTGACTTCCACGGTAGAGCAGAGCAGGTTCCGGACGTATTTTGGTTGTCTGGCTCACACGATTCTGTTCCTGCATGATTCATCCATCCAAACACTGCACAAAGACATCAAACCGGAGAACATATTGATTAAGGATGGTCATCTCATCTTGACAGACTTTGGGACAGCTTTTGATTGGTCGAAGACAGGTCAAAGTATGACCCGGAGCAATGTTGGGGATCACCGAACACCGCGATATCAGAGTCCGGAAGTTGCTACTTCAAGCGAATTTCACCGCTCATCAGACATTTGGTCATTGGGTGTCGTCTTCCTTGAGATGGTTACCGTACTTCGAGGGAAATGCATCCTTGAAATGGATACCTTCCTACAAAACAACGGACATCGGCACACCGAGATGACTGTCTCTGCTGCTCAAACGAGCTTGACTGTCTGCGGCGTCAATCGCTCAAGCTGACTATCGTCAAACTCCCAGCAATGGTCATAAAGCGGCCCTTTACCCCTGCGCTTCCTCACACTTGGGTTGTTGTGTTCAGATTGGCCGTCCATCTCGTCAGCGAGTCCGTGATCCCATCCCTGCTCATCAGATTGTAGTCCCAGAGCGTCCTTGAAAGATTTCCATACTTCTTGCTGGTTCGAGACACCCGGTTTGACCTTGTATCTCAAAGCAATCGCAGCATATCCCGAGACGGAGATGGTTCCCTTTCGTCGGAACGTGTTGGGCTCAGTGCTTCGCTTTTCTAGTAGTAAGCCGTCGATTTCTGCCCGCTTCTCTCCATGATAAGCGCCAATGAATAAGATGTAACCGTCTATGGTCTCACAAATTTCTCCCGTGTCGAGATCGCTTTCAACGTCAGCAGCCTCGTGCTCGTATTGCTGGTTGCCGTCGTGTAAGAATAGGTTCGTTTTTTTGTCATACATCATGGGTATCAACTTGTTTTTGTTCCAATATTTCAGCATCTTGAGGGTGCCAGAGATGACAAGCGTTATCCTTCTGAGGAAGCCGGAGATGACGAGCTCGTTGGTCTGTTTACCATCGAGTAGTTCCCCAGAGAGGGGACCATTTTGTATGTTGATGACTCCACGATAATATTGATGTCGTTCCAAGTTTGATGGTGGAGAACTTGAGCTCTCTGGAAAAACCCTTGTATTTAGTTTGACCTCGCCGTCAATCGAGGCCCAGGACCATGAAGGGGCCTCTAAGAGCTCTTCCTGAATAGGACGACCTCGGGATTTCCAGCCAAGACACAGAGGGAAAGTAGACCACCACATGCCTGAAAAGTAGATGTCATCAGGTAGGAGCTTTTGGAACTCCTTTGCTAGTCCTGAAATAGCTACCAACTTATCAGTCGGGTTGCTTAGCTTCTTTTCCGAGTACATTTCGCAAAGGTCACCCCAAAGTTCATGTATTTCGATTGCCGGTCGCAGTGGTGTGATCGTGGAATCCTTCAACAGCATGTTACGCTTGTTATAGAAGCGTGGTGCGCCATTTGGGAATGTTTCACTTGCAAAGTATGGTGCTTTGGAGCAGCACTCCCAAAACATCTCCCGCTCGGTAAAGTGAAAAATCCGTCGTGCGAGATGTCTTTCTTGGAACACCCAAGCTCTCTGGGATAAGGGGGCAGTGTTGACCCAGTCAAACATATCACGCTCATCAACGGTCAATTGGATAGTCTGTCTTATCTCTGGCAATTCTATTGTTAGAGGCTGAACCCTCATCGGGGAGCGGGGGTTGAAGAGTCCATCCCGAGCATCAGCATTCCAGTCTGCGGAAATGTTGAAGTACCCTTGCTTATAGACTCGATCCATCAGCGAAGCCTCGCGTCGCCAATCGGCATCGCTGTCCTGGATGATACACAGAGAGTCTATCCAAAGCCATCGAACTACATGAAAGCATGAATGAGTTTGAAGACTGCTTGGGTATTGGGAGGTTACCTTGAAACCATTGGGCGACTGTGATAGCATCTCGGAATGTCTGCGGTATTTTCTCGATACTGATGCCTATCTCATGTCTATCCCGCTCGTTCGCAGATGTCAGGACGGGCATCTCTTTTGAGCCCCACTTCCCCCAACAATGACTCAGTGTAATATACCTCTTTTCCTTGGGGAAAGCATCGGAAACCTCCCTTGATGATTCCAGCCGCAATACTGAGGTCTTTGATGCATGTCTAACATCTAGGAGCCGAGTTGGAAGCCATGTGCCCTCTGACGAATCGCAATCCACATGTTGTCCATCTTCATTCTTCTGACAGCGATCAAGCCATTCTTTTGCCAGTCTTTGGGATGAAATAGATCCTGTACTATCTTCTTCTGGAATGGCCGAAATATCTTCATCGCTGTCACTATCGCGTGAACATGGACGGGGACGATATCGACCATTATTTTCAGGGATATCAGCTGAGCTACTTCGACTCAGCGGACCTCCGTGACGTTCTGTGGATGGCGCGGACTCATCACTACCGCTGTCTGTGCCTCCCGAAATCAGAGACCGGGGCAAAGCGTCTTCCACGATGTCTATTATCTGACCATAATCGCTGACGTTGCTGCTTGAGCTATGTGACCTGGCTTGAGAAACATCTAAATCTGAGGCTGCGTCAGAAAGGTGGGCAAAGTCCTCGGTGGGCCAAATTTGCAATCTGAGGAAATTCCAGTAGTTATCTTCGTTTCTGTCCCGCTTTGGATTGGTCGTTGAGAAGTGAAGACGACAGTATTTCAGAGTCTCATGCCTTGTGAAGTCGACATGAAAAGACATTTCGACCTTGGTGTCCCGCGCAACATGTCTCCACATTCCAGCTTCACCCTCCGGGCCTCTCATATACGAGGCAAGAAATATGCAAAGATGACAAGAGTAGGAAAACGCCTCATCGAACAGTGAGTACAGCTCACGATGATGGGAGACAACTTCAGAGAGTTCGAGATCTTTGGCGGAAGTCCGCCACGCTTTACATGCTCCCACAACGTACGCAAAGTATTCCAACGCGCTTCTGCATACGTCGCAAAGAGGGGAGTTTGTGCGAATGGGCCTGCGTTCGGCCTTGGGACGGGTCGGTGGAGGAACCTCAGAGTGGTATGACCAGTCATTGCTACGATATCTGCTTTCCTCGAATAGTTGCTTGAATGGTAGTTCGGCGTAAACGGCAACCTTGTCCCAGGAACTCATACTTCAGCGGCGTGATAGTATGTTGACTATATTCCTACTTTCTTCCAAGTTGTGGCGGTGAGACAAGATATTATTCGTGCAAACACAAAGGATTTGAATAAGTTGCTGACTAAGAAGTTTAAGCCAATCACCAGTGAGTGCATTAATTCGTGAGTTCTACGCTGCGCAACGGGGGCGAGGCGGGGTTTGCTTCGAGGGGTCAAACCCCGCCCCGAACCCTACCCCGTTACGCAGCGTATTCGTAACGATTAACATTTAGTCGAATACTATAAAATTTATTTATTTATTTAATACTATTTACTATTATTACTATTATTACTATTATTACTATTATTACTATTATTACTATTATTACTATTATTACTATTATTACTATTATTACTATTATTACTATTATTACTATTATTACTATTATTACTATTATTACTATTATTACTATTATTACTATTATTACTATTATTACTATTATTACTATTATTACTATTATTACTATTATTACTATTATTACTATTATTACTATAGAGGTCTATATCGAAAGTCTTATACCGTTAAGACTCTTACGCTTAGACTTCGAATAACGCCTCACCTAAAGGGCTATCTAGATAATACGTCTGGAGTTCTTCGAAATCGCATCTAATTCTAGTTAGGTTTCGAGGCTTAATACCTCTATTAAGCTAAAAGAAGTATCTAAAATCTTATCTATACGCTGTGAGAAGATATTTCTAAACTTTTTCTCTATAAGGCCGCTTTCCGAAAGTAGGATTAGGGCTGCACTAGCGCATATATAGAACTTTTAATATAGACCTCTATATTATTACTATTATTACTATTATTACTATTATTACTATTATTACTATTATTACTATTATTACTATTATTACTATTATTACTATTATTACTATTATTAACTATTATTACTATTATTACTATTATTACTATTATTACTATTATTACTATTATTACTATTATTACTATTATTACTATTATTCTCCAACTAGGCAATCTACTACGTGAAAAACGTGGCAAGTGCTACGACGATACAGCATCCCAAGGTGTTAACGAACGGCGTCAATGATGCTTCCCAGCAATTCGTGACCGGAATCTTTTCCATCATAGGTCGTGGCATGAAAGATGGATTCTCATTCGGCGCATTGCTCCTGTGAATCGAATGCCCAGCCCTAGTACGAGCAAGAGATAAGGTTCCGGCTCGTCCTTGAATTTCCCCCAAGCAAATGATCCTGATGCACATCCTGGAGCGATGGTGCGGATGGCTTTGAGATATTCGAATTCACCTTTGATTACGAGTCGACCAGTCTCGCCGAGCGAGGTATTAGTAAAGGTACAAGTCAGAGGCTAATACTTCGGATGGCAAGGGTGGAATGAAGCAGAGACAGGTTGAGAAAGAAGTTCTTGGATTGTTCAGCGAGCAAGCGGGTAAGAAGCTTTGCAGTCCTGTCTCACCCAAGAAATAAGGTACCCCAGACTGAGAGCGGCAGTGACCGTAAGTTCCCGAACGGGGAAAAGCTAGAAAAGGATGAAGATTGAAGACCTAGATTGATTCCCACTACCTCTTGGACCGTGACTGCGTGCCTCCCTCTCTTTCAAGATGTTTTCTACCTCTTTATTCCAACCATTCACCTCGGCCAGCATGCAGAGAGGGTATGGAGGTGGCACGGACATCAATGGCAAAAGGGTGCGGCAGAAGTCTGACCACCTTCGCCATTCAGAATCTCACCCAACACAGTTCTAACAATAATGATAAGCTACAGTTGATGCACGCGGCCTTCTGACATTCGAGAATCCCAAGCCCCACCTCTTCACAGGTTTCACCATGCGGAGAGACTTAGGGGTAAGGTAGATCCTACAGAGTACTACATATGAAAAGTGGTGGTCCATCAATTACTTCACACACCATTGGTCGAAATCCCTGATAAGTCGAAACTGCTTTCCGATGCATGTAAGATTTCCGCTACCCATTGCCTGCCGAAAAAAAGAAGAAAAAAGAACCCCCCCCGAAGACTGGGCCACTTATCCTGATGAGGAAACCCTTGCGCAATGCGGCGGAGCGGCCTGGAATAATATCGAGACTCGAATCGCGAAACATTTCTCGATTGTGTGCCCCTCTCAAAGGACCAAGCACTCGTTCCTGCTGCGCCACTACCTACTTGCCCATCGTTCCAATCAAATGTTTTAGACCGTCATTGCAAGTACCCTCTACACGGAAACTACGCTTAAAATGCACACCACCCATTGGTCTTTGCGTGCTCGGAACGCGAACAACCACCACCATAGTGAAATTCGATAGGCAGGGAAAGCGAGGTTTTTGGCAAGGCCTGCATTGCATGTCTTTTGGGGCTGGATGTTACTTAGTATAGCACCAGCTGCTTCTCTTTGGTCCATGCATGATAAAAGCCCAGCCTGCTGAGGCCTCTTCTTCCGCGGTCCTTGTTTCTCTATCTTCTCTGCTCGACTCTACTGCTCATTACGGCTTTGACGTTCCGAACGTCCAAGCAGCTATCGGACAGCATACGTGCTGCCGTCAAAAGGCGCTGACTGGCGGCCAACAATGTCGAGGCATCAGAACGGCGTGGGTGTCGGTTACCCAGTCGTGCCGACTTCTTACGAAGTCGCTCACGTCGTCACTCTTTTGGTGTTCACATTTCTTGCAACCGTTGCAGTCGCACTCAGGTTTTGGGCTCGACGTATACAGAAGCAAGCTCTCGCACTCAATGATTATTTGATAGTTCTGGGTCTGGTGAGCAGCCGGCAACGAAAGCCAAGTCCATTCCACCGTTTGACTGTCGCAGATCTTTGCTTTTGGTGAGACTGGCGTCAATGCCTACGGTGACTCTCCTTTGCCACTATGAAATATGTCTTGAGCAAGTATCCTTGCTTACATTTGCTAGGCTGTTGCTTTCCTCCTCAATGGAAGAGTTCCACTCAATCTGCAGACAGAACACTGGCTCTTCAGGTATGAAATACTTGCCTCCAAGGAGAGTCAGTCTAAAAGCAGCGTGCCCAGCTCATATTCTTATCGCCGATTATCTGGGTGGTCGCTGTCACAATCATTCGTGCTTCGATAATTTTCCTATACATTCATGTCTTCCCAACCCGCCCCTTTCGCATCGCTTGCTATGGGGCATTACTTCTCAACATGACCTTCCTGACGGCCACGATTCTTGCGGACTGCTTAATCTGTCGACCTATAAGGTACAGGTGGGATTTCGCTATCAAGGGAGCCTCATGCGGAGACGAAACAAAGCTCGGTCTCTTCATCGCGATTGTTAACTTCCTACAAGACGTCATTGTCGTGGTATTGCCTATGCCTATACTTTGGAATTTGCAAATGGCCGTGAGCAGGAAAGCGGCGCTGACCGGCATGTTCGGGATGGGCATCCTGTAGGGCTCCCGGCTCCCGTGGTTGCTACTGCTTGTTTCGCAGAGACATGTAACTTACTTGCTGATACCTTTGCGATGCAGAATCTGTGCTGTGACCGTCTACCGCATCCAGGTAACCGCCACCAATGACAATCCGAGCAACCCATCTTCGCAAGAGAAATACGCTCTCATCGCGCTCCTGACCTCTCTCGAGACGCTCCTGGGTATCATAAGTGCCTGCTTGCCGATCCTGAAACCGATAACCAAGAGACTTCGGGTCTCACTCCCCAAGCGCGGGTCAGACACAAACAAACCCTCCGCATCTGGCAGCATCCCTATCATTATGCGTATAAGTCACATATTTACAGCATCGTCCAAGAAGTATTCGTCAGGAGAGCATATTCCATCGCCGGATCGGTCGTGGTATGAGATGCAGGTGGGTAAGGATGGGACAACGCACGTTTCGGTGAGACCGAAAGCAGACCCAAGGACAGAGGACGAGCTAGCCGGGAAACCCGCCGGAAGGGATGAAGATATGGAGAGCATATACAACGCTATGTGAACGCCCGTCGGGCCGAGTCAGCAATCGCTTCATGGAAGATTGATACTCTGGAACGTGGTATAATGGTATAGATCATGTTGGGCCAGCATAAAGAACCTGACCGGGGTGTTTTCGCCCCCCCCCATATAGGTCTATAATAACATCAACGTTCCCTGTCCTTTATTCAGACCATCACAATCACCAGTCCCCCCCCCCCCTCTCTCAGCAGGAGCAGGAATAACCTCCTCCACCTCACAAAAGACCCAACAAGGATCTACACATACGCGCACCTTCCCCACCACTCCTTCCACCCCAACACACACCCTCGCACGCTACGATTTAAGAAGCTCAAAGCCGCATCTTCCCACACGGAAGCGAGGTTCGAGAAAGCTCCCGCGGCCCTTGGGGCCGGGGCCGCTGTTTCGCTGGCGGCAGGTAAGTAGGTTGAGTGAATTTTACGAATGTGGACGATGGAGTGTGAAGACTGAATGGTGTCGAGGGGACAGATGGGACGGTGGCGTACGGCGCGGGCGGGCCGATTTGCCGGGCTGGTGTGATTGTTGCGGCCGTGAGGGAGGGAGTTAGTTGGGAAGATGACGGGGACAGATGACTCGAGTGGAGCATATCGATTGGGCCGATTGGAAGGTTACGAGTGCATTGCGTGACGTCTAAAACTCCAAAAGATAGTCCGAGGTGCTTCACACTTCGTACATGTAAGTGTCCCATTCCTTCCCCTTCTCTTTACGCATGAGACCAGCCTTGATAACGCCGATCACGCACCTCTCAATCACCACCGTTGACAGATCGTCTGGATGCGTGTGCGCGCGAGGAGGTTGGTACGTTGACCGAACCAACATAGATCGTTACGACGGAGAGGCTCGTGCCGTACAGCGCGACAGCTACGAGCCAAACTGGGCTGAGGAACCTGGCGTGACCGTCGTCGAAGCCCTGGCCGAGTTGCGGAAAGCATGGGTATCAGAGTCGATGTATTGTGTTATTAGGAAAGGGAAGATTAATACATAGGTTTGCAAAAAAAACACGGTTACACACCCCCGTAAGGAAGGTAGTCACAATCTAAGCCTCACCCCGACCCAGCGTCATCCGCCCCCTCCTTCCTCAACCCCTCACACAGCTTCGACCGCGCCACGATCATCTCCGCCAGCCCCTTGATGCTCGAGCTAGTCATCAACTCCAACGTGCTCATCGTCGCCTCCATCTCCCGGGTGATCCAGCTCCTCACCTCGATCGCGATCAGCGAGTCAAGCCCCAAGGCGACGACGGGCTTCTGGGTGCTGATCTCGTCGGCGGGGATGATGAGCACGCCGGAGAGCTTGCCGATCAGGCCGTCCGAGGCGGCGCGCGTGGCGTCTTCCAGGCTGCGGGCCTGCTTCAAAGCCTTCCTCGGCGTCATGCCGGATCCCTCGCCGTCCGATCCCCCGGCGGTACCGGCCGCGCGGCGAAGGTGCGAGAAGCGGGCGTCGGTGGCCCAGAAGAACGCGGCGTGCTTCGGGTTGTAGTTGTCAAAGTCGAGGCCGATCGTGCATTGGTGATCGGCATGTTTGTCGATCTGACCGGTCACGGCCAACTTGATCAATGCAAGGACGTCCGCCTCGTTGAGGGTGGCGTCGCCGCTGAGAGATTCGAGGCCGGCTTGGAGCTCGGGCCTCTCGGCCACGAAGCCGATTTCTTTGACCACGCCCAGATCGATGGATGTAGCTGGAAGGCCTTTGGACACCCTGTAGTGGGCGAACTCGTCGAGGAAACTGTTGGCGGCCGCGTAAGCTGCTTGGCCGCGGTTACCAATAACGCCACTGATGGAGGAGAGCATGATGAAGAAGTCGAGTTTGTGGTCGAGCAGCGTTTCGTGGAGGTTCCTGGCGCCGTCGACTTTCGGCCGGATCACGTCCGTCCAGTCGCTGAATACTGCTTGTTCGAAAAGGACATCCTATATTAATCCGATCAGTATCTTGACCTAATGTTCCAAAAGCCTTCGTGAAAACAGACCTTGTTGACATATGCGCCATGGATAACACCCCCAATGGGTGGCATTATCTTTGCGCATTCTGAGATGAGAAGACGCATGTCGGCCTCGATACTGGCATCACACTTGCGAATTTCGACTTTGATGCCGATCGAGCTTAGTTCGTCCACCAAATTCTGTGCCACGGTTTGAGTCTTGCCGCTTCGAGAAGCTAGGATGATGTTCTTCGCTCCACGTTGCGCCATCCACCGGCATATGGCACGTCCTATTCCGCCGGTGCCGCCAGTGATCAAATACGAGACATCAGCGCGAAGTATATCTGGTTCGAGTAAAGACCGGGTTGCCTAGAATGTTTGTCAGCTTTGACTTTTACTCAGCGATCTGGGTAAAACCACTGGGGCGCAAAAAGTCACATGGTATCAGAAGGCCTGATATCTGCTCTCAATGTATCGACTTACCATCACTGTGTCATTTGCCTTGGGCACTATGACCAATTTTCCCATCAGCTTGCCGCTTTGCAACGACCGAAAGGCCGTCTCGGCCTCCGACACGGCAAACTCGTGAATTGGACTGACAGGCGCGACGATGTCTTGACGGAACAAGTCCATGACCTCTTTGAAGACTTCTTGCAGCACTCTAGGCTTGTACTGGACCAATGCCGTCAAATCCACAGCTGTGAAGCTGACGTTCTGTTCGAATCGGGCCATCTCCAAGTTCGTATTGCCGGTGATGTCTCGCTTGCCAATTTCAACGAATCTTCCGAACGGAGCCATACACTCCCACGTAGCGCTTAATTGCTCCCCGGCAAGAGAGTTCAGGGCGACATCGACACCCCTACCGCACGTAGCCTCCATGACTCCTTTCGCAAAGGAAGTGTTGCGACTGTAGAAAATGCATTCCTCAGGGACATTGTATTTTTGCATCAAGAATTCTTTCTTCTCTGGGCTCCCAACAGTCGCAAGGACTCGAGCCTTTGTCGCTTGAGCTAGCATTATGGCGGCTTGACCGACACCGCCCGCGGCTGCATGGATTAGAACAGTCTCATCGGGGCGAAGACGAGCCACGTGGGCGAGGCAGTACTGGGCGGTACAATAGATGATTGGAATCGAAGCCCCTTGCGGATACGATATAGAATCAGGTAGCAACACGGCACAATCGGCTTTACATCGGGCGAGATTGGCAATAGTACTTCCTGATACGGCACAGACTCGATCACCTCGTCTGATTGCACGAACGTCGAGTCCGACTCTAGTGACCACGCCAGAGCATTCTTGTCCGAGATGATTGCCGGCCAGTTGTCCGAGAGCCAGAATGACATCTTTGAAGTTCAAGCCCGCAGATTTGACGTCGATCTCGATCTCGTCGTCGAGCAGAGGTTTCGTTGCCTGCTTGTCTTCCACAAAGCATAGAGTATCGAGAAATCCAGGACTGGCAACGGTCAGTTTCAGTGGTCGCCCTTCTTGTACAAAAGGCTGAAGGTCCCTGAAGCCTTTATGAGTCTCTCGGTTCAGGTGTTGGTCCAGGGCATTGTCATGAACGAGTCGAGGAATGTAAACAACACCATCTCTCACAGCAAGTTCGGTGTCGTACTCAGTCTGCGCGAAGGAGCAGAAGAATGAGCGCTCAAAGATTTGACCAACGAGGTCAACAATATTGCTGGACGGGAACCCCCAGTCGTCGATTGCCAGGGTCACGAGGTTGGTGATCTGTGATTCTGAGCGGAGGGTCCTCGTCAATCCTCTCACAGTTCCGGCATCCGGAGACGTCACGCCGCCTGTAATCCAAAGGACCCCAGCCGCTTGAGACAAGGCCTTCAATCCTCTAAAAGAGTCAGCAGTCATAGTGGTCAAGTGCGGGCATCTTGGGTCGTCAATGACAATACAATGCTTTCCACTGAGGTTTGTAACCGCCAGTTCAGCAAATTGCACCCATACCACAGTCCTTGGACCCCAGACGTTCAGAACGTTCTCAAAGTCAGCTTTAGAAGCCCCTTCGGGGAGCCCTTGTGCGACGACGATTAAATCAACTACAGTCTCATCAGGCGTAGTGCCTATCGGAGCGGCGGTAGCGAATGCGACACTGACAGCATGTTGTGCATCCTCGGAGTAGTGTTGCGGAATAAAATCAAGCTCAGAGAACCCGTTTGCTTCGAAAAGAGCTTTTGTTCGGGCTTGACTGGTCGTGGTGCAGTCTTTCTGGGGTGTGTTGCCTGTTTTGCGATTGTCAATTAGCCACGACCTCACCATGTGAGGGAGGGAAAAGGTCTGCGCATACCATTCACATGATGATTGTTACCATTCACACGATGACTGTTACCATTCAGAAGATGATTACTACCGTTCATAAGATGGCTATCAGTGCTTTGTTGGCCGTCGAGCGACCAGCTCGGGGACGACCTTAGAGATTTCTCGAGGTTCGTGTCCTCGACAATGATTAATTTGCCTCCAGGTTGAAGCAGGGACCGGATGTGTGTTATTGCTTTTTGCGTAAAGGCCGTATCGAGAAGATGGTTGGATGCAGTAACAACAACAGCATCGTAAGACTGGGATTCAAAACCTTGGTCTTGTGGTAGAAGCTCAATGTCTAACGTTTTGCAGTTGACAAGCTTCCCCCAAGGAGCCAGCTTTGCCCTTACAGTCTCCAGGGTGTCCGGAGACGTATCTGTGAAGTCGTACTGCACAAACCTGGCGGGTTCCTCAGCAGCACCTCCCAGTAATTCTAGTATTGGGACTGTCGCACTGGTGGTGCCTGCGGAAATCTCTAGAATCCGAAGTCCCGGGTTCTGATGGGCCAACTTTCCAACGAGCTTCGCCGCAAACCCATAGCATTGCTGGTAGTCGTTACCATCAATTGACCCAAGCGCGCTCACGGGGAGACCTTTACTGCCCTGTGATTGCGGCAGGTAAGTCATGCAAGGTTCCCATTGCGTTCGCAGACATCGAGCTCTTCCGACATCTTGGTTGGTCTGGGACTGCTGCACAGGAACTTCGGTGAAACCTCTGATCGAAACCCCGCATCCATACGATGGATTCCGCACGTCCTTGACATCCATATCGAATATCTGTCTCCTAGAGAATGTGTCAGGCTCTTGGGTCCGCGTATAAACTTCGAACACCGCTCCAGGCTGCTTTGACAACTCAAGTGACACTGTCATCTCTCGAATTGCAACGGGCATGTAAGGCGCCTTGGAGAATAGACCGCTTTTTACCAACAACGCTGCAGCTCCGTGGAAGATAACGTCCAGGGTTATTGGGTGTATTATGTAGTCTGACTCGTAGTTGACCGGCATGCAAGCAGGAGTGTCCGGGACGATGGCGTTGTGCATCGCACACGATGGCCCGCTCATTACCTGCTCCATCTGCCGAAACATGGGCCCATAATCGAAGCCTGCGTCGGCTACCGCCTGATAAACCCCTTTAGCCTCGACTGGGCGGGTGCAGAGGCTTGTTCCTCGCGAAAGGTCTTCTGCGTAGCTCTGGAGACGGCTTCGTATTGCCACTTCGTTCTCGATTGGATTCGTCGCGTCCGCACTTCTAGGCTCTACAAGGCCACGGCAGTGCTCCAACCAGCCTCTCTCCAAACTCCAGGAAAACACTCTGAATTGGCTCCAACGATCTGATGATGACCGAGGGCCTTCATGGAACGGCGTCAGAGACAACCTGAGCTCAACGGACGTCGAGTCTGGAATGGCTAGAGCTTGATGGACGGAGACCTCCCGAAACCCAATAGAATTGAACTTGATCCCCTTCCAGCTTGCTTTTTGCCGGCAAGCTTCCATCGCCATGCAGAGATATGCTGCAAGAGGAAAGACAGTAAGGCCTTGGACCTTGTGGTCACGGAGCCAGGGAACGTCATCTGCCATGATTACGTTTCTCCATTGCGGCTCTAAAACACTGCAATCTGGCACACGGTTCCCCAAGAGGTCATGCCGTTGCGAAGAATATGTCTGCATTTCTTGGCTGGTTCTGCTCACGTGCCAGTACTCTTTCCCATGGTTCCACTGGTAAGGGGGTAGATCTGTCAAGATATTCGGTAACTCCCCTTTGGGAAAGTTGATATTTCCCAGCTGCATCCGACACCCACTCGTGAAAAGACGGGCCGACAATAGCAGCATACCTGAGACACTGTCTTCGTTACGAATAAGAGAGGGCATGTATTGGATTTTACGGAAGCTGCCCTCGACTGATTGCAAGATCTGGCGCACGGGACCTTGCAATGCCGAGTGAGGGCCGATCTCCACGAGGATATCGACATTCCTTTCAGTCAAGTCCCCGCTTATCCCACACATGCTTCGAGTTGCCTGTGAGAAAAGCACCGGCGAAGTGAGGTTTTCCACCCAATAAGTAGCTGTCAGCGTTGATGGCGCAACTCGAGCTCCCTTCAGTGATGAATGGAATTCGACCGTGGTTTGAGAACTGGGTTCCACCTTTCCTAGAAGTGATTTGTACTTGTCGGCAACGTATCTCATGTGATGAGAGTGATATGCGACGTCGACTCTCAGTCTTCTGTTCCAGATCGATCGCGTATCAGCCAATCTTCCTGTCTGTGATATCTGGTCGGCGTCACCAGACACTGTCATACTATTGGGGCTGTTGACGCAGGCGATGATCGCTTGACCGTGCGCGCTATCATCTATCAGAGCCTGAGTATCCTTTTCACTGGCTCCGACAGCCAACATGCCTCCGGAGATATCCTTGAAGTCCTCCGTCAGCGTTCTCGCGACAAGTCCCCTGTAGTAAGCGATCGCCATACATGCTTCGAGGCGAAGTATACCTGCAGCATATGCTGCAGCAATCTCTCCGCTAGAGTGCCCAGTGACACTATGGGGAACAACAGCCCAAGACGAAAGCAAATCCACCAAGGCGATCTGCAGGGCCGTACATGCAGGCTGGCTGATGTGAGCGCTGTTGATAATTGAGGTTTCTTGAGGCTTCTCCAACTCGTCAATGAGGGACCATGAAGCTCCGAGTTCAGTCAAAATTCGATCAGCCTCGCGCACTGTGAGCGCGTAAGCAGGATATGTATGGTACAGGGATTTCCCCATCGTAGGCCATTGCGAGCCTTGACCAGTGAAGATGAACCCAATATTGGGATGCTCTCCTGACCTGACGGGAGCGAGTGCTGTATCTTTTAGGTCGTAAACCAATTGGTCAGGATTTGAAGCCAGGACGGCGAACTTCCACGCAAGGATTGATCTTCTCTGGCCGAGTGTGAAAGCTAAGGACCTCATAAGCTCCGGGTACATGGTGACCGGGCGTTCTTTCGCGTACTCCGCGACCAGAGAGATCTGACGCTCAAGCGATTCTCGGTCATTGGCAGAGAAGACGTAAAGGTGCTGTTTCGTACTCGATTTGGTGGAGGGATCCCGATCATTAGATCTATTCCGAGTGTCTAGCGGGGTAGCAACGTAAGATTTTGTCTTGCCCGGGAAGGAGGATTCTTCCAATACAGCGTGCTATTTCATCAAAAGTCAATGCGGTTTCCGCCTCTCAGATCGGTTCATGCCTACCGCGTTCGCACCTCCGAAGCCAAAATTGTTCACAGATACCCGCCGCATACTTGAACTATCCCATGGTACGTACTTGTCAGAGACCTGCAAAAACTATCAGTGAACCTATCCCAACCACCCATTGACCTATGAACGCGATACGCTAATATCCCCTGCGTTCAATGAATGGAATTCTCAGGGAGTTTGCTTACCTTCATGTTGCTTTTCTCGAAAGGTATCTTGCGATTTGGCGTCTGCAGATCGCAATTGGGCAGCAGAAACTTGCGTTCCAGCATCAGAGCAGCCTTGATTACCGAGCAGATCCCACTAGCCCCTTCCAAGTGACCAATGTTCGACTTCAGTGAACCAATAAGAACTTTGCGCGACTCGGATGCACGTCCGAAAACTTCCGAAAGTGCCGCGGCTTCGATAGGATCACCGGCGGCGGTGCCGGTCCCATGGGCTTCAATAAAGTCTGTCTCCAGGGGATCTAAACCTGCTGAGCTGTACACCTCTCGAATGAGCGCCGTCTGCGCTTTGTTGTTGGGCAATGTGATACCAGCTGTTCTGCCGTCTTGATTCGTTCCTATGTTTCGAACGATTGCTCGTATTGAGTCACCGGCCTTTAATGCAGCTTTCAAAGGCTTGAGGATGATGCACCCCGTACCCTCGCCACGTCCATATCCACTGATAGCCCGATCATCAAAAGCATAGCATCTTCCATCAGAAGAGAGTAGCCTTTTCATGTTAGCTTTGGCTTTCGTACTTGATAAGCGCTCTACCTTGTAGTCGATAACGACACCGACGATTCTGCCAGAACATTCAGGTGCGAACCGCCAACAATGGCCGCGGATGACTCCCCGGCCTGCAGACTCTTGAATGCGGCATTCAAGGCAACAAGGCTCGAGGAACAAGCTGTATCAATAGTCATACTCGGACCCCGAAGATCAAATCCGTAGGAGATCCGATTGCTCAAAAGCGATTCCGCATTGCCGGTCACCTCAAACATTGGAAGATTGTCGAGGTCTTTCCACATGTGAGTGCGATATTCAGAATAGGAACTGCCGATGAATACCCCCATGTTAGTGCCTGCGACACTGGACAGTGTGATGCCGGCATTTTCGAGCGCTTCATAGCTGACTTCCAGCAAATGACGCTGTTGAGGATCCATTACCTGTTGCAAGTGCTTGGTCAGCTGACACTATACCCTCGAAAGCGGACCATAAAGCCATGAAAACTCACCGTTGCCTCGGCTGGTGTCAAACTGAAGAATTGCGCGTCGAATCGAGCAATGTTTTCCTCTACATAGTGTCCTCCCTTGGTATTGTAGCATCCTCTCTTGTCGGGATTAGGGTGATAGTGGAAGTTGGGCGTGTGTCGATTTTCTGGATGAAGAGTCCAACCACTTTGGCCACTTGCAAGCGAGTTCCACAGGTTCTCTACATTGGTCGCTCCAGCAGGAAGTCGACACGCCATACCAATTATCGCCACTGGTTCGTGTTCTCCATATAACTTCGAGAACAACGCTTCCTGGCTGTCCGGGCCCAGTGTGGGCTCCATATCGGTAGCGTTGAAGTCAGAGAAAAACAGCTGTAGACTCCAGGGCAAACGTGAAAAAATAACCTAGAATTTCCCATAAAGAACCCCGAGAGTCTGTCCAAAATATATGCCGATGCAATGCCTGAAAATAAAGAGATCCTTCTGTTTTAGCATGTGCATGATATATTCCTTTGAGTCTGGCCAAGCGGTAGAGCTTCCACACCTTCCGTGAAGCCGAGAAGACCGCACTTCTTGCCAAGGTTTTTTATGCAAAATCTTCGTCGTCAGCGAACAAAGCAATGTTGCCAAGACAGTTGGTGAATAATGCATATCATAGTGGCGTTCGCGTATCATAGCGGAGTCGGACCGATGATGGCCACCGAATTGGACGCGTGGTACTGGCATTGGTTGATAAGACGGACTTGTACTGCATCTGGCAACCAGCGTATAGATGCAGCCAATCAGTTAGTGTCCGAGAGAAGGCGTCGCAGCTCTCTCAACCGGGCTTTATTACCTAGGCTTTGTAGTCGTGATATCATGGCTATAATTAGGACAGACTGCAGGATATCAAGCACGAGAGACGCTAGTCGACGATAATGGACATTTACCGTATCGGGTATCGTTGCTGTCCGTCGCTCCATTGTCCAGAAAAACGCTTCCAAAACACTTGACCTACTTCCAGTTTCTCATTAATTGTTCATTCCTCTTAACTACACAAGACTACAGAGACGGGTGAAACGGTGGAAAGGATGAGGTTTTTATGTCTAGCAGGCGCTGGCACGAACGCAGAGGTGAGACACGGGAATGCTCTGTGACACCTCGTCCGACTGGCGCTGACACGATGAACAGACCTTTCGAGTGCAGATCTGTACGTACAACCTTATCTCTCATCGGTACCCTGCTGACAGGACACAGTGCCAATCGTCCAAGACCTTGAGCAGGACGGCACCGCGTCTTTCCACTTCATTCATGGCGACATCGAATCACCTCCTCCCAACGAATTCAAGGAGTTTTACGGCTCACCTCCTCACCGTCGCTTCCTCAAACAATACTGTAGCGGTAGAGCAGATTATGAGTTTTTTAATGCACTCTGGAGTGCGCCGCATCGGTTGACGCCAGAGCAAAAGTACCGTGAAATGGTGCAGTCTCTACGTCCCGAGAGTACCAACGACGTTCAAACGATCCTCGACCGCCTCTATCGCGTTCTCGACCACGACGGGCCTTTCGACGGAATCATCGGAAATTCGGAAGGCGCATCCGTGGCTGCTATGTTCGTTGTCAACTACTTGACAAGGTGTGCACGGAAGGAAATTCAGAACTCATTGAAATGTGCGGTGTTCATGAGTGGCGGTCCACCCTCTTTCCCGGATGGCACGGGGGTTTTCCTCGCTGACGAGCACGGTCAAATCATTACCATGCCGACATGCCATATCATTGCGTACAACGATTCGTTGATAGATAGTGCAGTTGCTCTCTACCATCTTTGCGATCAAGCGTCTGCAACTATTGTAGACCACGGTAAAGGACACTTGGTGCCCCGGGATCCGAAGTCTTCTAAACTCATGGTCAAGGGAATCCGCGACTTGATCGTACGGGCAACAAGCTCTTCTCCAGGTTGACTGCTATACCATGGCGTTCGCTGTGGGCCTGGACTTGGCCTTCGCACCGCATCACAAGGCTAACGTGGGGGTCATTGAGATCGAGTTCGCCAATGTTTTTGAAGTGTACGTAGTCCGAGACCATCATACTAGTATCGAGTCGTATTGATCTTGTGGGTCAAAGGGCTCGGGTTCCAGAATAGAACAATCTAATGAATGAAGTCAAAGCGAAGCTCGGACACATGGCCAAACAGAATAGCCAATGGGTTTCCCTCAGGCATGGGTGTATTACAACAGAAGTGAAGAGGGATCCACATCTAGCAAGAGTAGACTAGAACTTTACGCCTCGCTGGGTGGACCTGAGGAGGTGACGTTACGTAGAGGTAAACACATGCTACAGGCGACTCGCCACCATCAGAGGCTGTCATTGTCACAACTCTAGGCCAGGCGAAAACGGGTTTCACGGTTTGCCAACATCAGGAAAGGTGGTGTGTTAGAAGCAAGGACGACGATGATGGCGGGAAGGGGTTGATGTGCGAATTCAAATTTGCACCGCTTAGCTCGATCAGGAAGGAAGGCTCGGCGCGCTCGACCGAAGATACGGTAGCCGCCACAGATGCAGGGCTGAGAAGACGAAAAGTTACATTATGCGGCTAAAGTATATGAGCAACTAGTTCGACCAGGGTCAGCCCGTCGGGCCTTCGGGCGCGCCTGATTTATTATTTACCGGAAAGTTTTGACGATCTATTGTCTGCTCTCGTGTCGTTACGGTATCTTTACGACGGTATATGAATTTCTTAGAAATTCGATGATGATGTGGATTTCATCGGTATCCAAGGTGGCTTGCAATGATAGTGAAGTGAGCCGCGGCTATTACTTTTCTCAATCATCTTGCCTCGTCATCGCCAGGGCCCCTACCCGTGCAATGATCTTTTTGCAAAGACCATGCGGGATATCACTGGCAGCGGAGAAGAGAAACTGAGTTCTTGCCGTTTGAACTTGTCCTCAGTCCTTTTCTTTCTTCAATCTCTAGCTCATCGCTGACCACCTCACTGGACTGCACAAGTCAACATGGCCTCATCATCGCCAGAGTCTGCCCCTTTCTGTTTGACTCCCTCTCGATAACGTCATCGGTGCCCCCTACGTTCACAAGGCTTTGTTCTTTCCCGATTCCGGCTCAGATGTCTCGTTACTGGTGCAGAATATGACATCTGCCCTCGCTCAGACGTTCAACGCGATCCCACTTCTCGCGGGCACGGTCACGCTTCTTCCAGACGCTCCACAGAGAGGGAGACTGGCAGTCACAGCTCCCTGGAGGACCGCCGAAGATGCACTCATAGTGAAAGACCTGAGAAGGACGGACTATCCTAGTTATGAGGCCTTGCGCTCGAAACAATTCCCTATGGTCGACATCAACTACAGTATACTGGTGCCAACACGACAACAGATGCTTATACCGAAGGTCGAAAGGCTCGAGGTAGGCGAGAGACCGGTCCTGCTAGCACAGATAAATTTGATCAAAGGTGGCATGGTCTTGGGATTCATCCTCGACCACGCTTTCACCGACGGCGCCGGGTCCTTTACTGTCGCCAGAGTGTGGGCTGCTTACTGTCGGGGTGAAGATGGGTCGCAGCTTGTCAGCCCTGATTGCGTTGATAGAACCCGGCTCATAGAGGGTGATGAGAGCGCAAGACTCGAAGACATCAGAGAATATAAATACCACCCTGAACCAAAAGGTCCGGCTCGGGCGCAAGGCTTTCTCTCTCGAATGTTTAAAAATCTGCGCTTGTGGATCGTTCTTTTTTCTCGTTCACTTCTCGACTTCAGATTGAATGCAATGCACAATTTACGAGCGGTTCTTCGTGTCGGACCAGCGAACGAGACGTCACGGTCTGAGTCCAACCCATTGGCAGGAGAAATGTTCTTTTTCTCCAAAGCAAAGCTTCGAGAATTGAAGGAAATGGCATCAAGACTAGAAGGTGACGAGACGAGTTGGATCTCTACCAATGATGCCCTCGCTTCTTTGATGTGGTGTTGTGTCACCGCCGCCCACAAGACCAAGATTCAAAATCATTCCGAATCGATCAAAGACGAGACCGGGCTCTGCTTCGTCATCGATGCAAGACGGTTCGCAAGACCGCCCTTGCCTGCACGCTTCATCGGCAATGTTCTCATCTGGGGAAACATCATCAAACCCTTCAGCACTGTCATTCCTACGGCCAAAGGCGTGACCGAGTGCGCTCACACTCTGCGGCGTAAGATCAACCAATACGACGACACCTATCTCCCACACTTGATTGGAGCCATTAAATCTGTCCCTGACGTCAGCAGAGTGAGACTCGACAGTATGGGATTTGAGGGGCGATACCTTGTGGTCAATTCCTGGGCGACTCAGGATCTGTACGATCTTGACTGGGGCACACTGGTGGGTGGAAGGTGCGAGCGAGTCAGGATACATAAGCCACAGTTTGAGGATTTCTGTCTCGTACTGCCTGAACTGAAGGGTTGCAAAGGAAACGAGGAAGCTGCTGGTTTGGAGGTCATTATCAGCATTAGAAGCAACTACATGAAGATGCTGAGGGAGAATGAGCTTTTCAATCGCTTCGCGGAGTGGAGATGCAGTTGAGAGAGAGCATCGCACGCTTGGGACAGCCCAAGATCTAATATGGCGATACTAGACTTCGCCAGCGGTATTTTTCTTGCATAGTCCTTCGGACTATAGAAGTTTCATTGCTAGCAGTCCTCTCGAACCCATCAGGCTGGCTCCTTTCACAGCAACGTGGCAATTCGAAGCAGTAGAGATAGAAAGATCTACCGTACTCCAAGATCTGCCACTGACCTTTCTCGCATGAAAAACAAGTAACAGACATATGCATCCTCAGGTGACACAACTGTCAGCGTGTCTAGTTCCTTCTATGCATGCGTCCCTTCTACATCCTTCCATGCATATTCCATCATTGTTCCTTTCATGTAGAGTAGTTAGCCATAGATAGCAGTGCTTTGTTCTCCATCAGCTACATGATAGCTGATGGCCTCACCACTGCTGTGCTACGCTGAGAACAACAATGACGGATCTTCTCAACATTCTCACACCGTGCATTACCTGCGGGCACAATACCACCGTCCAGGATCCAATGCTACCAGTAACATGTGTCAATCCTGGACCCCTCGAAAAAATCGCCACATTTGCGACCTCCGTCGGCTACGCAGTTCTTGCAATCAGCCTCCCTCTTCACATTCATACCCAACCCGGATCCCCCTCCCCCAAAAGAAAATCTCCTCCGATCATCGCGCAGTAGTCTGCTACAACCGTGCATCTGTCGACATGCAGTGTGAGCAAGTTGCGATCTGGGCCCTAATTCCAAGTGGGCCCATTGATCGCCTTTCCGCAGCTTGGGATTTCCATGCAGACCATCCTTCCATATGGATCTTCACAATATTGGCGGCTTTAAGCCCAATTCTTCCTCAAGAGCTTCTCGCTAAGGCGGCCGAGTAGATAGGGACTCCTCTTCCCCTATCGTGGGATGATGAATACACTTGCGACACCATGGAAATCTTCTGGCCTGGCCATCAAAGCACATTAATCATGTCCTCTTTATCGTACATGTAACCAGGTATGTGATTGGCGGTTGCCCGTGAAGGTGCATTAAAGCTTAAAATGAGGCTTCAGAGAACCGGACTCCTTAGCCAGTAAAGCAAATTGACCATCCGCGCTTTGACGTAATCTACGCGTCTTTTTGTATTTGCCCGTCTCGCTAAAAGTTTGGAAATGGATTAAACATGACATTGCCGGCGTGCCGGCAACATGTTCCTCGGCAATAACGGCACACCCCGTCCGACTAGGGTAGCCAACATTTGCCGCGCTGAAGAGTACCCTAGTGATCGTAAAAGCCTCTGGGTACCGTATGATCTTCTGACGGCTCTCTTGATCCTCCGGCTTCTGGGCTTTGATGGAACAGTCCCGAGCTCTTCAACTGCCGGCAGGGTGTCAGGCTTCCTTTAGAGAAGAGGTCCCGTACAGTTCTCTGGCAGATCTCCTACGCTTTGATCGACTCGTGCAGACACGGGATGAGTGCATGCATGAAGACTGATGACCCACTTTTACATTAATCAATCTCCACAGGGAGATGTGGTCGTCAGTATCTATGCAGGTCTCCCACCCAACTAAGCGGACGGGCTCGCCCAGGTGAAGTTGGGTACTGTACCATGGCTTGATATCGATGGTCAGGCACTACAACATCAAGCTTTACACTTAGAATATCAGCTCGGGCGCTAACAGAGACCGAAAAAAGTTTAATTATAAGCCTCCAAATCCAATGTCGGGAGAGTCTTACGGAGGTCGGCACCGAAAGACTTGAGCATGCCAACAAAAGGGTTGCCAGGGAGGTGATGTACATCCGAGTGACTCGACTGAGCGGGCCAATGGGTATGTTCGTAGCTACATGAAGAATCATCGTTAGGAATTTTGCAATGTCTGCCGTCCTCCCTACGGAGGTTGACAACCAAAAGTCCTGGATAACAGTTAGTCACAGCCCTAACCCTACCTTCGGAAGGCAGCGCCTTGAAGCGCATACTTTACTTTAGGCCAGGTACATTTCCGAAGCATCTTTTTAGGTTAAGCGCACAGCAGTGTCTGGGCAACCCTTTCAGGCCGAGCGGTATCCGAGATCTTGGCACAGAAAACCTTGGCGCCCAGGGCTCTCGGTGTCAACCTCCGTAGCCTCGTCCAACACCAAGGCACGTCCGCAACAGCCCCGGACGGAACGCAAAAACAATGTCTCGACCAACCCTACGCGATGTTAGCTGCGCAGCAGAAGGGTAGGTTTCCCGACTTTCTATCCACCCAGCAAGCCATCCGGTCGCGAACCATTTTCGCTGTCGGGGGACAGGAAAGCGGCGCGAAAGCGTCACTTGCTGCGGTCGAAGCGACATGGAAAGAGTTACGGAAGGACGTCTTCGTGGACGGCATGTCGTTTTCCTTTTCATTACTCATCTACCCTGACGGTTCTGCGCTGCTGTGCATTCGAGAACAGAATGATGCAGCAGATGACAGGAACGATCGGCGCCTTGGGAGCACCGTATCTGTTGATTCTCACTCGCCTTCCGTTTGCTAAACCTCTCGAGTTCCTGTGCCTCTTGCTCCCCATGTTGCATTCGCCTCTGTTGACTGTAGTTGACATTCTTTCTTGTGAGACGCCGTTCCGTGCGATGCCGCAAGGGCTATGATGCCTCACTTCCCGGCGTTGGGCGGCGGCTGACGGATCTTGCGTCCTTGAACATGTCTACGATCGCCTGGAAATCTCTCTTCTTCAGTGGAATGCAGGCGGATCCTGAGACTGTACGACTCATGTTCCGTGTAGGAAATGGCCGTTTGCAAAGCTACTCCTGACTGTAGCCTTCGCGCTCTTCGATTGGACTTTGGCTTTCGAAAAGTGGATCTTTTGCTGACCACTATGTATCTCCCTGCTATTTGATTGAAACTCCCGGACATCTGTATCTTTCATAACGTCTTCAATCCATTTCCCAACAATGACCCTCTTGGAAGACCATCTGAACCACCATCACATTTACCACGTCGAGTTGTTCCCTGAGGCGGAGTGTAGTTCTCGTAGTAAGCCGTACATTCCGTCGCCCACTTATTCAACTTATCCGAGTCCCTGCACATTCGGTCTCGGCCCACCAAATCAAATAGCAGAGAACTAGAGTCTACATACAAGGCAACGTGTTGTTTGGTAGGCTTCGACGGCGTAGATGATTTTTTGGAGAGACGAGCGACTCGATTATCCTTCGTTACTGTGATGAGACTAGGACGCTGGAACCCGCATTGGGCATCACAATTATTACTGATGGGATGGTCCTTATCGTTGCTCTACCAACATTTAACAAGTTCCATATGTCCGCTTCACAGGAAGCGGCTTTATCCGGTTTCTTTCTCCTTTGACTGATTGTAGGTACCTTGGACTTCTTAATACAATCTCTAGCCGCTATCCTAGTAAATCTTGGCCGCATTTCATTTCTCAGTCTTGCCAGACGAACGGAACTCAGCCTACTGAGATATAAGATAAGGTACCGACACATCCTCTAGGTCCTTGGCAGCCGGCATTACGAGAATGGTAAACGTTGTGACCCACATGTATGGTAAGTCGTTACCAGACTGGATCTATCCACAAGGGCAGGCACTGCCCATATCTAGACTAGACATGACAACCGGCTACCACAACGTGAAAGGTACATGTTCGCCTTTTGTTCTGGCGCATGCCGTGCTCACGATGAAAAGCCTCCTCAACAAATGTCGTCGTCTGGAGTCAGGTAGCAGCAAGTGCATTTGTGGCGGCCTATTTACCCACCATATGATCCTTGTATGCATATTGACTCGATTCAACCGTCTGTTGAAACACACGTAATTGGGGACTGCGATGGGACCATCGATATTCCTGCAGACGGCAGTGTCATACAGAATGGGCTGACAGTCACTGGGGAGCATGTGTGAGTTAACAAGGGTAGAGACTCATGTTCGGGAGGAGATACGGTAGATTCATCGCTAGACCTGTTAAGAAGGTTAGGTTCAGCTAGCGATGGGATCAGGATTCCGAGTTTACTTGTCAGCATGATGGGCTCCAGCATAAGAATACCCTCTTCACTTCCCCCCACATTCCTCCTTGTGAGACTTCAGTCATCGTCCCAAAGCCCATCTTAAGCACTGGCTCCACAAAAGGCTCCAATCTCTGTTATATCATCGGACTCTAATCAGGAAGAGATCTCAGAACCGAATTGGTCAACACCGTAACAAGGCAGCCAAGATGTGGCCTGGGGTGATCATGAAATAGGTCCTAAGGTCACTAGTGACGTGAGTCCGCTGTGCCGTTGATGTCTTTTTTATAGTCTTTGAATAATAGCTCATGGCCATGTAGATTTCGGGACTTGCTCGAGAAGTAAAGCAAGGTAGATCACGACAATGTCTTGCAACACGCGAGAACCACAGTACGTCCTTCGCAGAGTTGAGATATTCCCAGGTGCCACCAATAACCAAGACTAGCGTGATAAAGCCTGGGCTATTCCCTTTTATCGGTGCACCAGCCTGGGCTTTTTCCAGAATCCTATGATAACCAAGGTCCAGCTTACGAAAGCATGATCTGACAACTTCAACACGGCGAGTCTTTTCTCGACGTAGGGTACTTTTTAGGACAAGACCTTTGGCGGATGGTGGTAGACGGAGCTCCTTCGGACCGTCTTGATGCGGTGGATGTAGTCAACCATTGAGATCTAGGGTAGGAGATGTTCCGCGACCGCGACAGGGTTTCAGCACATTTGATGGAGACTGACATAATTCGTCCCAATGCAGCACTACAGGCTCTAGAGGGCACTATTGATGTCATTCCCGTCATGGGGTTCTTCATCAGTGGGATCAGGACACGCAGGTGAGTGCAATGAAGCAGCTAATCAAGCTATCGAGGCCGGGCGACGGCGCCATGATTGTTAGGTTTTACTCGGGAGTGTAGGAGGTAGAGGGAGACCTCCAACAGATCTGTGACAGACGCTACAATACTGGCATAGCCCGAGGTCGTACAACAAGATTTGGAATCAAGTTGGCAAGGAGACCGGGACAGAGTGGTCAAGCAAGGCGCAGCTGAAGGCTTGCGAGGAGGTAACGCGGAGTCCAAAGGATACTGCATTTTTGGAAGATGATGCACAGGTCGTCCAATGAGTAGTCCGTCGAATCGAGTGATATTGGAGGAACTGAATGTTGGATCTCGTGCTTTAATTCATGGTACTGCTTCATGATCATGTTCGCTTCACATGGCGCGTTCAGGTTCAGAGCAAAACAAAAAGCTTTTCAGAAAATCTCAATGTTCTTTCTTAGTTTCTGCTCACTTTTGCTTCATGGGAGATAATTAGGGTCAACCGATGGCGAGGAGGAGAAGCCGGCCTATCACACTGCCATGAGCCTGAGAGGTATCTGGTACTAGACTCCTGCGTGGAAAAGCCTGGTCAGGTTCGGTCTCGGCCTCCACGCTCCGAGACTCCCCGGTTTTCGCTCCTTCAGAGGCATCGGTCGAAGATCGCCAAGGAAGCTGTGAACACAGTGCGTAACTTCCTCCACCATCCCTCACTTCTAGTCTGGCTGTTGGCTGGAGGCTCGGTTGGTCAAGGCTTCCGAGGATAAATCTGGGTTGTGATAGGTTGATCCTCCTCCGCCCATGCGTTAGAACACATAGTATCTGCAAAGTAGGGCGTAGGAGCTGGAAGCATGCATGAGTGTATAAAATGTGCACTATTCGAGCACAAAAAGCTCTTTCGCAAGGTCGATGACTTTGGAGGGCGCTGTACTGATGATGTGAGGATCGTAACTGCGCTGCGAAATGATTGATGAATTAGCCGAGAACGCAGCAGACCGTATCTGCATCATGCAGGTGGGAAGGTGATAGGTTTCCAGCGGCCAGACTTAGGGTTCGGTCTTGTCGTCACCAGACATATCACTATTCAGAAAGGAGTCCGTGGTTTCTGTAAATGTATATAGGTAACTTGTCACCCTGGTGGTCAGGAATGAATACAAATAGTGGGTGTTGATTGCCTGAGGTATTTGAAAGCGTATTTGGGTGAAAGGCAGCCTTTCGCGCCTCTTTACTTTCATACATGTATAAAAGTGCATCAGTCTTGCATAAAAGATTCATCTCATCAGTTGATGTTCTCGGAGGGGGCCGTGCCTATTGATGCCTTTCGTTGCGAACTGGGGATAGTCGCGTGTAGCGGGTAGGAAGAGATCGATGCCATCCAGACTTTATTACCCTTGTTTTAGCTACGGCCCGAGACGCCCGTTGCATCTGCATAATTGTTGTTCTGATAGGTTCATCATTGAAGATGGCCCTAGGGTACGGGTTGGCATCCCGAAGACAAGATAGGTCTGCTGAGAAAGCGATCCGGAAACCCTTATGCGTAGTCGACTTGGAAACGCCAAGTCCCGCAGAGCAAGCACAGAGCAAGCAAATGATGGACACACGCTAGAAGCAGCTAAAATCGATATGGTAGAGGTTTCGTCACAGACACGAGCAAGACCAGAATTCTCCGACGTTTTCGGAAAATCAAAGCAGAATGTAGACGTCTAGGCTAAGTGTCACGTTTCGACTGGGCACTTGGGGCATCAGGGGTCCCTGCACCGCTGGTAAGAATGAGAACTTAAGAAGGCCCAAACACTCAAGGGAAACGGCCGCGGAAGAAGAGTTGAAAGAGTATTATCCTTAGAAGATCAGTAAAGGAATTCCAAGAGGCCTCAGAACGTAAGATTTAGTGCATGGTGTTAACCACCTCTCCTCTTCCTTCGAGCGGTCTCTTCGGCGCTGGCGAACTTAGCGAATGCCTCCGTATGTATTGCTGAGAAGATGGAGGGCGTAAGAGCGTTCTCTAAGCCGAGTTGCCTAGACCAAACCCGGTTGATGATATCGAATCTCCGGGAAGTCCAGCGAACAACATCTTCTGGACAGGAAGCGAGGTGCCCACATTGTGCGCAAGTCCGCTGTTCCGTTCCTACAGACCACAGACGCCACAGGGCCTTGTTGGTGGCGAATCTGCAAGAAGGGATGATATCCTCTGCACTGCTGAGGCTTTCTGATGGGCCCTAACTCTGCGCTTTCTGCGCCTTCAGACTCTGCACCGACGCCCAAGCCTGCACAATCCCCGCCACCGACTGCACTACGCCAAAGAAGACGGTCATAATGAAGACCAACACGGCAACCCAAAAGGTGAACCACTGCGTCTTCTTCCGATCATCCCACCACAGCTGCGAAATATTCCTAGGCTCCGCGTCATCAAACGTCCGCTTCAGCAGTACTAGCCGCTCTCTCCAATACACAAACTTCTCGATCTGCCGCTCAGAGCTGTTGAGTCGATGACACACGCCAGATTGTGCATCGATCAGCCATTTCTTCCGCTGCTGCTGGAACCATGGGTTTGGCTCCCCCAGTACTGGTGGTATGAGAAGGGATATGGACCGGATTGTCTCGTCCACAAGAACCTTGGGCAAGAGAGTGGTTGGAGACTTCTTGTGAAGTTGCAAAATAGAGACTTGATGGAATAGCATAAGCTTAGTATCGTCGTCCTTGAGTAGAAGGTGGTCTGCGAGATTGCTTGTCCATTCCACTTTGATCCCACCAATTTGTTCCAAATGGGCGGCCGTGAAGGCCTGCGGTAATTTGACCAGATCAGTCGAGTTGTAGCGACAAGAGAAGTTTTTGTTGATAAATCCTTCGTTCAGCTCGTGTCGTTCCTCCCCTAGTTTCTCGTTGTCCCTCCAAATTATTGGCTCGTCATACGAGATATCGCCTGGATACTTGCTAATCAAAAGCATCAGCCATAGACCAGCAGCTAAATCGACCAAAGTCCTAGCTAGACTCCCGGAATGTGCAATGACTGGGTCCTGCGTGATCATGGCGGCGATTTCCTCTCGGGTCGAGCCGTGGTCCTTCAACAGCGCGATGATTTCAACCAAGTGCCAGTGCGTCACCCTCTCAATCTCCCTGTCCTTGTTGGCAGCTAGTTTGCACAAATAAGCATATCGAGTAAAGAAAGACTCATATGCATTATCTGTAGCTTGAATGGTCGACAAGTGAAGTTCAAAAGGCTGGAGGTCAAACACATTGGAGAGAAAGTAGTACCGCGAGGACAGCGACTGAAGAGGTTGGGACAACAAATAGCATTGCAGAGCTGACTTGGCTTCGTCATATGCTTCCTTCTCTATGGTGTCTGCCATCACACGTTCGAGGAAACACTTGGTACTGTTCTTGAAGCCCTACCCCCTCGATGATTCAGTATCCTTCACGGCTGAGACGCTGATGAGCAGCCCGAAGACTGCGTACTGCTCACCCGGGTCTCTCTGACGAACGTTTCGCTGCCGAATCAATCAATATATTCTCAGGTCTCCACTCCGTGCCAAAGATAGATCCTACGACATAATACAATCTGGACTTTTAGGCTAGCCCATCTATACGCAGCTAAACGATGTGAGGGAGTCCTATTAGGAGTTGGTGAGACGGACTTGATTGCTGGGATTGACTAATAATAATTGCGGCGCGGAGCAAAACACAGCCACCCTGACCCCTCGGACAACCTCAGCGCACCACCCCAACTTAGAAACACCTCCCGTGGACGAGCTTGTACATAAGGTAGTGGAGATGTGAGCATCGTCCTATCCACATCCTCCTTAACCACCCCATCACCATGAAGCTCTTCATCTTCCTCCTCCTCCTCCTCGAGGCCCTCCCCCTCGCGACAACCGCCCGTCCCGTCTTCCCTCCACAGAACCAACAAGCCGTCGCAATCTCACCGCCCCTGACCCCCCCATCCTCAGTAAACAGCTTCGACTCATCCAGCGACCTCGGATCCGGATCCGGATCCGACCGCGGCCCCAACAAGTTCTCCCTCTCCAACGCGCTCAAGAAAATAAGGCCGTCGTCGTCGTCGTCGTCCTCCTCCTCCTCCTCTGAATTCCGCTGCCACCGCTACCCGCAGAACAGCATCCTCGCCGAGCTCGCCGCCTACGTTACGGATCTCCTGCGCAGCTACCGCGAGAAGGTGGCTGGAGGAAAAGGGGACCACGAGCGTCCGCTGTTCGAGACGTGCTATGCGGGATATGAGAGTTCGGATGTGTCGCCTTCGATATACTTTGGGAATATGAAGGCGAAGCAGATGGGGGTGGTGGAGAAGTTGTTCAACAGTCAGCTCAAGATGAAGTTTCCGGAGGTGAGGATTGTGAAGACGTCGAATGCCATTGCTGTTGTGATGGAGGATGGGCGGAAGATTAAGCGGAGGAATACTGTGTGAGCGGTGTTTGGTTGGGATATGTATGACGGTGATAACGGCGGCGGGCTTTGATTTTTACGAAAACGCCTTTGGGGTTCTTCTCCAGGAGATGGCTTCGGTCTACTTGTGTCGGACTCGTTCTTTGGACGAGATAGAGTGGTGAGCGTGCGTGAAATTTGATAGATGAGGCCTATACGCTGGGGAAAAGGGTTTTCGGAGCATCACTAAGCTCCATGTTTGTATATATTCGAGCTTCAAGCCGAATCATCTGCCGGTAGACAGGGGAGCTATAATACTGACAGAGCATAATATCCATCAAAAGCTTTCCCTTCAAAGCTCATCATGACCATGCTCCTGCCTTACGGGTTGCCCTTTGGCTTCAAATCTGGCATTCATGCCCACGATGCACCTCACAATATCCCAATTTCCATCCTGTCCAACCCAGTCGCATACTACAATGCCAGTACTTCCATCTCCAACAGGCTTCTCCTCCGAGCCGTCCGATACATTGTGTTTCGTACACAGATAATCGACAATCGCAGGATTCAACTTTGCCGCAATCCTATCAGGCCAGCAGCCGACTTTCCAGAAATTACTTGCTGTGAGAAAGTTGATGTAAAACGGCAGCTTGGCGTCTGAGCCTGGTGAAGGGCAGACGCATTCTGATGCCCTTCTCAGATGGTCAATGGAGTATTGAATCTTCTTTCCGATGTTCTCGCTCTCCAGCACCTCATAGAAATCTTGAATGCAGAGATCGCCACTGGGGCAGAGGGAATTCGGAGTGTTGTCTGCCCATGTATCGCCGTTGATGCACCAGCCAGCCCCACCCCATTCATTCTTCAGCCTCTCTTCGAGCGTGAATCGGCGAATCAGCACGATCTTGCCTCTTGCTTCGCCCAGAGTGGGAACGCGAGGAGCCGTGAACCAGCGGTTGACGTCTCCTGCGTAGTGGTCTCGCAAGATACGACTGAGCTGAGAATCGGTGGCGTTACCAGGACCTTCACGCTTGACGGACATTATGACCGTCTCGCTCGGATTTTGGGCTAAGAAAGCAAGGACTTCGTTCAACATAGTCCGAAAGTGCTTTGGGCCACTCAAGGAGATGGGGAAAACGCCATGAACCAGGTTGAGTTTATCATTGCTTGGGTCAAGAGGACCGTCAGGCTGAACGCGGATATCAAGAAAGCGCACTCCTTGTTGTAACTGTTCGCGGACTGGCGCTACCTGGCAGCGAACAGATGGCAGAGCGCGATGGTACGTAGGAGAGTTATGGGTGCCTGGGATAGAAAGAGCGGAAAGCGGCGTTTCACTCTCAAGGGTCTTCATCCAAGTGGGAAGATTGCTGCGATAAAAAATTGCGAGGTGATGATATTCGGGATGGTAGACAGTGGTATGGCTGAAGTGCGGATTGGTAGTTATTGGCATCAAGAGCTGGGAATGACATGTCGGATGGATTATGTTGGTCTGGTACATTTCCCCTTCGATCTCGAAAAACAAGCACAAGGTTTCATGAGGGATATTAGCAGGTCTGATATCCGCTTTGCGTAATGTGGAAGGCTCGAGGAGCAATGAGACATCCTGCAAATTGGTGACCGGTTGCTTAGCATTTACAGGTGTACTCCACACGCTGGTGATCTTTGAAATGTACCCTCCACCGCCTAGCGTGTGTTTCAAGTCCTGTATCTCGTAGTGCTTGAGATTTATCGGGGTTGATGTGAGATTGCGAACCGTTAGGAGCGGGGATGCCATAGTTGAGAAGTATAGATGGAGACTTTGTAGGGCGATTTTTCAATTCAAAAATAGAGAGTCAATCCTGTCTTCTAAATTCTGGCTCTTCTTAATCACAAGGAAACACACGCAATCAAGGTAAGAGAACCGCGTTGAATAGACTGCTATTGAGAAAATATTCTGCTGGAAATCGCCATTACAGATGCCGTGGGGTCAGAGTAGCTGGCAGAAACGAGACTTAATGATCTCGCTTCTCAAAGTATTGACGATACTGTTTTTACAATTTTATGAGACAGACCAGAGGATGAACTCCTCAGGGGTAGGTATTTATTTATTCATACCAAGCATTGCGTTAAGGACTAGCGCCAAACGGAAAGATTCCGCACCGACTTCGACTTGCACCACTCTTTCTCCCCAGCGCCCACCTCTCGAAAAACTATTCGCAAATCTTTACGCAAAATCCAGTACCCCAAACAATCCCTTACTATGTCTCGCGAAGCCTATGCTCCTCCTACCCTCCAGCCCTCAAGCTCCAACTTCAATACCACCAGCACAGACATCTTAGGATCCTCAACACAGTACCTCTGCGGCGAGTGCAACGCCAAAGTGCAGCTGAAGAAAGGAGACGCGATACGATGCAAGGAATGTGGACACAGGGTGCTGTACAAGGAGAGGACGAAGAGGTACGTTTGGCTCCTGCTCTGTTGATGGGCATGGAGCTATGGTGGGCTGACGGGCTACGGTTTTCAGGATGGTGCAATTTGAGGCAAGGTGACATAGGGTCGTGAGGTAGGGAATGAGACACGACTTTTCTCGGCCAAGGGTTGAGGGATTCTTCACGGAATGCGGAATGATCTGGGGGATTGTCAAGACTGGGGCTCCTGACATGGCTCAGCGGAAAGAGCAAGGTGCTATTCGAGATATCAGATGGTGGCATGATACCCTACATATGCGTTCTGTCGAACAAGTTCCAGGATCGCTACATCAATACTGTCGGAAAAGAGACAGTTGAATGAATCTTCTTCCTGCCCACCTCGTGGGACTGGGAGCATTTCGCAGGCTATCCACACTGAAGCCCGAAGAAGCCAAACTCGCTCACAGAATCCACTACCTGTTTTTTCATTCTTCATGTCTACCCTACACTCAATAGAGCGCAGGTGCCCCCTTCACTAACTTATGCCTCGGCTCCCCTGTTCAGAACGACCATTGGATTAAAAAGAGCGTCAGCAAAACAGAAGTCAAACCGAAGATATTCCCGTCTCTATTTATGATCAATCTCTGCTCTTCAAGTGCATTTTAATTCCGTCCACTAACACCACAGACACAAGTCCCATTTTCTGGGCTTGTGTTTCCATCCGGTTTCACGCAGCAAGGCTCATAAAACCAGCTGCTTGAGCAGCTAAATTTACGAGCATTGAGATGTTATCAATGCAACAGAGAAGCGGCAAGAGAGGGCTTGTCAAGCTGTTTCTCAAGTCCTGGACCGCGGTGGACGTACTAAACACAGGTATCGCAAAGATTGCTTGTAGAAACATCATTGCGTGAAGCTTCTAACATTCAAGAACCAGCTTTCGCTGCTGCCTTCCTTATCAGTGTCACCAATATCACCTTTCCCCGCCATTTCTGCCCTCACCTCCGCCTTCATCCTCATCTCCACCTTCTTCTCCACCTTCCTCTCCACCTTTCTCTCCGCCTTCAACCCCGTCTCCATCCCCACCTTCATCCCAATCTCCATCCACACCGTCATCTTCACCGTCATCATCTGCGCCTCCTCCACCGCGGCTTCCGATCTCTGCAGAGGATGTCGAGTCTAAAGAGCGTTTGAATTCCTTGCAAGCTAGATCCTCGTCACCGCGGTCTGGACTCCGAGCCAAGACTCCTTCCAAATTACGAGCCCGAACTACCCGCTTGGGTGTCAGTCTCGCGGGACCATTAGCATTGACACGTGCAGGTGCCGGTACGGATGCCAGTCGCGGTGTAATAGGAGCCGGTATTGGAGTGACGCGAGGAGCAGGAGTTGGTGTTGGAGGTGTATCTGGAAGAGACGTGCAGAGGCCAAGATTTGGCATTGGGAACAATTCCATCTGCGTTTAGATGCAGTCTTGTCGTGGGGAGTTGGAAGCGATTTGGGTATCGTCAGCATCTCCGTCATCGTTGTCATTGCCGCTGGTGCCGTCATCGCCGCCATCTCCGCTGCGTCCTTCGTCAGCTCCATTCTCCTCTTCACCCTCGCCATCTCCGCCGTAACGGCGGTAGAGAACTTCGTCGAAGATAGATGCAGCACCGAGAGCCCTTTTGCAGTGTTCGACAGCCACTACGTCATCCGGGGACCATGCAGAGATGCCTTCAAGATCATGTTTATTCGGATGCGTGATGATCTCAAAGTCAATCGATCCTGGTCCGAAATCAGCTTCTTGCGATTCGAAAAGCACGTGTAGGTGAATGAGATTGAGGCTTGACTTACCAGCAATCGGTAGTGCAACGATGCTCACGATATGGAGTGTGATGCCGACGGTATCAGACAACAATTCCAACTGCATTCCGAGATAATTCACTCAAAGGTTGTCAAATCTGGTTGAATGTCAAACTCGAGATACATGCTGCGAAGGTGGAAGCGTCTTTCATATGTCTTTTGTACCTGAAGTCTAGAATATTCCATTATCACTTTGCATGAGCAGTCGTTCGAGGAATGCGTGCGAGGTCCTAATGTCACCGTCGGCAAGTCATGGCGCTGCGCGAGAGTCACATCGGATCGAGGAGAAGCCGCATTTGCTTCGACGGCGTATCTAGGAATAACCTCTCATCTACTGGAGCAATGTGGCGCCTCTTGGCAGATCTTTAGAGAAAGGTTCTGGTTAAGACGTGATCTTTGTTGTATTTCTGAGTTGTGCCCTTCCAGGGTTTAAAATACCTTTAAATTCACCATTGAATTCGAAGACTTGATGGCGATAGTCCTGACGTCGACGTTCCAGAATGTCAGACTTACAGGGTCTCAAAGCATCCAAGGAGAGTTCTGGACAGTGTAGAGGCGTAAGGAATTGGATCCTTACTTTTCACAGCCTACAGATATGGGATGTGCTTGACCAGGCCATTCTCCGACGCCACGCCAAGCATTCTTTCTGATGTACGAGAAGCATCACGTTCGTAGCTAAGTCTCGAACGGAGATGACCGAGGACGTAACCGCAGCTTGAAATCGCACATGAGGAAAGCTTGACAAGGGTACCTCGAGAAGAGTAATTGAGACTGAGCGTAGCTGAGATGTTTCGTTACGCATCTCTCACACACTTCGATATGAGAAGGGATACTCGCATATGAGGTGTGCTTCCTCGTGCACTCGTTACTCATGAATCTCTGGCCACAAGAGTAAGATGAAGGCGAGTCCACATAGCCTATGGCTCTAGGTCTCAAGCAGGACCAACAATTTTGAATCAATGATAAGATCTGTTCTGTCGTGATCGACACGTACTCCTCGTCACCAATCGAAAGAATGCCACTGAAGCATCGAAAGAACTGTTTTTGTACATTAGCTCTTATGCGAAAGACAATCGTAGATTACTTGGCTTGTCTTCAACCCAGCTTGTTCGTGGCGTAGGTCCAGTTTCTGGGCGTTGTCGGCGTTGTCGGCGTCCCTGGCTCCGGAGAAGAGACATGTAAGATGATTCCTCTTCCTATCCACGTCGCGGAACCGGCAACATCTCGCAAAGTCCATCAGTGTTGAAACCCTAAGAAGCTAAACCCGCTCACGAAATCCACTGTCCAATTGACTGCCTCCACTCCATAGAACGCAGATCACCTCTGCACTACTCTGTTGCTCAACTCCCCAAACCTTCCTGCGGTGCCCATATATCATTCGAAAAGCAGCCTTCCTGGCCTCCTTGTCCTTTCTCTCTTCCTGCCTCTTGATCTCTTTGCCTTTGAATGTTCTGCAACGAGCTTATTTCCTCTAGGATCAAGCAGCTCAGACCGCAGCTTATCTGCGACCTGTAGCGTTTTGATGACAGTCCATCTCTCTGTAACAGATCCATCGTGGTAGTAATCAACGTATGGTTTGTCATCGCTTACAACCACAGTTGCATGAGTCAGGAGAAGCATCTGCATGGGTGACAAGGGCTCCATAGCATGATGTGTAGAATTGGCCTCTTTGAATTCCAGCATGTGGTATGATAGCAGATGGACAGTGACATGGGATTTCCGCACTCAAAATAGCATTGCAATCACCTTTGGACGCACACGTGAACAGGAGAGTTTGACACAACATCTGGGACTGTGGTTGCACGGACACACACTTTCTAGCGATCGATCTCCTTGGCCAGGAAAATCCGGTTCACCCACAAAATTCGATAAGTCTGCTTGCTTTTTGGGTTTGTCTTGCATGCCGAACTGCACGTGCGAAAAAGTCACCGAGGACGTCAGAACTCAAAATCCCACTCGGGCTACCGTAGTAGTTTTGACTCATTAATCAAGCAGGGTTTTTATGCTAATGCAAGCCACTCGTTGCGACCGCTGTTGACATCGGGAATTCATTCTTAGTGGAGTGGCCATTAGCACCTCCTTAGTCTCGGCCTTACACCGCAAGCCTTCGGTCAAATGCAGGGTGGCGATCAGGGGCCTCGGGGAGTTCATGCGGGTGCCTGCATGGTGTGGGTTATGCTGCTAGGTGCATATGCACCAAGGGGAGCGTAATTCGGTGTGATCTGACCGCGGGCAATGTGATCGGAAACTGGGAAGTAAGTCCGAGGTTTCGAGCTTGATGAGGTGTGTTTTGATCAGATATATTCGGAGGACCTTTCATCTTTTTTTCTTTTTCGGCGAGTTTTAGCACGTAGTTTTGCATGATGGGAGTCGTTCGTGAGGTGCATATGTTATAAAGTACTGCATGGTCAAGAAAACGCAAGTCTCGGTCACCTGAATGCAGTATGGATGTAATGAAGATCGAAAATTTCGTAGTTCGTTTCGAGTTCCAACGTGGTCAATTGTGTAATAATAGGAGTTATTCGGGTTAGACGATCTTCCGCTTGTTGTTCGGAGAAAACATTAGAGGAAGCCCGCATGATGCGGGTCGATTGCGAGATGCATATGGAGCATTACATGATAAAGGGGTTGTATGCGTAAACAAGGGGAATCTAAGTCCCGGTGATTTGACTGCAAATCCTCCTGATGGAGAACTGGGAAGCCCTCCTGAATTTCCGAATGTGGTTTGGTGTTTTTGGACAGGATATTTTTGGGGTCGGATACTATCGGTCCAGACTCAAAATTTCTCTCCGTTAGCTGCAGGTTGTGCGGTAGGGTACTGTGATCTGCACTGCAGCTGCGTGGACTAATGCAGCATCTGTTTCGCCGATCTCTTGCCCAATACGTCTTTCAAAGATCATCGCTGCTTGGAGTAGCTTGGGCAATCGTCCTGAATAGTGGTGTTCCGATGAAGGTCGGCGGATCTCGTGATCGCTTAAGAGTGCGACTCAGCGCTCTCGATCTATTCTTGCCATCACGACTCTGCAGCTTTATGTGGGTCTTCTGCAGTCCTGACACTCTCGCCAAGCTCGATCGATAGTTTGGTAAAGCACTAGATTCACGGCTCGGCTACCCTAGCATATGGGCCCCTGGCGCTCTGCAGACTCTGCCGCGCGTCTTTTGGCAAGGTCCCGGATCGGCGGAGACGTGGACCGAAAACGCGAAAAGACTTGAGCACACAGGTCATCCTTGGAAGTCTTGACTATAGTGGCACGGCTTGCAGATTTGGTGTCTTGGAAGGAAACACCAAGTCGTTTCGCCCAATGAGCAAACTGGGGCCCATCCTTGCCGTAGGGGCTTCAGAGCAGGGAAGCGGGGTTTCAAAGCATATAAAATTGATGGCAAAATACCGTTTTAGACATGATTTCAAAGTCTGAAATGTCTTTAAACTGTTGTCGCACGACCCTTGACATGTGACTGACTGGAGTACGCCAATAGCTTAATCAATAGGTATGGGAATTACTTCAGGCAAGTTCTCTGGACCGGTGGTCGATTATTCCTACTCTGTAGATTTGCCGATTCTAATTCAGGGCTGGAGCCTATTCGAACGGTGTTAGTAACGTACGTTGACTCTTAACCTTTGAGCAAATGTAAGACACTGTGAACCCTTCAATGTACCTCTTTCAAACCGGAGTCGCTATTTCGCCACTGAGTGTCCCGCCTTCGAGTATATTACGGGCGTATTTTTGGCTCTGAGATCTATGCCGACTCCATCTCTAGATTGAATGACCCTCACCATCCTCAGATTCGGGCTTGGGGTCCACCAGACACCCTCCTAGCTCACCCCCAATGTCCACGACCACTAGAATGCATGACGGTCGGATGCTCTGGGGATACGTTTTTAGAGAGTTGAGGTGGGCACTGCTATATGGTTCGATGTCGGCAGAACATTGTTTTCATTGGTCTGGTACCGCGCGCTCAGTACGAGTCTCGGCCAACATCGTCCCGCCCTGGGCAAAGGATCGTAGTACGTACTAAACTAGCGCAATGTAAAAATACGGCTAGGTCTCGATTAGTCCTTACATAATCTACATTGGTTTTCTTGCGCCCTTACCAAGATCAATCGAGGTCGCGCTATACAAAGCTCAAGAAGCATTCTCAGTCCAACACCTCAGTTCTCCTTCGTGTATGTATTCTATTGTAATACGTGCCTGTTTCTAGGGGCAGTATTTGAATCGCCGAATGAGACGTTCAGCTAAAAAGCTCCTTGAAATGTCGAGTCTGCTCCAACTCCCTAGGGAGCTACGGGATGAAACCTACAAGCTCATATTAGGCTCACGAATGGTGCATTCGGTCTCTGAGGAAATCTCAGCCCCTTGAGAGGCGACTATCAAAGGAGCACGTAGCACCACCCACCTTGGCAACAACGAGCCAGTCTATATTGACATTCTGTGCTCTGAGAGATACGTCGAGACGAAAACCGAGCAAGAAGTCTATCATATCTCGCAAAATCTGGATCTGAATAGTCTACTCGGTACAATGCTGGGGGTAGCAGTGGCTAGATTCCGAGACTGCAGACGACACACTCGATGCGCGAGGGGCTGGCAGATATTTCCGCTGGGTAGGATTGTGTTGCGTGGACTTTTCAAGACCGTCTCTGTCAAAAGAAACAATTGCATGCCTCTCCTCCAAGCATCCACAACCGTCTACCAAGAAGCTAGCGCCATTTCTACGCCACCACTACCGTCTCGTTCAAAATCGTGCATACTTTGACGAGGTTTCCACTGATACCTGACCTCGCTGCAGCGGTCCGCGGTGAGGAGTATGCATTTGGATATCATTCTCGATGCTAAGAGTGACACCTGGAGCTGTAAAAGTGATGATCTTCGCAACACACTTGCGTTACTTCCCGGTCTTCAGGATCTTTATCTAACTATCGAGCAAAGCTGTCGAGGAGACTTTAGGACCTTTCTGGAAACACTGCAGGAGGAATCGCTACCTTTGTGGAGAAAAGACCTCATCCACTTCCGCCGCTCCTCACTCCGAAACGTCGCGGTCGTTGTCCTGGATATTGACTCATCTGGTTCACAAAATTGGAATCGGAATGGGCTACGGCAGCTTCGGTCCGCTTACCTGGAACGGGAGGGTCACTGGACCATGGCAGAGAGGGCAGAATATGCTAGAGTTTTGAGAGGTAAGTTGCTCGCTATATCACCTGTATCGTCTACGAGTACAAGTGATCAGGCTAATTGAGCAACAATATGCCCGCGATATCAGCGTATCCTGATGGAAATAAAGAACCATACTATCCTCGGTACTTAAAGTTCTACTCCTATCAATCGCTTGCCTTACACCGTCTATTTTCGGCATGGAAGGGCTCGGCCTCCCTACTCGTCTCTCACGATTCGTCTCGGTGCCCTGCTTACCGCCCCTCCCTCCAACCTCCACACCGTTTGCTATAATCCACCGTGACTTCCACGCTCCCAATCCCCTCACCAGCCACTTCGACCATCCGCCCAACCTCCGTCTCAGACCTCGGCGCCATAACCGGCATCACGTTCGCCGCTCTGTTATCCGGCCTACAGCAGCCCAACTGCTTCACTCACGTATCCCTGTGTCCAGTTGACCAATACCATCACCGCCACCTGATTATTGCTAATAATAAAGCCATTGCGACGACAGGCGTTCATTTGGTCACGGTCGCTGAAATGCCGAGCGATGAGGACTGTAGTGTCAGGCAAATGGTCGCGATTTGTGGGCGGCGAATACCCAGGACGCATGTGAGGAGGCAGGACTGAAACTAGATGCTCAATCTCGTTCACCGCTTACTGCGAGATGAGGGTTCGTAGAGCTGATGGGTCTTGGTGAGGTTACCACATTCAGTCGCGACCGCCGGCACTGTTCTTCGCCCGCCGCGACACCAACTCATCCCACCTCGCGTGCAGGGTCGGAGCGCCACTTTGGCGGCAGGAAGGCGCGAGATGTTCGATCCCGTCTACGGGGACGACGGCTTCGCCCTCTCCCACCTCGCCACGCATCAGAATTGGCAGCGACGAGGTTCCAAGATCGTGTTGTGTTAGTGGGCTATGATCAGGGCGAGGGAGTAGGGCTAGGCTGTAACGTGCTTTACGTCAGGGATGCATAAAAAGCAACAATTGATTTCGTATCAATCTCGGAGGGGTTCGAATACGCCTGGAAAAGTGTCGCATCGCTTAGCAATCTGCGAGTTTCTGAAGATTAAACCCAGGAGTATGAGCGGGTACATGTGGTTCATTTTCTCTTTAAAACCTGAATAATCCATATGACTAGTGGAATTACTTCTCAGTCCTACAGTAGTGCAGAAATCTTTTGCAAAAAACGTGGTCAACGAGTTGTACTGATGATATGTGAAATGCTATAACTGCTAACATTTTTTGGATAATGTGAAACTCCAAGATCTGCTTGATTGCGGAAGCTCCTTCTTCTCCTTCTCCATCTCCTTCTCCTTCTCCTTCTCCTTCCCCTACTCCTTCTCATCTGTATTTGATTGTCTTGCTCGTACTACCTCGATCTTGGCTGCCTCCTCTGCACACGCCAATCCTGCGCGGGTTCTTCTCCTCTTGCCATCGCAGACCCCGAAATGGCTCGTGGAACGCGCTGGTTTAGGATGTAGGGATGGTCGATTGGAGGACTCAGGCCTGGTCTAAATGCTTCAAACGTGACACCTAAACTCCGTACTTTCTTCGCAACTTCGCCAACAGTCTCTTGCGAAATGGCAAGGCCTCCTCCCCCGGCTTGACTTGACGGTTTCTGGCTACCTCCTGTGCACGCCAATCCTTCGTGGGAATTTCCCTCTTTGCTATTGCAAACCCCAAAATGACTTGTGACGCAGGTTCGTCAGAACGTTCACGGCTTTTTGGGAATCGAGTTGAAGAGCAGCGCAACGTCCTCCGGGTTTTCGAGGTGCGACTCAAGTTCATTGAATGCAATGGAGCCTGAGAAGGGACCCTTGTAGCAGTGGACTGTAGACGTTGTGGGAAAAGGGTAGAATTGTTGCCTGGACGGATGTTAGAAATGGTTAGAATCGGACTGCCGGTGCAGCATACCCTATCCGACTTACAGCCCAAAGCCAACATTACCGCTCCCAGCCGTCCCACCAGTCAAGAGCCGTGTTTAAAACCCAACCTGCTCATGCCAGCCCGATCACAGCATCATGAGTCCCGTTGACCTATCGCTCCCGGTCAACCCGCCTGCTGTCTTTTGAAAGGTGGTCCACCTGCCGCTTGTGGAACCCCTACCGTGGCGGCCACTGCTGGAGGTCCTACCGTCACAGAACGATCAAGAGCCGTCACAGCCACAGAAACAATCCCTTGTGTGGCACCTCACCAGTGACGAAGAGTGTTTGACAGGCCAGTGCTGACGGCATTCACTGGTGCCAAGTTGTGGGCCCCTAGATAGGATTTCCACAGAAACAGTGCCTCATCACTCTTTTTCACAGGCTCGAACCCTATGGTGGCCAAGTGCACATTGTCTTCAACACGTTGATCTCTGCTGTAGCTGGTATCATTTAGCACTGCTGGTTACATTCAAGGGCGGTTTTGATACTTACCGCGAGAACAGACTGTGTTCGCTTACGTATGGCTTTGCTATAACTCCGCCAAGGGTCATTCTGGCTACCATACTGATTTATATATAACCAGGTTAATTGGTTCCAATAAGCTGTATTAGCGCCTGGGGGCTTGGGTCGGCATGTATAAGGTATTATATTTATACGGAGCATGCTTGCGATTCTGGCGAGTCGAGTTGAAGGACCCGTCGAGACATGAACGCAGGACAAGATTGTGGTTATTGGATCTGAGGTTGCAGTCTTCTAGCAAGTTCTTGGCCCAACCGTCCGTCGTGATGTCTTGCAAAGATAGGCATTCTTCTGTCAACGGCTGACTCAATGGGGAGTGCACACCTGTATCCTTGTCAGTACTTGCACGCGCTTTGGGACCAGCAACATTTTACACTCACAAAATTCAACGACCATTACCCAGGCTCTGCAGAAGTTGTTGGAAGTCTTCGACGCGATTGCCACCAGGAAGGAATGTGTGACAATGATTGGGGTTGATGCCTTTCTGCCGGAGCTCTCCAAAGCGAAGACGACCAGCATAACGAGGAGCATTTATGTATCCTCTTCCAAGTAGGTTTCGAAGGCAAGTCGTGAATTTGGAAGATAGAAGAGGAATGGCAAAGAGAAGCTGAGTCGCCTGAGCATCGCTCTTCGAAGAGGCAAGATGTAAAGAACGATGTCTTCGAGCGATGGCAGTCGGGTCCAGAGGTTGCGGCTGAGCTTGAGATGTTGTTGTTGAAACTCAGTGTTGTCAACATTAGTCCTTTTAAAACCGACACCGGCAACGTTTCTCAAGTCACTCAAGTTTGCTGTTGAGCTCCAGAATTGGCGCATCACCTTTCCTTCACCATTCTACTGAACTAGACCTATCCATTAGGTCGCAACACCACCCGCTTCACACACATCTGCAGCACAGTTCGTTGTCCATTTCCAGAAGCTCTTTGTCTATGCTGTAGAACTGAAAGATATTAGCAAGGAACCCATGAAGATGTTGAACCCGATTCCGAAGAGGAAGATCCGAGGGGGAGACCAGGCTTCCCTGATCTTCTTTCAACATCACAATGGTGTCTTCTTGAAGCAGCCAGAAGGGAGTACCATCGAAGAAATAGACTCACGATGGTTATATATGTATGTTATACCACTTGCAAGCGAAAAGCTACTTGGAGGAAGCCACCCTTGCAAGGTACCACCTAGAAGCTGTTGTATGTTACCGAGAAGATTCTCTGAGCTGGGGTTTAAATACCTGAGAAATCCCCTCGGCTATCGGAAGCGCTACTGTTAGCTTGTGGCGTCTATTTGGCTATTCACCACACATAAAAAGCATTTTTGTTACCTAATGTGACATTTCAGGCGTTTTGCCTTCGTAACGTGTGAATAGGTGGAATTCACATGTTCCTGTGTTCACCTTTGCGCGGCTATTCTCTTCATCTCTGGCATTCACAGCTCGTTGTTCGATGATCATTGGTCAACACGCCTTTGACATTCACAGATGGATGCTTCCTTGTTTCCACAAGTAGGTGAATCCCCTCAGGTCACCGCTAATGTGAATGATGATTGCGTCGTTGTGCTTGAATGTCTCTTGACCCGGATGAGTTTTCTTTCCTAGGAGTCTCAACCTTCATTATACTAGACATTCATTTCCGAGATCCATTCTATCTTCCCTCCGAGGATTCTTACAATCCTCACAGATTGTCACTTTCACAGATTCGAGGGTCACACAATTTTCGGTCTTCAAGTCTCACCAGCCAAATGGGCCTTTCAAAGATGATGCTTCCCTTCACCTGCCCCAATTGAAATCCTTCTCATTTGCTTCTTTGGTCATTCATTGGCTCTCAAAGCCTACCATAAGGAGATTTCATAAAGATATCTTGTGCAAAGAAGTAACCTTCATCTCAGACAAACGACTTTGTCCAACTTTAGCTTCTGCTCTAGCAAATACTCGCTTACCGCTTCCCTCACATCCACAGCCTGCACCCCCACAGCTTCGTCCTCCACCAAATCCCAAAAATCCGCCGACCCCTCCTCGTCATTGGACTGCGCACTAATCGTCAACTCTCTCGTCGCAGCCTTCAGTTCCCCTTTCTCCAGCTTCTCCATTGCACCACTCTTGATCTGTTTCACATCACCTTGTTCAACGCTCAATTCCTCCCCTGTCTCGGTTTCCAGAGCAGCGAGAATTTTTTTGTGTGTTGAGTTCAGCACGCCGGAGATTAAAATGCTGCGGTTTACTATGGCGGCTGGGTGAAGCAGCATGTTGACTACGGCGGTGGGGATGACCGGGAGGGACATCCAGCAGGCGAGGTTGTTGCCGGTGCCGTAGATTGTGGCGCGGCGGGCGGGAATGTCGAAGCCGGCGACACCGAGTTCGAGCCCTAGGTTTCAAGTTAACTCGCCGCGTAGTCAAGAGATGACATGCTTATGAAAATCTAGACAAGTGTCAAAAAGCGTTGGACGTATACATATCGAAGAAAGACCCTCCATTCAGAGCAGTCCAGGCAATTTTGCCCGTCTTTGCTCTCTTTTCCAGATACCCTCGTATCTTGACCTTGTCACCCACGAATTCCATCGGGAAAGTCTGGTAGTGTGAACTCAAAAATGTTGGCCACATAGTCGCTAGCAAAGGTCAGCTTCACCCCTGCTTCGATCGCCGCATCGATGAGCAATTTTTGAGCAGCGACCTTAGTCTGGCCGCCTAGGACGCAGCAGAGGAGAGTGTCTTGGTTGCGGAGGGTACTAATAAGGGAGCCCGAGGAGTCGAAGTCGGTGGTAATGACGTTGATGCTGTCATTTGGCGGCGAATAGCTGGAAGTCGGGCGGGTGAGAGCGGTGATTTGAAAGCGGTCGCATTCCTTCAAAAGGGCGGCAATGGTAGCGGAGCCCACATTCACATGCGGCTATGCTGTTCAATTATTACCGGCTGTTTAATGGTGAGAGTATAGCTCGGAGTCTTACCGCAACGGTGGCGACATTTTTGATATGCGTCTTTCTCAAACACTGATAGTAACGATGACTAGAAATTGATAGTCTAGGTCAGATGGAGAGAAATAGCATGTAGTGGAGCGGATTCTATGCACGCATTATTGAAAGCATCAAGCATCGACACATTCGAAATCAACCTCAGTCGTATGCCATTCATATCTTGCATCCCAAAACCCATTCTATCGAATGTTCTTCTTCGAGAATTCGTTCCCAGGCTCTCGAATTTGACTAAAATGGGTCCATCCAGGTCCTTCAGCACGTCTTCACAGCCTTGCCGGCATGTGACCAGCTTGACTTCCTGCTCCGTCGCCAGACTTTGTTGAGAGAACAGCTCTTCTGTCTCCTTTATGACATTGTGCAAAGCGCCGACTTCGCTGGAAAGCTCTGTGTAATTTCCGGGCGAGTCTTTGCACTTCTTGTAGACTTTCCAGCAGAGCTGACCCACGGCGACGAAATCGTCGATTCCATAGCCGAAACTCATTTCAGGTATGTATATAAGAGGCCTGTACAAAAGCAATGATGTTTAACCTTACAAGCCCTAGCGATCGATTTAGTAGCTCGTTGGGAACAGAGTCCACAGATTGCATACGTCTTAGTTGTTGCGGTAGCCTTGTTGCTCGACGCAGGTGCCTATCATGCGGTGATAGAGTCAATTCAAGCATCTTTGAATCTACTCCATCTCATTCAACGAGCCGAGAGTGTTTTGTTTGAGTTTCACGGAACAAAGAGTTTGACACTACCGATAGATAGAGCTTGACCATTCAGCCAAGATTTTCACGGGACGGCATGTATGCATAGCACTGACGAGCAACTACTGTACCTTTGTCACTCACTCACTTCGCAATGACAGAATCATGCGCACCCATGATCGAATAGGGCAATGTAGGAGATGTCTTCGCTCTTTGTTTGCTCTCCGTGCACGTTCAGCTGACTAGACATTCTCGTCCTCCAAACACCAACACCGGCAAGCCTGCCGCTCCTTCTCTCCCGAATTCGTTAGCAAGTTCGGCCGCCTTTGTGTGAAAGGACGAGCTACCCTCCTTACTCACCCTCCTCCCCCTCCATCACCAACAAGCCCGCTCCCATCAGCCGCCCTCATCAGCCACACGTCAAGGATCCTTCCCCTTGCCTAAAAAGCCTGCTTTGGGCCCTTACCCCAACGAGGGCGACGTTCTTGATATGCATCTTGCTCAATGACCAATAATGCAGAGTGACGGTGCTCTATCTCAGAAAGGAAGAGATGGCAAATAGGAGACGAAAGAATGAGCAAATTAGGGGTATTAGACAATGCGTGGTTGCTGTTGCCTAATAGTGCTACACTCTTGCATCTACAATGATGCATGTTGAAGTAGGCTGGTGGCATGGACGGTATCAGGTCGAGTCAACAGGAATTGGATACTGTAGATGTATAATTCAGATTGTCCTTTCGCCTAACAAGAACCGCGGCCCTTAGACCAACAACTTGACACAATGTCCCCAGTTTTGTGTTCAAACGTGCCGGAAAGCTCCTCGTAGCTTTCTCTCTTCTCGCCACTGTTGTCCACGTCTTCCCTACGATCTTCCATAATCATCCTCGTCCTGACTGGCAACGGCATTTCAATACGTTCGTACGTCCTCGTCTTCCACTTCTTCCTCCGGCATCCCGTCCTCAGCCAGCAATAAAGCAAGACGCTCCCACCTTTCTTCACTTCTTTCTGTCTTCCCCACTCCTGTCCCCTCAACCTTCAATCTCCACGCTGGCCGACCCAGAATCCAGAGCAGGTTCGCTCAGAAGGTCACTCCTAGTATAGCCGGAAGCACCATACCCAAGAATGGCCCACGCTCAATGCCGAAGTAATCGGCCATGTCTTCGACCTTGCGCTCTCTTGTATCACTGAAGATCATGTAGAGGCGGCTGTAGGCTGATTGCAAGGACGCCAGAGGCGTGCAGCCTGGTGTGCCCATTAGAGACCAAGGCGATGAGTATGTGTCCTCGAGCTCTTTCTGATTGATGTCTGCTTGCACTTGGTACGCACTCAAGAGCAGATAAAATGGCCAGGGATGGCAGGAGAAGACGAGCTTGCGGCGTTCGTACCAGAGAGAGTCACGATGGAAGGCATTGAGGTATAGCGTTTGATAGCGAGGATGCGCGAGGGTGGTATTGCAATGTGTCGCTATGGCATTTGGAAGGATGCTTCGCCAATGAGTTCAATCGTTGTCCACCAGTCTGCTCGTTGTCGTGACCTTGAGAGTGGTCGCATAAAAACTTTCAGCTGCCGGCCGGTTGTTCTCCGCATGGGTCCGTGGCACGCCTGAAAAGAAGTTCAGCGCTAATGATAGCCCTGAGATCTTCATGGTTTAGTCGTAGAAGGGAGAAAATCTGTGGAGACAATCGTGATGCTCTCCTTTATAGAAGGTAGCGTATTCTGAAGGCGTTGCGTCCTAGACTCCTAGTCTGGGACCAATGTACGAGCTCCGAGGAGCGGGCTTCGGAGACAAGAATTCTTGGGGTAGAGCTATCAGGCCATGCCGATAGACACTACCGTGCGTATAACAATATGGCTTATACGGAGGCAGTTGTAAGTGAAAGTGAGGTCGTGGAAGCGCCCAAGCGGAGAGGTGTTTTTATGCATCAATTATGCAGATTTCATGCATGCTTTATGCATGCTGGTCGATTAGAGAAACCAGCCAATCTCAAGATGCCAATTTTCACACAAACCCAAATGTAGATTTGACGCGCTCATCTATGTAAGCTCATGATGAAAATTCAATAGGGTGACCAGATGCCAGGACCGTGTTATCTTCATTTTAAGATACAGCGATATGAAAAACGACGCGAGGGCCTGCATAAAGTACATCCGGTCTGCTGTAAGACGCGTCGCTTGATGATGGGCGTACAAAATCAGGTTTCAAGGAGTTCCAGATAAATAAAAACCTGTTTAGCAAGGTCATACGGTACGATGTGGGCACACATGGATTGCTCAGCAGGCAACCCATGCATTACAGAATAGGTCCTGTATTCATTAAACCCTGCTGCTGTCCATGTACTTTGTCAAAGATTTTTCAAACGGGAAAGAAATCATGTCGCTTGCCGCAGAAGTACTCAGAATGTTTGTTTGCTTGCCTTGTTCGCCCCTGGGCATGTTTCAGATGAATCTGCTCTTACAAGGTGCTGCGCAACTTATAAGCCGATCTTGAGGCTCGTTCAAAATTTGCTCCGCAGTCGTACCACCATACCAAAGAGACAAATCGGAACCTTCGCTTTACATCTGTGCTGAGGAAACATCACCCTGAACCATACCACAAGAAGGTAACTCGAAATTCAAGCCAGTGCTGGACCTTCTCATACTAACACTTGTAGCAGTGGTGGATTCATTGAACCCTTCCTGAGCTGCTACCTCTAACGATTAAGGGTATCCTCCTCCCAAAACCACGCAGGACCCGCAGCCATGAGCACATACAAGCGTTTCCCTCAAGCAAGCTCCCACTACAACCAGGCAAATTCCAAAGCCATCACTGCCCTCCGGGAGATGCAAACCGCCATGAGAGAAATGAGCGCCGAACACGTCAACTTCCACAAATATTTCGACGGCGTACAAATACAGCTCCAGGAAATGAAGAAGGCCTACGGCAGTAAAGAGCTAGACCCTGAAGTCATTCGATCCACAGCTCTTGACAAGTTTCTCTCGGAGGGGAACCTTCCCAAAGTCACGGCCCTTGGACACTTCGCGGTGGAGAATGCTTTGAAAAACTTTCAGCTGCAGAAGAAGATGTTGGACGAGATTCGTAAGCAGACGGGGGAGTTGGTGGAATCGCTGCTGGGGGATTAGCGCTGCACGTGTGGAGATGGGCGTGGTGCGGGAGCTTAGGCTGCTGGCGACGTTGAAAAGGATCAGCTTGACCTGTAGCTGTTGTTGGGTGTAAGGGAGATAGGTGGGGCAAAAGTTCACAGTACACTGGCCTACTTCTGAAAGCGGACAGAGGTTCCTTTGAGATGGCATGTAAATCCGGTCGCAGCCATGATAGTCACACATATTCTTTTCATGAGCAATTTCCCGTATCGCCGATGCTTGCTGTCGGTATGCCTCTCATTATCAAAGGAAAGCTACAAGACTCTTCCCAAAGGCGCAGTGAACGGACAATCACGCTTTGACCGACATCGCGCAAAAGAACCGGTGCTAATATACCTAAACGCGATATCGCCTACAATAAGATGATTCATAAACTATTAGAGGATGATACATTTACAAGTGGTAAGAAAAAAATCCAGAGAAGGCCTAGACTACCCCCTCTATCCTCGTCCCATCAATCTCCCCTTGCCTCCAGCCACAACCCCACCGCCACTCTCACACACCCACCACCTAAGAATCCCCACCAAACTCCACGATAAATTGAAAAACCGCATCCCACCACCCATTCCCATCAGGCCCATCATCATCATCGTAACGCCCCCACGAGCATACGACGTCTGGGATATGCGGCAGCGTGGCCACCCAAACGGTATTCTGAATCTGACTGCCCAAACAAGTCGTCGGAGCCGTGAACGAGATGCCCGTCACCCCATTGTTGTTGGCACATTTCCAGTTGATGATGCCGAGGCCGCAGGTGCCGTGTAGGTTGTCGAGGAAGCCCTGGCAGAGGCCGGCGTTTTGGCCGTTCGAGAGCTGGAGGGCGTAGTCGGAGGCGGCGGTATGGTCGATGGCGTTTTGAAACCCGCCGCACTGGCCTGTGCCGCCGACTTGACGGGACATGAGGGGGGGTGGCTCTGGTGAGGAGAGGGAGGAGGGAGAGGAGGGTTGTGGTGGTGAAGTGCATGGTGGGCCTTTTTAGAGGCGGTTGGGGAGGAGTTGCGGCGAGCAAAGGTATAACAGTGGTGATACTGGGGCGAAGAGGATGTGTAATGGGAATGGTCGGGAATTATGAGGATGTAGGTTTCTGCTAGTGACTGTGTCAAATGCAGGAGACTCTCCTGATCAACCGAAGTGCTGCTGAATTGGTAACATGTTTCTGCGGTTGAGGACATCGTAGACTTTATAGCATTTCTGGAATATTCAGACCTAGCCATCGGATCGTAAATCATGACAAGCACGTCGAGAGCCATGAGCTCGCCGGTACCACACTGACGAAAACCAGTGCTGACATTCATTCCAACACCTCTGATACTGAAGCGATTCTCACAGCCCCCAGTGTCTGCCACGGTTTTAAAAACGGAGATATACAGCAAGAACGGTTTCGTCCATTTCCCTCACACATACCAGACAATGGACGTTAAACAAGATTAACATTGAGAATAACCATCGGTTTCCACAAAAGTCGCCGCAGCGCAGTGAGGGCTAAGGTACCGCAGCAACGCTACTGGATACCATCTTCTTTTATCTCTGCATTGTCTACGGCGTCTTTCAGCAGTAGTCAGGTACAGGTCTCGAAATCAAGGTTCTTCGCTTGCGATAGCGAAGAATGAAACCCTTACTCATCACGCTAAGCGCTAAGCGAAGGCAAGCGAGGTTTCAACTTCTGAGTAGTGGTAGCGGATGTTTACAAGGTAGGGTAACATCATGAGTAGAGTTCAAAAGAAAATGGCCAACTTTCCTAGCGTTGGGGCCCAAGTTGGTCATTTTACCCAGCTTGCCGCAATCTGCTTGTTTGATCGTTCTTCAATGCGTGATAGCAATCCACTGGGCCTAGTACGATGAGGAACTGACTGTGTTGGGAACCTTTGTTGTGGCAATAAAAATACGAAAAAAGTGTCAGTATTCGGATAATTCAGAAGATGAGAATTGGGAGCAGGAAGACGAGGCTGTGGATCGTTAGTAGGTTCTCCAAGGCAATGGGCTATGGCTATGGTTCAAGCTCTTACACTACCCTTGTTGGTGGGGAAACCAGTCACAACTTGGGTCTCGGACCAATGGGGGCGAATTAGGGCCGTCTTGCGTATCTTAGAGACCAAGCTGGCAGTCCGAGCCCTAGTCATGACGCGGGAAAAGGTCTTCAAACCAAATGACCTGTCGATCGGAATATCAGGAATGACCCTCGAATGTTGTAAGCTTTTGGACACCAGGCGAGCTACCACAAAGGCATTTTGGGTCGCTAAAGTTGTGGGTATTTTCTCGAATCTGAGATTCAGCGTGGAACCATTCGTTTCATGACCAAAGTTGTCCTAGAAAGTGCGTTAGACAAGCAAAATAGATTCCTTGTTCATGCTGCTCTGTCAGGGGTTCGGGGCTTCTCATCTTGTTTGTGGAACGACACTTGCGTAGATGAGTCAGTGAGGGGTCAAGAACCTTTGCTCAACAAATGTCAGGCGGGTCGAACTTTTCAAGTAACGGCCTCATCCGCTTAATTTCGCACTCTCCCTTTTTTGATAAAGCATCCAATGTAGGTCTTCAAGCCCCGCGACCGAAAGAACTTCAGGCCGCAAAGATAGGATGTAAAGCAAAGCCTGCCTTACCACCTTGACAATACGATCTATGGTAAGCCGCGATCCTTACATTCAAAGACAGAAGTTCCTACCGAGGAGCTTCCTTAGTTAAATTAAAAGACCCAACTGTTGAATAGAAGAACGGATGGCAAAGGGTCGCTAAGATCATACGCCCTTAGGAAATCTCGCCCCTCGAAGCTCGAGCGCCCGCCGCAACTACTGGGAATCACCATTTTGCAGCATCATTGTGGGAGCAGATGGCGTTAGCTGTGACACGATGTAGCCGCAGATTCTCACCGTGCCACCATCCGTGGGCTTGGGTTAATTCTACTCTGTCGGGAGCACGTTCCAACGATAACAGTTTCGCCACCTGTGGGTATTGTCCCTGTAGCTCAAGTCATGTTCGTGATCGTATACTTTTAAAGTTCTTAGTAAGATCTCTGGAATTATACCCATCATTGCTGAGGAGCTTTGGTTCAAATCAAAGGCTCGAAGAATTATGTGAAGGCTGTGGTGTGCCGTTCCGGCATGTGCAGTGCCCCAAGATTCTCGAGTCGGCGCGTTTATGGAGTTGAGAACGGAGAACGCAGGCATGCTATTTGCCCTTGTATGCAATGGGGGCTTTGGGAATTCGAAAAGATCGCTGGTGCGGGCAGGTGTGGGAACGTGGGAAGAGGGAAATCCGGAGTGCAGAGGGTCAGGCCAATTTTGGCTTACGAGTAGGTGAAAGATATGATGATACCCTAATTCGGTGCGACTGGATTAGTGAACATTTTGATGAACGCTGGAACGGCTGTTGAACAATGTATCTACTCCTGCGATTGAATTTGCGCTCTTCTTCTACGATCGCAATTTTGAATGCTTGTGAATTTGGTATCACAACGCGCATGGATTTGAATGTGTAAGCTTAGCACTAGCTGATTGTTTCTTTCGGTATGCGTCTCTTCTTAGAAATGGACTGGAGCATTGGATTCAAGACAGACGTGATTGTTGAACACAATCATGAACAAGCGAAAGAACCACAGATGCATGCATCATGTCTTCCCCAGATCTGCGCGTGCTCGTGAAGCAAAGGCCTAGTGTTGGGCTGAACTGTGGCGGGGTTTCGGTCATGGTCTTGTCTGATCTGGTGAGGTGCGAGATGGGGATAAAAGCTGATTCGCTGAACGCTGCAATTAATCATCTCATCCCGGATTCGTCCTTCTAGACTAAGGCCATGCACAGTCTTGCAAGGCTGGATGCGAGTTTTTAGATAGGCGTCGCTTTGAGAATATCAAGAAGGCTTTTCGTATTCGACCAAAGGCTCGGACTCGCGGATGAGTCACTCAAATTGTAATTGAACACCATTCGCCTGACATAACCGACACATATCGGTGAAGATGAGATGCATGCGATTGCCGGAGTCGAAGAGATCGTAGAACCGATACTTTAGTGTTTTCAGATTCGACAGTCGTGTGCGTTTGGCATTCACTAGACTTCTGATGAATGGGCGAATGTGGCTGACTATCCGACGGGATTGGCCAGTCGTATCAATAGTCTCAATGGAGATAGGCAACAAGTCTGCCATGTTCAAGTCGTCACCGGCATCTGGATCCACTAAGAGGCTGTGTGTAATATGGAGCACTTTCAAGTTCTCAAACAAGCGCAGATTGCCCATGTAATTTCCTTCTCCGTCATGGTAGCTCATCTTCAAATACTCTAGAGAGTGTCGGCAATGATTGAGAAGGGCGGATCTTATCCTGAAGGCATCGACTGTCTTACCGAGCGCGACGTATGTAAACCTCTTCAGCCTTTTGATTCCTTCGAGAAGTACAGGAATGTGCTTCCCAATCGCGCCACATGAGTCAAAGACCAATTCGGTCACATTAGAACTTTGAGGAGCTATGAGGCAGTCGGGAATACCACGTCTTTGACGAACATTGTCGACATCGAAACATGATATCTTCTCCATGGAAGGTTGCAGTGCAAATAGCTTTACGAGAGATATGCCCTCGTTTCGCTCAGAAACGCTGTCGGCCAGGTGGAAGCTCCTCAGTTTGAGAAATGATGTTGAAGGGGCATTCTGGGCCATCCGGCGAATGCTAGTGAATAAGAGAGTTCGTTTGGGGGGGTCTTCGAGCGAAAGCGTGCAGAGGTTTGGGAGAAGACTTAGCAAGAGGGCCAGGGTTGGATCCTCGTGCCCACTCTCAAGGAGTTTGATCCAAACGTCGATCTCACTAGGGAGCACATGTTTCGCTTTTCGAATGCCATTCCTGAATAATTCCATGTCCCGCTCAGGATACGGTACATGCCAGACGTAATTCTGCACGTCATCTACCTCCAGATCCAGACGACAGGGAACACCACGATTTGGATCTTCCCAGCATGTGCGCCAGTCACAGATACAGACTTTCTCGATGTAGAAAGCAATGTGAGGATTGAGTAGAACGTCTTTCAGTAGATGCGCCAACATGCTACCATCGCAGCTTCGGTCATTTTCAATGATAGAATATTCCGATTTCAAGCGATGGTGCTCTTTCAAAGACGGTTTAGCAAAGGCGAAGATTCGTTTTGAGACCAGAGCAAAGCTTGCGATGTCATGTGGAGGGAGGACGTGGTGCCACAGCTCCAGGATAATCTCATTCGGAAGATCATCAAATCCGGTCATGGTGAGTCGTAAAAAAGGTTCGGGCGCCTGGAAGAAGGGTCAGTCCAAAACTCTGGCTATCGTCCCCCTACATAGAGGCTCTCACTTTTTCCGCACTTCTGTGGATTTAGTCGACTCTGAAGCTTGTTGGTCTTTCGGAGCCTGTCAAAGGATCCAGTGCTGAGGGCTTGCCATAGAAGTGAAGGGCATGTTGGATACAGCGTCGGAGTGCTGTGATCAGCAGTGGTAGTACCGAGTGTTGTGAGAGCTTCCGAAGGGCTAAAAGAGACAATGGGCACATGAGCAATTCCCTTGGTCCACTAGTGCAGCCCTACAAGGCGATCTACAGGTGTCAAGACCCCCACCACCCCCAGGCTTCATAAACCTGTCACAGACACCAGGCGACTACAAGAGCATATGCTCGACAGCTCAACAAATCCCTCACTTATCAGTTTGGAGCTCACTGGAAACAAAGCTGCCTCAATGACTGCCTCTGCGACACCCGTCACCGTGGAACCTCCGTGCCACCCGCTTCGAGCAGAACTAGCACGAACAGCAGCACCTAGGCCGCGAAGCCTTGTTGGAAACCTCAAGACGCCAAGGTCTGCGATGATCCAACGCTGCTCCTGCGTGTGCGTGTACACTTCTTCTTCCATCTCACCCCAGCGGAGACGCTCCCCTGTCACGTGGCAGTCATCCTGGTATCGCAGAGCCTCGAGTTCCAGATATTGGTTTTAGAGTTGGGCACAAGGATACGATGGCTGAAGAAGGTAAGAATGTGGACTACGAATTGAGATTGTCCGAGAGAAAGACTTGGAGGACAAGACCAGGAGGACGGCTTTGAAAGAGATGGTATCAGGAAAAGTTAGGACATCTCCACTGCGGAAGAGGGGCTGAGGGTTAAAGCGCTTGCTTTGGATTACAATGGGTGTCATCGAAGCAGATGAGGATACTGGACACTTAGTGTGCAAGGTGGCGAGACCAATGTCTGCGGGGTAGACCTGAGGAGGAGCACGCCCGACCATTGGTTCAATGCAAGAGAAGACGTCAGATAGCAATTGGGATCAGCACGCCTCCATTTTGGTCAGTATCTGCAAGAACTCACGGCCATCGACTCGCTGACGAGGTGCGACCTCATTGCCCAGACGAAGGCACCCTCATAACTGAACCTTCATCAAAAGCCGTTTGGACGCCAAAGACAACGCATTGTTCAACTATCCCAAGGAACGGCCTCTGCTATTGTGTTAGACACGTTGGAATCAATTACGCTCGTCTTCAATGACCATGACCCGCTGAGCATCTTGTCCAATGGAAAGCCTCACCCCACACTGGCTGGATTTTCCACCATCTTGGCCCCAGTCCCGTCACTCATAAATTTCTGAGTGTCGTTGACTGGGATGGATGGGAGCTAACCGGTAAGCCTGAGGTGGGGGGACTTGGATATGTACTATAGTAGTACCACTGGTGTGTAAAGCACCCCAACCGGCTATCTGGCTGGGAGATATTTCACATTCTCTTTCACAGGTACGCGCTAACACGACTATTGGTAATAGTCTCATCGCTCTGATAAGCCTTACAGTCGCCGTTGAATGTGCCACAGACATTAAGTAATGGGCTAGTATCGGCTGGGCTTGGGGCGCACAGTGGGAGGCGTGGATGGGCTACGAAGGCATCACCGCAACATATAAAGTGTGGAAGCCATAGAGATATCCAGCTTGTCAAAAGTTTGCCGCTAGAGTAGCAGATCTGAAATACAATGTCACCAGAGAACAGCCATCTCCTTCGCTAGTCTTCTGGAATCTGTAGACTGCAACTTCTTCCGGGGCTCGTGCATCCCGTGATCCGCTCGATTGTACGAGGGACGGCTGACAGCAACTGCTGGGCACAGGGTACTCACTGACAGTAGGTAAGGCAGGTCTTGTATCCAAACATTCAGATTCGCCACGTTGTGCGCTAACATAGAATGCCATCATTTGTCGTCGTGATGATGATGGTGATGAGACGGTGACCGACCCCCTGATTCCTCGGAAAGCTCGTACAACAATCTCGAGCTGCGACACTTATGGGTCACCATGTCACCACTGATGATGTCTTTCTCACTCGGATTTTTTTAGGACTCTCCACTGTACCGTCTGCAGCGCAAAGGATGCCCTGTTTCCTCCATGTCAGACAAGCAGTCTTTACACCCCGCCTCAGACGATAGCAACGAGAGAGCACTGACCTGGCGTATATAATCCAGACAATGCGTCCAGTGTGCCTCATCGTTCAATATCTCTTCGATGTTCTTATCTTCTCCCGGTGCTTGAGCGTCATGATAATGTTTCAAATGCATCAATCGTTGAATTTCCGCCCTTATCATTTGCAAGCAATGTAGCTGATGAAACATGCTGATTCCATGTTTCCTCACGACACCCTCTGTGTCTGGCTGCCTGACGAAGCCGCCATTAGGCGTCGTGAGCTTGCCCCAGTAGACATCGGCGTCATGCGACAAATTCATGAATTGGTGGTGCTCGGTGAATACCATGGTCTCGGGGAGAGGGTCGTTGCCGCAAACTTGCTGGAGTCCGGTTGTAGACCACCAGTACTTGGGGTTAGCTGTGTACGCAAACGTGGTGATGGATATCATGACAGCAAGAACAATAACGCAGGTCACCAAAGCCATTGCGCCTGAGCAGAGCGACTTCATCGTTGGTGTTGGTGTCCGAGGTCGTCGAGAGCTTTCTTAGGCTTCGAGTTGATTCAACGGTTGGAAACAAGTGATAATCAAAGAACAACACAAGATGATGCGAATCGCATAGAAGATGCTTACTTACGAAATCAAGAGAGGCTTGATCCTCACAGTGCCCTACTATGCGCGGAAAGGATCCGTAGCAGACAACCCAGAGAAGAAGATATGCAGATCAGGCTTCAAAGATGATGAGGTGTCTACATGGATCACGCATTTGCTGATGTGATCATTGAGGTTGATCACGCAATCTTGTACTTCATGAGAAGCTTATAACATGCCTACATGGCCAAGACGTACCGCCATGATGGGCATTTATTGAAACGGCAGATGAATGCCAATGAAGATGTACGCTAAGCGACATTATGTTTGCTAAAGGTGTTGGAACGCATAACCAGGTCAATGTGCAGCGCTCAGCTGCAGATCAGGGATATTAGGGCGGAAGGGCCGGAACGAGGATATCTCGAGACATAGCAGTCATTGGTTAATTGATCATATGTACAGTGACTTTTGCCTCATCCGTTGGCGGCTGGCGGAACTTGCCGGAATCTATAGCACCTACTTTACCGATGTCCCTCAACTTCTGAGTAGACATCGAAGTTTTGCCACTCTGCCCAAAAGAATTAACTCACACTCATGGCATTCCATTCACGCCAATGGAAGCAAAATGTCTTATCCGAGTGTCTCTATGACCTTCCTCTCCTGAACACTACTCCCGAACATGATTTTCGAAGGCCCTGCATTGATCTCATGTTTGCCATTCTCTTCAGTTCATTTCTCTCTCCTCCAACATCCTAGCCAAATCGGTCTCATACCTGCTCTTGTCGGTCTTCCTCCGCTTTTCCAGGTTTTGACTCCCTTCACAAGTCAGCGCTCGTAACTCGTTGTTGTTTCAACATCAATGCCGCTGAAAAGATGAGCTCCTCTGACGATTCCTTTGAGGAAAAGCTGTTCCAGGGCGATGAGTCGTTCGACAATATGACTGAAACCCCGCCCGTACCTCTATATCAACGACGTTCTTTTCTGCGTCAATGGCCATTGCTTTTCGGTCTACATTTGGGCCTCATACTCTTATATACAGCAGTTGCCACAACGATGATATACTCACTTTCGCCTTCGACATCGCATGGGCCTGGTCTAGTCTATTGTAAGCAACTTCCGCGAAGGGGCACCAATGAGTCCTGCCTAATCCCTAAGCAGCGCCGGCTCGGAAGGCTATAAATTTCAAAATCCAGCATTTTAATTCCAACCAAACAACAAGCCTGTACGCCGGCTTACCTAGCCAAAGCCTTGACGCCGCATGGCACGATCTCCTTCAATGCAAGTCGTTCCCTCTCAGCCCCGGCCAGACAGAAAATCCATACTAAGCTCAAAAGATTCAAACATACGAATCTCTCCAGCCGAAATGACAGCCATCGATCCCGAGCGAAAGAAGCAAGCCGTCGCACTGCCAGACGGGGGCTTTTTCGGCACACTGACCGTCTTCCATGAGCTCCACTGCCTTGTAAGGGAGAAATATAAGACACTTCTGATCCCTCCCAAGCAAAACGACAACCCCACTAATTCAACTGATTAGAAACGCCTCCATCGCTACATGTACCCTTCCTACTACTTCCCCGACCTTTCCGATCAAGAGACGGAGGATAATCGCTACCACAATGAACACTGTATCGACATGCTGCGCCAAAGCGTCATGTGTCATGGGGATACCACGCCTGTGACGATGCGGTGGGGCGAGACGCAGCCGATACCGCTGGGTAATTGGTCCAGTCCGCATGAGTGTGTGAATTGGGCCAGTATAAACGGGTGGGCGAGAGAGAGATCTGTGAGGGAGGTCATGGAGCCCGGGTATTTGAAACATCCGAAGTTTGGGGTGGTGGTTGGCGAAAGTTTCGAAAATAAGATTGGGCAGGTGCATCATGGGGACTGAGGGAGGGTCAGGGTTTATTGTGGTTTCTGCTAATGTGTGAAACAATGGCCTGATGCATCGATGTATCACAGCTTACGTATTGAGAATATGTTTTATCAATCTCATGCTATGCCTGCCCCTTGACGCTGAATACTTAACAACATTCTTTATAAAACAAACAGGGCCAGTCAAAGCCACCACTCGTAAGCATATACATGTTTACAATTAAGTAGATGGTCTTCTTGCTTTCCGCCTCCGCCTGTGGCGTCCGTATGCATTTGCACAACCTAGACATACAAGCAGTGTTGTGGGCGAAACGTTACGTGAACACCGAGGATGACACAGTGAAAAGGCGAAAAAAAGCTTGCAGTATGTAATCACATCGAACCTACTGTGAAAGCCTCGACATATGAAAAAGGACATCACAACCAATATGGATAAGGGCAGCACCCAACACATCAAGCCCTGTACTTTATCGTTTCCAAGTTACTATGGAGCTATTATAGTAACATCTCGTGAATTGAAACAACTTGTCAGACCAAATTATCATCCCGTACATGACCGTAAGGGTGTTTCCTCCAAGAAGTATAAACCCATTCCGTCACTTGCCAATTCCAAACAATCTAGCTTGCTTATACAGAACGAGAAAAGCGCGTCCTACTGCATCAAGAACCCCCTTGCTTCCTAAACTTGCAATGGAGCCTTCTCGTTGGTGGCGATTATTTGGGGGAAGCGGCATGATCGTACGAGGCATCAGCGTTCTCCTGGCGTTTGGCATGGTCATATATAGCATCAGAGTCCAGACGCTCGCCATGGTCATGATCATATACGGCATCAGAGTCCTGGCGTTTGGCATGGTCATATATAGCATCAGAGTCCAGATGCTGGCCATGGTCATGATCATATACGGCATCAAAGTCCTGGCGTTTGGCATGGTCATATATAGCATCAGAGTCCAGATGCTCGCCATGGTCATGATCATATACGGCATCAAAGTCCTGGCGTTTGGCATGGTCATATATAGCATCAGAGTCCAGACGCTCGCCATGGCCATGATCATGTACGGCATCAGAATCCTGACGCTTGGCCAGCTCGTTTGATGATATGACATCTAGCCTCATGTTAGCGGTAGAAACTGGGCAACAGATGACGAGATTCCATGCCACTGTTTGCCATAGGAGCCGCCAGGATTCCAGAAGCGGCAAGTGCAGGAAGCACAAGAAGGAGTTTCTGGAAATGCATGATGAGATGTTGTTGATTCACTGAGATAGTCAGGGCCTAGAGTGTAAAGATGGAGGGTACTGAGTCTTTGTGAAACCCCCAAGGACTGTTGATGATTCTGGAAATTGTGGGCAAGGAAGGTTCTTCTTATATCTAGGAAGATTCCCAATCCTTCCAATCTGGCAGGCGCCCAAAGAGATAAGATGAGCTCAGAAGCATGGCTCATACGCAGTATGATTAGAGCATGACTTGCAACATGACGAAATCTTGCTTGATTGCTTTGGCCAAAGCATCACTCAAATTGCTACACACGATCGACAGTGGGCGCCGAGAGCTTGGTTCCGTACTCAGCTGTACCGGTCCTTGTGTCGAAATTTTCCACCTTGTAGAGATAGCATACCAACAGCATTTTCCATTGAGACTCATGCATGAATGCCGAGCCGGTTCAGTGCTGACGTGGCACATCACATGGAGAGCATCTTTCCGAGTAAACCCCACTTTCTCCATTTTACAATAGATTCAATAAAGAAATGATCTCCTGCTCTGACTGCAGAGTCAATAGTGTATTGAGCAAACAGTTAATCATTTGGCACCTGGGCCCAAGGTAGTCCACATGTGGGGGGCTTGAGGACGGACTTACAAGGAGTGAGGGTAGAGATGGACCCGAGATGACAACATCGACGGACTCATAGAAACCGCAGCAATGGCATCATTGATCTTGAAGAAACTCAGACAGCGGCACAATTCCGCAGTGTTTCCCACGTCCCCATACGATAACTGACTGGCTCATATGATTGGATGGACCTTTTCACACAGCGGGGAGATCGGATATCTGAAATCGCAGTGGCGAGAGACATACAAGCGACTTGATGGTTGAAGGTGGAACGTGGGTATGGTTGGTCAGCTAAGTTGGTTCTTATCAGAACCCAGCCTGCGATTCAAGCAAATGGAAATATAACAAATCAGAGACCACCAACAGATGTGCTTTGCTTTGCGTGTAGCATGGTGAAAGCTGGCCAAAACAAGAAAACGGTAATGCAATACATTGCACAATGGCTGGTGAATGAGATCAGCGTCTCATCGACACATACGAAAGGTAAGTGTAAAAGTCACTGGTACTTGTACCGATTTTCGTCACTCCAGCTAGTGGGATTGCTCATAAGTACCTTTCTCTGACGTAGGCCTCCAAGCTGCGCACTCCGTGATCCATTCAAGCTTAAAAACTCCCCACACCGAAAATTATCTGCGTTATCTACGTTACTCCTCTTTGGTCACATTTTCTCTTTCACTGAGAAATAGCCTTTTGGTCCTCTCGTCTCCGAGTCCAACTGCCGCCGCTCGGACCTCGCTCCCACTCATCCAAACGATTCCCCACAACGCCATCTATTGTCTCACGCAGCGCTGCATTGGCATAATCCAAAATGGTAAATTGTTCAAGAGCACCCAACTCGAACTCATCGTAACCTCCGCCAGCGACGAAATCGACAAGCCTAGCATACGAGCTTTCAAATTCCATCCAGAGGTCCTTGGTTTGACACTTCCCCAGGGACGACGGATCGTCGAGGATGTTGTTGCTAGGCGTTGGTGCCAGCTGCGTGCGCAGGTGGCGAAGACTTTTCATGAAACTTATGAATTTGCCGAAAGACCACAGGTGGTTGGTGGGGAAGACGGTGATGAGATCTAGGGAGGTTATGTGGTCGAGCGAATTTTGCATCGTGCGCACGAATTGGTTGGAGTTGGATGGACAGAAGAGAGAGGGTTTGTCCTTGAGATAGTACTCGTAGGTGCTGTATGCTTCGACTGAGGACCCCTCGTTGTACGTACAATGGGTCCATGGCCGCATCGCGAAAACGTTACTTTCTTTGACAACATCTTCCGGCGTTTTGGGTGCAACTGAATTGGGAGCCATTTCCAGGTGCAGGACTTGGTAGTCAATACTGAATGCCCAGGCATGATCGAGGTTGAGGCTATAGGGTAGGATCTCCGTGAAGAGCGAAGGAGGGAAGATTATGGTCATGGACGGCGCATTGACACGGTCCACAACTTCAACCATTCGGGGCCAAAGGAAGCTGCTGTTGCCGAGGCATCCGGTGGTGGTGTATAGGACCAGGCTGTCCACCCGGCCAGCCAGCTGGCTACTTTTGATGAATTCCAGGAAGCCTGTACCGACCTCCATGTTCAACTTGAGGGCCGAAAACAAGCTAGTGAAGCAAAGACGCCTCAGGATACGACAGGTGCAAGAGAGATCTTTGAGGGGATGGTAGTCGTGATCTAGAAGAGACTTTGAAGGCTGTTCGTAGATGAGCTTTCTCGAAGGAGGTTCCCCTTCTGCCAAATCAGAGATGATCTGCTCCACAAGTTCAGGAGGGATTTCTAGGAGGGAAGGCATAGTTGGTGGGGAGTAGTAGGTTTGTTCAGGAATTATGAAGACCCAGATGATGGTGACTTGGTCAACGGTTATCTAAAGGTCTCAGCATCGGACACTTTGGACGCTTGATACTGTTTTTGGAAGAGGAGGTTCTACTAGCGCGGCGGGGAAGTACCTTGGTGCAAGAGGGGTCCGTCCTGTCATTATGTCCGCGTCCTAGACAAACGAGACCCGTGCTGCAACTACTGGCCACAACGTCGTCTCCAACGTCCAACACTTTGCAGGTTGCTTTTTCGTTGTCAATCTAATCGCACCTCCAGCTGGCAGCACATGCTCTAGGAATCCAACGTAACAGGACGAAGGACGAATTGACTTCAACGTTCGGAGGGTTCGCCCAACGTTCCAACATGCTCAAGGGTTCAACCCCGCCAGAAGAAATGCACAATGGCGTTTCCGTGCTCAGCAAAGCACCGTATTCTCTTGTTGCCATTCGATGTTGGGAATAGCATCAGAAGTCAATTGAGACCCCGCAGCCGCTAATATATGCTTAATCGCTGTCCTGCAGGTCATTTGACGCCCAAGCCGGGCCATGTGGATTTTTGATAGGTTGGCCCTGTACGCCAGTACAACCTACAAACCGAGGGACCTTGGCCCGAGCGATATCGGCAGCTTAAAATATGCAGTTTAAATCGAGAATATAGTGGGGGAATGGGAGAGTGGGAGAGGCAGTCGGCCATTGACCTCAATGGCTATATTGTTGAATTCTTCCTTACTTCTGCAATGTTTCCCCCTCACTATCTCCACACGGTCAACCATTCCTTCTGCACGCGTTCTCAGCCAGCATGGCACTTCCTTCATTTCTCTCTGCAAATATATCAGATAGTCTAGCTCCCAGCTTCCAGCAAATCTGCATTCTTTTTGTATTTTTTGTCGTCATTGCCCTCGCTGCCCGATTCTCGCTTACAATCATCTCCGGATCCAAGCAATTGACTGTCTCCAGCGGTCTGGCAACCTTTGCCAGATTCTTCTACGCTAGCTTCCTCAAACCGCATAGTGGAGATGGCGCGATCACGGGCCAGCAAGCAGCCCTGGAGAGCTTCTACAAAGCGCAGGTAGCCTCCCCGTTTCCCAATGTCAGTAATACTTGAACGACTCTGGGGGCAACATCTTTTGACGACTGTGATCTCGATATCCTGCTTCATTTGTCAGCGTAGGAACGCTTGAGACCAGTGAAGCAAGCTAAGACGATCTGTCACAGGCCGATGTCTACGATGCAACTCGAAAGAGACTTCTCCGAGGTCGAGAAGATATGTTGGGGCTCGTCGCTGCGCAATTGAGGTATAAAGAAGGGAAGGGTGCATGGATGGGCAAGAGACCAATCTGGGTCGACATTGGAGGTGGTACAGGATACAACATCGAGGCCATGCAAGCGTACCTCAATGTACCAACGTTCTTTGCCAAGGTGTACCTTGTTGATCTTTCGCCGTCTCTTCTTGAGGTAGCTAGGAAACGATTCGACCGTTTGGGATGGGATGTCGAGATTGTATGCCAGGATGCCCGCGCTTTTCGACTGGATAACTACCAGACGGTGAAGTCGACGAACACCTCGATCAGCTCCCTGGGATCCTCCTGGTCTGATCAGAGCACCGTCAACAGCGGCGCAGATCTCGTGACAATGTCGTACAGTTTGAGCATGATACCTGATTATTACAGCGTTCTGGACTCGATCCCATCTTTATTATCATCCGATGGGATCGTAGGTGTTGTGGATTTTTACGTCCAAAGTATTGTCGAGATCAGTGGCCGCACTTATACTGGTGGCTCATTCAACAGGCACGTTACCTGGATAAAGCGAGTCTTTTGGCGTGCGTGGTTCGATGTAGATCGAGTTGGCTTAGAAGGAGCCCGGAGAGACTACCTCGAGTACCGTTTCGGTACCCTCAAGACGGTTGACGAGAGGAACTACCTCCTCGGTGGAATACCCTACTACAGTAGGCCAAACCCCATCTATAGGTGAATTTATCATAGAACCGCTGACACCTTGCAAAGTATTCCTAGGCACACAGCGCGGACTTGCATCTTCCATGGGCACGAGCCCAGGGTATGCGCAGGACTTCATCGAGAGCCTGGATGCCTCGTGCACAGAATCCCCCTACCTTTCTCCACAGAACCACAGAGCGGAAATGTTTCAGGCGGTTGAAAAATCAATCCCAGCAGAGCTCAGGTCAAAAGCCTACCAGTGCGCAGTCATCAATCTGAGCTCAAATCTCCCATTGCCATCGATGTTCTACCAGAACAACCAACGACGTATCTACTACGATGACACTCTACAAAAGCACACCCAATTCAACAACGAGTACATCTATGCCTTCACGTGGGAAGACCCTCGAGTCGATCACCGCCTCCTAAACATCCGCAGTGATGATGTCGTTCTCTGCGTAACCTCTGCCGGAGATAACGTATTGGACTATCTCTATCAAGCAGGTCCAAGACGCATACATGCAGTTGATCTCAACCCAAATCAGAATCATCTTCTGGAATTGAAGATCGCGGCATTCCAAAGCCTTCCATATGCCCAAGTATGGAAGATGTTCGGCGAAGGCAGGTTCCCTGCATTTCGTCAAGCTTTGATCACCAAGCTCAGTCCTCATATGAGTTCGCAAGCATGTCAGTACTGGCTCAAACACGCTAGCATATTTAGCTCTACCCGTGGATTCTACGAGACTGGCGGCTCTAGGTTTGTGTTTCGTTGCGTCGGCATTGGTAGGATCCCACTAATTTGCAATTCAGACATGCAATCAAGCTTATCCGCTCGCTATTCTGGCTCCTCGGACTCAGCAACGATGTCAGAAGTATGTGCAACGCGAAAACCTTGAACGAGCAACAAGAGATCTGGCCTAGAATCCGAAGAGTCCTCCTGAGTAGAGCCTTACACTGGACAGTCGTCAGCACAGAGTGGTTCGCCTGGAAGGCGGCAGGCGTTCCCCCTGCACAGCGAAGGATGATTGTTGAGGACCACCGAGACCAAGTCGAAAGTGACCTGCGAGGCGAGGCTATCTGGGAGTACATAGTCAATACGCTGGATCCGGTTGTCAAAAACACGCTTGTTGGCGATGACAACTACTTCTACCTCCTGTGTTTGCAGGGGAGATACTCGCAGAGGTGTGATAAACCCTCAGCTGCAAGTCACCATTGCAATTCTCACGCTTCGTAGATGTCACCCGCAGTATCTATCAAACAGAGCGCACCGCAAGCTCTCCCAGCCCGGCGCGTTCGACGGATTACGCATCCACACCGACGAGCTTCAAGAAGTGATTTGCCGAATTGCTCCTGGTACCTTGAGTCATGCCGTAGTAAGTGTACCCGTCAATCAGCATCAACGCGTTCATAGGCACTTCTACCTGACACGATCAAGGTCATGGACAGCATGGACTGGTTCTGCCCCGGCGACACCCAAGCCGTCACCCAAGTGCAATCATTACACCGCGCCTTGAAGACCGGCGGTAAAGTTCTTTTGCGCTCCGCAGGCCTAAAGCCTTGGTACACTGCTGTATTTGAAAACAACGGTTTCGCAACACGAAGGGTTGGTGCCAGGATGCCGGGGACTTGCATTGACCGGTGGGCACTACACCCCATCCATCCAACCGCTTTTGGGTCAGATATAGCAAGTGGGATCATCGGCTAACGAACTGGGTCGACGACAGAGTCAACATGTATGCCTCCGCCTGGATCTGCACCAAGCTGCCCGATCCGACCACGGCAAGCTACGAGAACATGATGCTGCCCAGCCCTACATTGTCCGTGCATTCGAGGACGCATTCGCTTGAGAAGATCGAAGAGTGAGTCCATGGCAGCAAGGTAAGAAGACAGCGTGAGGCAACCTGTTTCAAGAACAGTGCCCCGTATATGCATGCAAGTTGAAAGATACAACATGATGCGTCGAAGTGGAACGTTGAGAGAAGAGAAAGCGAGGTTTATATATCCATATAGAAAAAAAAAGGGGGAGAAAAAATGTGTACCGTTCTACTTCCAGACGCCTAAAGAGAGAACTACACCATTCGTTGTCCTAACCTATTCATTTTCGCTCCCGTCATAAGTGTTGAACGTAAATCATGACAACCTCACCACTGTTACCAGCAAAGACGTGTCGCGCACACCCCAGATCGCGGCTCCCCAATGAGTTCTTTCTTTCTTTCTTTCTTTCTTTCTTTCTTTCGACAAATCAGAGCCCCGAGTCTCGATCCGCCAGCCTCAAACTCACCGCCAGAAGATGAAACGAAGCCGTATGGAGCCCCTAGTTACCCTTGGGGATGGGTCTATTTCCCCTCTTCCTCTCAAAGAAAAAGCGCAAGGAATTCCCCTCCCATCAAGCTCTAGGATGGCCTTGCGGGTGGCCCATGGGTCGCGACGGTCAAGCCAGGAGCTCGCTCGATCGATCCCATGGACGGAGCGGACACGATGTACACATGCACGCCGAGGTATTCAAATCTACCATAGTTACAACATAGCTACCTAGAGCCCACGTCACAGCCCGCTGCAACAAGTAGTCCCACCGAACCGTGTCCATTTCATTTACAAAAAGTTCTTTGCAGGCCCCAACGCATCATCTACCGCCCCCCCCCCCCCCCCCACCCCCCCCACCCCCCCCCCATCACACACACCCCCCCCTCACCCCCCCCGGACCCAAAGTGCAACAAAGGCCCACATACGGCGGCACCAACGGGGGCGTCCCGTCCGGCGCCGCGGTCCCCGGCACGGCCTCCCAATCCTCGCACAGGGCCAGTCCGGGATCGCCCGGCCCGACGACGACGCTGGGGTAGAGCGCGGTGTCGAGGCGGGGCGTGCAGGCCGGGTAGGCGGCGGAGAGGTTGAAGATGGAGGCGCGGTGGGGTGCGGAGGGGCAGGCGCAGCCGGTGTAGATGATGGGGGGGTTGGCGGGGTTGGGGCCGATGGCGTGGCTGGGGGGGGGCGGTGTTGGTTGGGTGAGGTGGGAGGGAGGGAGGGGGGGGTAGGGTTTGCTTGCTTACATGTAGTTGCAGCCGGCTGAGGTTGAGCCTGTTGCGATGGAGGTTGTGGCGCTGGTGGTGGCGTTTGAGCGCGCGTGGTGCTTGATTGGCTTTGGTGTGGCGACGACGTGGGTGGCGGTGAGTGCTAGCAGGAGCGAGAGGGGGGTGGAAGGACGCATGATGGAAGGTTGGAGGGTGGAGTTGGTTTGTAGATGGTGGGAAAGTAAAAGCAGTGAGGAGATGATGGGAGGCTTGATGATACGAGAAGGGGGATTTCTTTCAGTAGGGCAGGCCATGCTGATATAATACAGAGGAAATTGCGATGCTCGTAATAAGGGAGACGGATGATGGCATGGAGGTTACATATCGACCACAAAAGCGGGTTTCAGGATACGAGCCTAGTACACTATTGGCTAGATCCAAGATCCTCTATTCCACGAATGCACGGTTTGGGAGTTGCCAGCCGAGCCGACCGTTCATTCCGTTCTGGCCGAGCCGAGCCGAGCGTGCAAGGGGTCATGAAAAAGTTGAACAGCTGAGCTTCTCTGGTCCTGCGTAAATGGTTGATCACTACTATCAAAGGAAAAGCGAAGGTATTGTTAACGAAGATTGAGCGTCAAGCAGCACACATATCTGTCAAATCTCTAAAACACGATCCATCTGATTCCACCTTCCTCAAATTCTCCCGTCCTTTCTCAAATATCACGCTTCAAGAAATTGGGCCTAGATCATGTTAGATTACGATACACTCGCCCTCGCTTCAGGAAGCATCTTCCTTGAACGTTGGGAGATCCCTCTAAGCAACCCGTTTCTTCGCCTTGATCGAACACACGCGACTGGTTTTTGTAAAGGCGCATGACCGACAGCGACGCCGAAAGGTAGGCGATATATGAGGATGTATGAGAGGGTGGAATTGGAGACCGTGAAGTGGTATTGGAGGGATGTAGGACGTAAGAGGTTTGCAGGGCAAACGAAGACCGGGATAGTGAAAGCTCACTGTCGGGTTGAGATCATTGCCGCGTTTGAACAGAGACGTCGTCATCTGGAAAGTATGCTACACTGCCATACCCAGTCTCCACCTCCCCTACCTTATCAATAAGAAATTCCAGTGCACGACAACGATGCTCCCCAGTCTCGGTCATAAAGCGCAGCACGGCAGCCACCACCGAGCTCAATTCCTGCCACGAGATTTCATTGCCATTGTAAGCGACAACCGTAATCCAAACCTTACTAACGACGCCTCGGCGCTCCCAGCGATTGTTTGGTATTGGGGTGTCAGGATGGTGGATGGCATGGATCTGGATCTTCCGAAGGGCGGACGTGAATGCTGCGTTGACGTAAGTAACGGGAATGGGAGGGCCGAAGGTATTGAACGTTAGGGTGATTGGTGTGCCAGGGATAGGGTAAGGAATAGGCACTGCTAGCGCGGTGAGGCTGGGGTGTGAGGTGATGGTCTTGGTGGGTGGCTGGAGGGTCGTGTCGTTGGCAACCATTGCTCGCTTTTCCACGTGGGTTGGATCCGGCTGTACATATAGCAAGGTCCCAAATCCTACTCTCCCCCGGCCTGAAACGTTGATGTCAATTTCAAAAACGAGCTGGCGGTCGTGCTCCTGGTCATCCTGGCAAAAGTGCATTACTCCCCACAAAATGTAATTTAGTTCTTCCCATGTGATGATTTTCTCAGCGTACGCGAGAACGTTTGTCGACACGCGGCCGCTGGTGGAGGTGTCTGCGAATCTGCCTGAAATGGACTTGTCAGGGGTCTGCACAACCGCACGAGATATCCTCAGTTCGGCACCGCTGATGGCGCGATTGATCTCTCCGGGTGGAATGGAAGTGTCGCCGAGGAACGTGAAGGTGAGGGTTATGCCAGTATGGGCCACGGGGTAAACAATGGAGGTGGAGACCGCCGCGGGGATGAGTGAGATGTTGGACTCGCTCGGTCGCTGCAGGAGAATCCCATTATCAATGGATGGGGCTCTCCTTCCTAGCTGGCCTGCCCCATGTCTGAAATACGATATGGTCCCCACGCCTAAATTCCTTGAATAGTGGTCCAGGATCCTGAATCCGAGCACTTGATAGTGCGTTTCCTCGAGATCCGTACCGAATGTGGTGGTGAAGGCATAGAGACCGAAGAGCACATTGAAGAGCTGGCGCCATGTAATTTCATGGCGAGGGTACGTGAAGACGGTGACCGCCACAGGAATACCAGCTTCACGGCTGAGGGGGAGCACCCATCGGAAACTGTCGTTCTCTATAGGGTCCATTTCATCTGGGCCACTCAGGATAGGGCGAACCTTTGCTGTTGCTCCTTGAAGTGTGGCTTTGACACTCTGGGCTGGTATAGATGGGCCGAAATAATAGAAGCTGAGACTGAGGGACGTCTTCGGGATAGGGAAAATCATATCCTCTCGCACATTGTTGGTTCCCGGCAAGGCGAGGGTTGCGTTGGGTAGCCGCCGCAACGTCTCATTAGCAGGCTGTTTGAAGGTGAGATTGGGAAGCTGGAGGGTTCCTTCGTTGCTTAAAGAGATCGGAAAAGGAAGCGTGACCCTTTTCTGAACTTCGTTCTCGGTGGGAGGAAAATATTGCACCAGCCCGTATCCTATATTCGGCTTCTCTTGACCACCAGCTTCGATTTCGAATTCCAATGCCTGATAGTGCGTCTCCTCCGTGCCCATTCCAGCGGTCATATACCGATATAGTCCGTGCAAAACCCGTCTTAGTTCTGCCCACGTGATCTCCTCTCCTAGATTTGTTCTAATGCTGATCAGCATGTTGCCGTTCGGAAGGCGGTATTCGAATCGATCGTTGATTATACGCTGGTTTGGATGATCGCGGGCGAGATCGGCAATCGCTAGATCAGCGTCGATCAAGGTGTCAATAGCTTCTTGCTTGGGAATCGGCCGGCCTTTGGCTATAAAAGCTAAGAAAATAGGGCGAAAAGAGACGGGGTGCGGAACCGCATCAGTGGCGGGGGGAGTTCCAGATACATTGACGATGGGCAACACTAGAAGAGTCTCATTACCGGAGGACTTGGTAGCGGAGAGTAAGGCTGTCTGCGCAAAGAGGGCGTAAAATAGTGTGAAGAGCACTGACGTGGTGCTACAGCTTGTGCGCATTGCGTATGGGCAGCTCCGAAGGACAGAAGTCGAGGCAAACGTACCAGCGTTGTGAGGGGCATTCGAAAATGCTGTCAGTGCTGGAAGCCTTCATAAAAGTACTCGAGATCTTCCGAGCAAGCAGTCGAGGTGCGTACCTGCTGGGGCCATGTCGCGTGTTGCGATATTCCCTCTTATCGCGATTTGCGACAGACATATATTCGCGCTTGACTACAAGGGAGGTCAGTATTGGGTGGCAAAGGCTCTCTTGTCTTGGAGATGACATCTTGACTCGAGAGGTCAAGGCGGGAGGAAAGCGATGACCGTACAGGGGAAGAAAGACTTCCAATCGCTATACTCGGTTTCATACATGTAAGTAGGGAAAGGTCATCTTCTGAAACATGCGAACCTACTAAATCCGATAAGTCCGGCACTAGTAATGCCTACTCTACGTCGCAGTAAATTGGTGTGATGATTCGGTATTATATTATTCAATGACACTATTTTGTAAAGTCATAGGACTGAAAGACTGCTCCCGCTTCAAATAGTGCTTTGTAACATCGTTGCTAAACCTGCCTAATCTCATCTAGAATCAATGGCTGAGTTGGTCGGTCTTGCGGCTAGTATCGTCGGTCTCGCAGGGGCTGCTGCTACCGTATCACCAACGCTTTATGACTTCGTCGGAACCGTCAGATACGCAAAAGAGGAACTCAACGCCTTAGCCATCGAAGCACCGGATTTTTCCACAGTCTTAGATCACCTCAGTGCCGTCTTGAATCAAAACGGGGACTGCATCATCTCGAAAACGGTCGAAACAATAGATACGCTCATCAAGCGTTGTGAGCGTCTTCTCGAAGAGTTTAGTCTGACTATCGATATAGTCTAAGCCAGAGCCACTCACATACAATGGCTGTTACGGAAGCGCAAGACCCAAGAAATGAAATTGAGCCTCGAGGGGTTCAAGTCTACCCTATCACTCATCACCCAGACGGTCATCCTGGGGAAGACGATAAAAGACGGCTCTTCTAGGTATAGGTTTTATGGATGGTACAAAGCTTGACATGTTGACTGCGGATAGACAAGGAAACGGCGGACAGGATCGCGGATCAACAGTGCGCCGGAATATCAGCGTCCTCAGCAGTGCTGTCCTGTCTGACAGGCGGCTTATCGAGAAACTCAACGCAGCCGAAGCGAAGCCAAAAAGATCGAGACCCGTCGAGACGGAATCGAAAGCCTACGGAGAAGGTTCTGCGACAGAGGAAGGATTGGCGTCAGATGATTTTGAGCAGGAAATGAAGATAGCAATAGCCCCATGCGAGACTTTCATACTTCTGCCTGAATCTCAGGGGACAGGCCGGAGTTTTTGGCTGCTCAGAGCGTACCATGATATGCGTCACGATCCACCAGCCTCAAGCGCGATCAATGCTTCGCTACCTTCTTCTGTCACTCAAACGCGAGCGAACACTCATCGGCCTTTTGGTTTATTGACAGACACCTCGGGAAGCGAACCCACGATCAACGAGAAAGAGAGCCCAGACCAAGAGATCCGTTTACTGCTGACAGAATGGACAAGCACAGCTCAATATCTTTTGCAAGGTTATCTTGATGATGCCCCAATTGGTAATACAGCTGGACTATCGTCAGAGGAACCTTCTCAAGAACGACATAGGTAAGCGTTTGCAGTCTGTACATTCCAGATATCGCCAACCAAGGGCGACTTGCAGGAATAAATCCACAAACCAGAGATCGAACACCCAAACCGACACGTCGAGAAGTGAATCCAACATGACAACGCCGAGTGATGGTGCTCTCGAGCCACCGTTCCTGACTTTTGAGACATGGTCGTATCCAGCTAGCGGGCGGAAATCGCTGACAGATTGCTTCTCCGAGCGAGGAGGAGGCTATGTTTGGCGTCATGAAGACCAGGCTAGCAGGTGGTACTACGTTGGAGAGAAGATGGTCCTTGAATATCTAATACGCCATCCAGATGACGCAATCTCTTCGGAAGGCCAGAAAATGAGGACAGTCGTCAGTAAGCAATGGATACCAAAGAATATCCTCATCAAGGCTGGGTATGAACACACAGAGTATGGAGAAGGGAGCTATTCCATTCCCGGAAAGCTAACGACTGTGATTCTGTTGTTTCGAAGAGCCCCTGTGAGTACAACTAACCGATTGAAATCAGCAAGACGTACGAAGTCTGCATTTATTTGCATCAGAGAGGACCGAGAAACTTCTGCCACGTCTAGCAAGCACTCGACCAAAGAAAAGCCAACGTCAAATGGTGAGGGCCATATGGGACTTTGATGCCTTAGCGCCTACAGACCTAAACTTCAAGAAAGGCGACGTTTTTGAGGTCGATGCTGACAGGAGCCTAGCTTGGTGGCAGGGATATAAAGATGGCGCTTCTGGAAGGCTTCCTGCAAGTTACGTTGGACTCCTCACCACAGCAGCATCCGACGCAAAACAAAGTCCGAGACGCAAATGTAACGTCCGCGCACTCTCAGACTTTCACTCAGCCGATGGATCGGAGCTTTCCTTCCAAGCCGGCGACATCATCGAGATCGAGGAAGACCTGTATGAGCTTCGTTGGAAAGGGTATCTGAATGGCAGGCAGGGCTTGGTGCCTGCCCATCGCGTCCTTGTGACTTCTCCGGCGCCATCCTCCTCTTCCGAAAGCCAGCTTTCGGGCTTGATATCCGAAAGTATTCGTCGAACGAGTGAGAAAGTTCGCAAGACTGCTGCGGGCAAGGGCGGAGTAAAAAGACAGTAACTGAGATAATACTCGTTTGATTTTATTATCTAGCTTAACATTATAATGAAATCTTATAACTTCTTTCGCCAACTCATCTGTAATTATCATATCCTATCTTAAATCCATCCTGTGAAATTCGAGAATGTATCCCCGTCTTTGAGACTCGCGCAAAGACCCACTGCCAGTGTATCTCGGGACTCAAACTCCTCTTGCCCATAGCAGGAGCGTCTATGGCTCGACTGTCACGCTCTCCGTGGGTCGATAGCTCGTCTGCTTTGTTGGGAGTTCCATGTGACAGCCCTCTTTGCCCTAGGTGCTCTATCACGTTTCTGTCTCTTTCTGACATTCCGCGGCTTCAATGGTCCCATGGCGATATGGAAGGTCTCACAGCATCGTATCTTGTTCGCAGATGGGCGTCTTAGATCATTGAAAGCGCCGCCGGGGAAGCTTGGATGAATGTCGTCGTACGCAAAGTGCGGGTGCCTTTGCCATGGCAACAGGATGCGTCCAATGGACTTCCTCCGCAGAAGAGGACGCGCTTACTTCACTCAAGTTAGGAAGGTCTTGAAGCTGCCGTCGTTGCCAAATATGATTAAGAGGCGTTCGACCGAGGATGTGAACAGTTCAAACAGTAAGTCGCGTATTGGCAGCTGCGGTCTACCGTAGCACTGCGGCCTAGCGACCTTCACCAACTCCTCTGTGTCATCGACCCGTACAACATCTTGGCCTCCCGGCGCCGAACTCTGGCTAGGATGCAGGGATCTTTGGGGGTCTGCTCCAAAAGGGGCGCCTCGGGCTTACCGGCAACGATGCTAACAAACACCGTATATAGCAATTGCGTCTCCCAGCCTCCTGGAAGCTCCTTCCACACCCAAACTCCATATCAATCGTCGTTCCTTCTGCCCAACATCGGCCAACGCTTGGCAGGAGGTCGTGGGAAGGCCTTGACACTGAGGCATTCCACAGCAACAGGCGTTTTGTTAGAGGGCGCTCTCATTCCCCTTCAGCGGCATGCCGCCAATTACTCGCAACCCTAGATTCTACAGTGCTCGGAGGAGACCTTGATGCTCCGGCACGGGAAAAAATACTACATAGTTGAACAGCGGACATCATGGACGGTACCAATGGTGACGCTGATGTAACACCCATCCAGCCTCTACGTCGTTCGATTGTAACCTCTCCCAAGGACGAGGACCTCTGGGACCATGCAGTCAAGCTTGATGACCGGCAGAAAGTCGACCTCTCACGAGAAGCCAAGAGGGAAGCTCTCTTGGATATCCATGTCGTTGCAGAGAAGGAAAAGACGTCTACAAAAGGGAGACAATGGAAGCTAGAAAAGAGAAGTGACGGGGAGCCGATCGTCTTGCGAGACGTGTTGGGAAGGATCGCAGGTTGGATCGACAGCTATAAGGATGTGGTGATAATACCGTGAATTACGACCGCTGTTCCATGGGCTGCCGTACACGATCCGTTCTATAGAGACGTTTCGAAGCGGCCGTCAATGTCTTCGTAAGGCAATACAGGTCAGGTAAAGGGGATGGAAAGCCTATCATGGACCAGGAGGTTCCTTTGCCAATTTCACGACCCAGGAATGTTTTTCGCGCCCCGATCGTTTAAGCTTTTCAGTCTCCTTGAGGAATAATTTGATACTTCCCATGTTCATGAGAAGGTTGTCACCGCTTGCCTGTGGTACAGGTGCTACAAAGACTGCATACAAATCGATCACTCGACGAAGTTGCTGTCCGATGACAAACTTGTGCAGTATCCTTTTCTAAGTTTTGGTGGTATTTGATGGAATTTGCAGACACTTCTCGACTGAGACCATCCAATCATGCAGTGCATGGCATGACCCAGCCAATCTAAGATGAACGTCATACTCAGAGGTCGTTGGCTCCAACACCAAGAGGACGCTCGAAATTTTCGGGGATCAATTTCGCAACTCGTGCCCGAAGCACTTGTTTGATGCATCGCTCTGGGGGTCCATCCACACAAGGCGATACCTCGTCGTGCGAGGTGCTAGCGAATGAAGTAGGCAGATCACATGGATGCCTACTGTACGCATTGTCCGCGAATGGTCATGTACGGGCAGTGGAGGCTCTCTTTCGGTATGGCGCAGATGTAAATCTAGCTGGCCGCAAATAGGGCTGTGCCTTGCAAGCTGCAGCAGATAAAGCCTAAGAGAAAACTGTTGACAAACTCTTGGCACACGCAATGCCAACGTCAATCTGCCCGGCGACGGCTGGGCAGCGCTATCATTGCTGCCTCGACCCGATTTCCGGTGCGAAAAATATCAACACGATGGAACAAGCGCTCTGTTGTGCAGCTGCCGATGGCGCACTAGATGTCATGGATCCACTGCTCCATAAAAGAGAGTATCAACGCTATCTCCAGCTTTGGTCGACCCCCCTACAGAAGCCAGCTACCTCGGCAAGAACGCGTCGATCAAGTGTTCCCTGAGACGTGGAGCAGATGTAGAGATTTCAAGCTATGACGAGAGGGCTATTCTACTTTTTGCTGCTCAACAGGGCCATGAAACCATTGTGCATTTGTTTCTTGGATCGAGGAGCAAGTGTCCTTGCTTGCCCGTAAGATCAGTGGACTCCGTTGCGCTTTGCAGTTGAGAACGGGCACAACGAAGTTGTGCACCTCGTCTGGAAATCTGATCCCGACGTCGAAGCTGCAGCACACGATGGGAAGAGAGCCTTGGATCCGGCAGTAGAGATGAGCCAAGCCAAGACTATGCTTATCGGCCTCGCAGCGGATGCCAATATACATGCCGGTGTAGACGACGGGCGCAATCCGCTAATGTTCGCGCTGCGCAACGATCGAGGCTTAGCGATCGTTAAATCACTCTCCAATAACAGCGCTGAGCTAGAAGCTACAAGTCGCAATGCACGAACGGCTTTACAGTGATCAGTCAATCGCTTAGGTCTCATGTTTGCGAGTCTCTCGTTGAGTTGTTTGGCCAAAGTGAATGCCTCGCACCGGGGTGACAACACCGCAGAAGGTGCCGACCCGATCTAACAGATGCTTATCGACGGGACTGCTACGACTGGGTTTCTTACGCACCGGCTTTTTGGCTCAGTACACAATCTCAGAACATCTTGTACATTACTCTCCAGCGTGTGCTCTCTCTAATGTTAAGAATTTTGATGGAATGGAATATTCAAAGTCAAAGCACTACCGACGCAATTTATGGAACTGCGGATTAGGCCACCTTCTAGTCCTACGTGGACACCTCGAGGACGCAAGCAAAGCATTCGAGCAATTTATGGGTAACCCAGTCGCAGAGGCCGAGACCATGGATTTCTTCGTCTCATAAGACTCCTGCGAGACCAAACACGTTCCAGGCGACCGATTTGTATTTTGTACATGTACAAATATCTCACGCGGATGAGTATTGAAGCAGTGGGACGGTGAAAATGGAATCTTTTGAGGTTCGCAACGTTTGAAGATGCCGAGTTCGGGGTGGAAAGACCTAGACGCGGGGAAGTTGAAGGAGAGCGTTGAGATGAGGAGGAGTGGCTTGAGCGATTGGGTGAGCACCGCGAGGCTGAGTACCTGGAGTAGCAATGGGGTATACTAGTGCTGAGAGGAGCTTTGGGGTGCGCTCTCTGAGCGCTAACACCGAGAAATGACTGGTCACTCGAGGCAATCCTGGGGATGTTGCATTTGACGATTCCAAAACAATCGATCGCCGCAGCACTTGGTCGTCCAACAGCAGTTTCAGCTCAATAGGATCAGATCCTTCCACAATCCTTCCACCAGGTAGCACGGCACATTGAGAGACGCGAGTCGAGGACTTATGATGTGTGAAATGATACTTTTGTACGGAGAAATCGCGACGCTCAGACGGCAAGCTGCTAGAAAGATTGGCGAACCAGTCACATCTTGTATCATGGCCAAAGCCAAAATTACCTTATGGGTGCCTGGGGGTCGGGCCAAGGCTGAGTCAGGCGGAATTGGGTGATGGATCAACAAGGCTGAAGAGTCAGACGAGGTACTAATCTTAGTACCTACTCTAAAGCCGATAGCCTCACGACCTCGCCCTACGATTGCGACTGTCATCAAGTGAAGTAGGCAGAGACGGGTAAGGAAGCAGGGAATCAGAATCAGCTTCATGCGACGTACCGGCCGTTATTAAAGTAAAGTATGAAAAGAGCTGAGTGTTTCAATCATGCTGCGACAGTCGCAGTTGTTAGCGTCAAGCGCTTCTCGGAAAAGGCTAAAAATAGGAGGTCGGATGTAAACTGGAGGCTCGGCCGAAGCAATCACATGTCAATCTTTGACCTATCGTATGACACGTGTGTGTCATGTACTTTTGCACGTTTCATGTCCAAACAAAAGAGTATCGATAGGGGTCTAGATATTATTATGTAAGGTATCAGGTATTCGTGTCACAATGTCACCGTCTCAGCCCCGCCAACCCTGCATCCCATCCTCAGCCCCAATCTGTAACTCTGCTAAAAGAGTCAAGGTGAGTGAAAAAGAGAAGAAGAAGGAACAGAAGACTCCGCCTCGAATCGGCAGTTTGACACTCAACACTAGATGATGCGCATTTCGCATTAATCTACACTTCTGTCTCCAACATGTTTTTTTCTCTTTCTCCTTTATTATTATTCCTTACTCTAATGGCACCACACAAGTACATGTAGTCCTGGTACCACGTGTTCCCACATGAAACCCAGCAGACGAACCGCATCCCAACCAAAGCATTTTCGTCTGCGGTCGGTCCTCGGAAATCATCATTGGGGGTAGCCACCTCGGAGGATTTTAGACCGGACATGTGCCATATGGAGCGTCAATTAATCAACGCGCTTCTGGCTATCGCTGCAGTTAGCGCCGATTCGGGCTTGCTCGTCGTCAACAGATTTGCTCTTTCATGTAAGCCTCCCGCATTCCGCCTTCCGCCTTCCACCTTCTCTCCACGTCGGCCTCTGCTAACAATCTGGGACGTATTAGCCGGCACGTACAAGTGAGCTTCCACGGTCGCACCAGCACGCTGGAAGATCGTGATAGGCTAACCCGTCTTCTCTAGATTTCCTTTTCCAGTAACGACAACGTTGATACAGAACCTCATCTCGTTCATTATTATCATCGTAGCGGAACGCCTGACCGGTCTCCTTCTCTGTTGCCTAACCCCCAGAGAGTCTGCCGTCTCGCTAGACCCCGATCAAGAGTCTCTTCTTCGTCAAGATGAGAAGCTGCAATCACATCGGACCGAAGTCCAGCGGAGACGGTCCCCACTCCGGAGGACAGCCGTCCATCAACGCCTCCGACATGTCTTCTGGAGGATCATCCCTGTTGCCCTCGTCTACTTTGCGAAGGTTGTCCTCGGCAATGTATTCTTGACGTACGTAGGATTTCTAACAAAGAAAGAAATTGACTGACATGATCCGAGCGCAGGCGTTTACCTCTACCTACTTACACTCTATTGCGGGTCGCAGCCATTCCCCTATCCCTTGTACTGACCGCTTCCCTGAGTGGCGACTCCCATTCGACTCTGGCAACGTCCTGCCTGACTGTAGCAACGTTGAGCGTGGTCCTGGCGATGATGCCACTCTCCGATCTGACCGTAGTGGATTTGTTACAGGGCGCCTCGTTGTCGATAGCTGATGCGCTCTTTCCTATTGTACTTGTAAACGCCTACGATGGGCGGTACCAAAGACGCACGAGTCAAGACAATCTCCCAGATGAGGATCGGAAGCGCTTCATTTCACCGTCGCTTCTATTCCGGATGCAGCAAGAATGCGGCAATTTCTGGTCAATCCTCCGTCACGTGACCTTCCTATCGACCGTCTTACTGGTTGCACATGTCTTCGTCTCCGGGGAGCTGCGAAGCATACAAGAAGATTGCTACGTACTGGACGTGGGTATCCTACGGTGGCTTCTTGCTGCTGGAGGAATCCTCAACGGAACGGTATTGATTCTAATGGCGCTTCTTACCATGGCGGCCTCCCCAGTGATGACGACATTCCTGGCCGCACCCATGAATGCCTTCCAACTCGCCATCTTCATGTACACAGGCTTCAATCACTATCGATGGATCGGCCTTTCAGTCTGCTGGGCTCTTGGTCTGGCCTTTCTTTTCTTCCCAACGAAAGACAACGCCAGCAATTCGACAGCCGCGACGCGCAAGTCCTACTCTTTTGCGCGTAACGTCATCATAACGGTGGTGCTGTGCGGAGCTCTCTACTGCATGAATGGACTAGGACGAGGGAGTAGCGCCTCCCGAGACATCGAAGCGCCAACTTGCCAGAATAGCTCCAGTGTCGAAAGCAAAATTCCTTGGCCAAAAGCACTGAATTACACCAGTGCAATACACGATGACTACCTCGGTATGCGACCTCACGTGGACACTGTCGCGAATTTAACCTTTCTCGTGGAGCAATGCAAAGAAATTGAAGATGGTGGAGGAGTTGATGATGTGGTCAACTGTTTGTCGATCCTGAAGCACGCGGAAAATGAGTATTTCTCCATTCCCAAGAAGGGCCTGAACGCTCGAGCTAGCGAGCCTGACGTCGAGGTAGACCATCACGGCCATGCCATCGCGGAAGATGGGTCACTGGTCAATCATCATGGTAGCTTCGCAGCAGGGCAGGATCAGTCGGATTCATTCATTGGCACATGCGCCGGGCCAGTCATCCCATTCCACGTCTACTGGACCGGCTCCGCCACTTGGAGAGTCGAGCTTTTCATCAAAGCATATCTCTACACCCAAAATCTGCCATGTTCGAGACTCTGGCTGTGGCTGGACTCCGATCTCGACGCTCACGCTGTCGAGAAGATGCTCTGCGAAGACGCAATCTTCCAGCGCTTTCGACCTCTCGTCGCCCGCGGAGACATTGTGCTGAAAAGCTGGACTTTCCCCGATCGGGTACCACTCGCCCGCGAAAGCGCAGGAATCGCTTCCACACCGGACCTACGGCCAAGCATGGTCACCGAAGACGGCGAGACGGTCCTCGCCAACGGCATAGTCATGGACGCCGACGGCCAGCAATGGCTCAACCTCAAGTCCCCCCACGCCTCACTCGCCCCGGTCCAAGTATCCGACGCCGTCCGCTTTATTGTCCTGCACCTCCACGGCGGCGTCTACTGCGACATGGATGTCCTCCTCCTCCGCGACATGCGCCCACTCCTCCTCCCAGACCCCACCTCCGGCTCCCGCGCCTTCGCCGAACAGTGGGTCGAGCGCTGCGCTCCGTACGACTACAACACCGCCGTCATCTCCATTCCCGCCAACTCCTCCCTCTCATCCTACCTGCTCCGCGGCGGTGTGCGAATGGGTATGAACTTCCACCCGAGGGTCATTGGGCGCATGCTCTGGGATGACGGAAAGGGGGACGAGGTCAAAATGCTGCATAATGCGGTTTTTGACCCGTTGGTTACGAATTTGAGACGCGAGGGCACGGGCACGTGTACGGTGCCTTGTCATAAGAATTTCCAGAGTGCGTTCATGGGGGAGGTGGAGGAGAAGGAGAACGAGTGGAGTAACTACCACGGGGAGGTGGTGGAGGGACTTCAGGGAGAGGGGGTGGTGGGGAATAGGAGCTTGGGGAATTTCTTTCGAGGGGCGTGGGCTTATCATATCCATAATCAGGTTCGTCTCGTCTCTCTCTTCCCTTCGTTCTTCTTCCCTTCGGCTAGCGATTTGGCAACCATCCCAGATTCCCCCCCAGGGCTTGTGCCAGCATGGCTGCCAAATCTCCAGCCAAATACATAGCCACGCTACGGCACCCAGACCGCTGACGGCGTGCACAGTGGTGGAAATTCCCCGAACCGACCTCTTGGATGGACGTCATCACGCGGGCTCAAGATGGGTACTTCGCCGGCTTCAGGACCAACGCTTACGGCGAGTGGTGGCAAGGGCCGGTCTTGGAGGGCTATGATCGAGAGAGGTGGTAGATAGAAAGGGATGGCGTTGGGCTTTGTCAACTCGGACCGCGGATCGGGAATCCAGATGCTTTTTCAGACTTGGAAAGGAAAGTCTGGGTGTGCGCTGAGTTTGGGGGAGCCCGAGCACGTGCGTGCTTTTATGCAGTCAGGTGTGGGGTGGGGGGGAGTACGTAAGTAAGTAAGTAAGTAAGTAAGTAAACAAGTAAATAAACCCAATCGATAGCCTTGGTCTCGAGGGTGTACCCGACCGACACACCCACTCTCTCTCCCCCTCACACCAGTGCTTCAGTCTGGATCCTCCCTCGAAAAGAAAAGGAACCCTAGATACCTGACGCACCCCTTCCGGGCGAAAGAGATGCATCCGTCTACCTTATCATGTCGAATCCGATCACAGGGGCAGCTTCCTCCGAACAGCTTTCTCGACGAACGAGCGAACGAGCGATCCCACCATACATGGTTCGCTTCGGGGATTATTTCCACTGCACTGTGAATGAAGCAGTGGATGTGGTGGTGGTAGCTTGATATGTGGGGTTTGCACCATGCTATACTATGCTACTCTATGCTATGCTACTCTACAGCGCACATAAGCTCATCTAATCCTACCCCCTCGCTCGCACCTACCACAACTTCTTGCGCACCGGTCGTGACGATCACAGTAATGACTATATATACCTTACACCCACTCCAAATAATATGGTAAAAAAAGAGGTCTGCTCATTCCGAAAGAGCATACATACACCAATCACTTAATACCATTTTCGCCCCCCCCCCCCGTAATGTAGGTATAAAGTACCTTTGATCCACCTCGCCCGCTTATCCTTGGCACACGTGTCCGTAATTGGCGCGCCCGAGTGCAGTGGCACCTACCTTAGGTATTTCAAGCCACACCCCCTTTTTTTTCCCCCGAAGGCCCCGAACCCCCTCTCGGCCGAGGGACCCTGTTCTGGCGGGATTTCAGATCCGGGGGTGTTTGGGAAATGGCTATTTGGGGAAGGGAGATGCGGAGGAAGGGGAAGGGGGGGGGAAAGGGTTTGATGAGCCAGATCTGGTGGATTCTTTTCGGTTTGGTTTGGGATTATGGCGGGTGAAATGCATGCGCTGTGGAGTACTAACTATAGTGTAGGCAATTGGTTTTGGGGCGGGGGGGGGGGGTTTTTTATCTGATTTTTCCCGCCTTCTGATACGGTCGCTCCGTGCGATGGTTGAGTTTCAGTCGTTGTGTTCTTGCTTGAGGTGATACGTGGGGACGATGGTATTTTCGTTCTGCCTCGTTGTGTTTTACTGCTTTCCCTTCTACCAGGTCAATTTCCCGAAGATAATATTAACGTGGAATTTTTTTTGTCTCTTGCACATGTCTTTGGCCTCGTGGTCCTTCTTCTCCCCACGAGCTACTTCAGCCACGATTGATATCCGCTGGAGTGAGACGTCGGAGTTCTATTTAGGCTCTTTGATACGGATGTGATCGATCCACTGCGGTCATTGAGAGACAGTACTGCCTTATCGAGAGGTTCCAGGTACGTTTTCATCAGGAACGCTTGGTCACTAAACGACAATGCAGTTTCAAGCGCAAGACATGTCTCGAGTGAGAGCAACGCTCGCCGAGTTTCCTTTCTTTCCTATCTTACAATTTAAGACCAAAGGTAATAAATGCAAGGGAAAAGTTGCTGACCTCTACAACCCCACAGATCCACCATCACCCCACGAGCACAATGTACGAATACGACCCCTACGCCGTCCACGCCCCTGGCGACCAACACATCAAACACGTCCCTCTGACCTCCCTCTCCAAACTATCCCCCTACGCCGCCCTCACTCTCTCCATCGTCCTTGTCATCCTCTTCCTCCTAAAACAATACATCATCGAAGCCTTCCTGCTCAAACGCCTCTACGGCTCCAGATACACACAGCTCAATGAGGTCAACCGAAGGGGCTTTGTGAACCATCATATCGCTGGGGCGACGAAGTTGATGATATTGGTGGCGGCGGTGTATCCGTTCATCAATGTCGCGTTCCGGTATGCGGTGCTGAACGACCCCTATGCGAGAGGGAGTCGTGTCACGTTGGGGGACGTATTGGTCGTTTGTACGCAGGTTCTGGTGGGCATGTATATTTTCGAGTTGATCTATCGGGTTAAGATTAGGTACGTCGCTTTTTCTCTCATCTCTACCGTGACAGGGATCAATTTGGCGTTCCGAGAGAAATTTGGAAAGCGCTGTACTCGCTCCTTGGATCTGTATCGTTACGGACGGAGAAGGAAAAGTACATACGCTGACACTGAGAATCTCTAGTCATATCAGCGCTATGCATCATATCGGGACCATCATGGTGGCGCAGGCAGCCATTGCTATCAGTCTGGATTTGACGAGGGAGAAAGATGCCAGTATCGAGTTTATTCTGTGTACCGTATGGGGTAAGCCTCGTCCCACCCCAACGACTACCTCTTGCCCTCAACCTTGCCATCCTCCCCCCTCTCCGAGAAAAACCCAGCCTACGCCGTACATTCCACTCCGGCTAACATCAAAACCAGGCGCCTTCGACATCGTCTGCGAACTCCTCCCCCACATCGCCATCATCCTCTACCGCCTCCACCCCAGCAGCCACCTCTTCCTCTCCCGCCTCTTCTGCTTCGCCTCCGCCACCACCCTCTTCGGCACCCTGGCCGAAACCCTCGTCATCTTCTACCTCTTCGGCTCCCTCTGGCCCCAGTGGCAGCTCGCCTTCAAGATCGTCACGCCCATCCTGCACTGCGCCTTCAGCGCGACCCAGCTGCACGGCTGTCACATCTTCTACCGCATGTGGAAGCGACAGGTGGGGATCTTGGAAGAGGATGTAGACGGTTTGGAGGCCGGTCGGGCAGGGGGAGGCGGTCTGGAGGTCAAGGCGGAGGATAGTTGCGCTACGTTGACGGATGAGCGTGCGGGAGTGTTGGGGCAGAGTGTACTTCTGCCCCCTGAGGGCAAGACGACCGGATAGAAAACCATGGAGCGCACCTATCTACTCCATCGCACGTGCTTTGCTTCAATAACATGAGAATCATCAAAGTAACATCATGCATCAACACCCCCCCCCCTCCTCATCTCTCCCCTCAGCATCCAACGCAAACAACTAAACTTCACGCATCCTACTTCCCCACTTTACCAGCTTGAACCATCGCCGAAACCGTATCCCAGCATCATCACCACGCAAACTACACGAGGCCTTGGCCGATCCTCCTGAGTAGGGATTCTCTATCTTTCTCTACCTTGCCTTGCCTTGCACTTCCTCCCTGCACTTCCCCTTCTTCCTTACTGATATGCAATGAGTGGCTGAATCGAAGCTCGAAGCTCGAAGCTCGATAGTAAGGTTGGTTGGTTGGTTGGTTGGTTGGGCGGCTTGAATCGGGGTTGAGGGTTAGGGTGAGGGTTGAGGGTTGGGGTTGGGTTGGGGTTAGGGCTGGGTTTGGGATTGGGGTTTGAAAGACGTTGTTTTTACTCGCTTACTTTAATGTCGGTATTTGAAATGATTGGTAGGGATGGAGTGGGTGGATGGATGAAGTGGATGGATGGGTGTGTGTGTGTGTGTGTGTGTGTGTGTGTGTGTGTGGGTGTGTGTGTATGTATGTATGTATGTCTACATATTCGTTCAAATCTCACCGCAGCTATTCACTCGTCACAGTTCCACTTCATTTTCATTTCCGTACGAGTAAACATCGTTGTGCTTAAATGTGTTTCCATCCCACCGTTCCTCCCCCATCCTCGTTCTTTTCCCCTCCTTATCTCTTCATCGGTCGTTCACGGTGAAGGGAAGGGGCGGAAGGGGCTGCTTGGATTTGCTGTGCTTGAATCTTTATCCGTGCTTGACCCGCTCCTGCTTCGCCCACGATGCGAAACTTTCTCGATCTCACGGGACAAACGTCGTTCGCGTCGAGTCTGATGGGTTAACGGTGTGAACGAGCAGGGTGATTTGTTGGGTAGATAGGTGGGTAGGTAGGTAGGTGGTTACGGACTCAAATGTTCAATCACATACCTACTTGCATGTTTAGTTACCGAACTACTTACTTCCGTACTTACTCGTTATATGTCTATCTAGTCGGCACCCTACGTGTTAGGGTGAGGGAAAGGGGGGCGTCTTTTTCCATAAGTGTGATGTGCTGAGTACACAGTCTGGGTATATTGTTGTTGGGATGCAGTGGATGTGTGTGGATGTGTTGGATGGCTTGCTTGGTTGATCGCAGCAGCTCCTTGAAACAGGAACTTTCTTCGCTCGGATTCATGGGTGCTTTCTTTTTCTTTCTTTTTTCTGGCTTCCAGAGACGGCGGACTAATCGTCTGGAGTGCGAAGTCTGGGTCCTGGATGTTGTGTTGGCGACGCCAGGCGAGGTAAACTGACGATTTTACTGATGCTGGGGAGGCTCGACGATGCGGCTTCTTCTTCTTGTTCTTCTCGTAGCTGCTTGCAAGTCCACGCGCCCGGGCCGACGACGTGAGGTTTGCTGAGGGGCCGTTAGGTTGGAGTAGGGGGAGGAGTTGATTGAGGATGGCTGTGAGAGCTAGCCGCTCTTCGTTTCTCTCCCTTTCTCTTCCTCTTTCTCTCCTTCTTTGCTCGTTGATCAAGTAACCGGGACGAAAAGGTTGGCTACCTACTTGACTTCTGTGGAGGACTATTGAAATGGCAGAATGGGGTATTGGACACCTTTCACCCTTGGAGTTTCGCGCAAAGAATTTATTCTTCATGTGCATTAGCGCGAGTGATGAATTTCAGAGAGTATGATGATAGGCTGATCTGATCTGGGGGAATCAACACGGTCGCTTGCGAGCTGTAGAAAACAGGAGGAAAAGGAACGTTCGTGGGCTTGGCCTAACGAAAAAGGCGGACTTTGCGATATAGGGAGAGGCGTTCGCGCGTGACGGCAGGCATACGTTGAGAGGGTAGGATGTGGAGTGCGCCATTTTCATTATCCTTTTCTGGTAACTCAAAACCTCCATTCTGCGCAACAAAGCAAAGTCCAGTTTCTAGACAGTACCCTTTAAATTATGACTTGAGACTGGTCGGATGTGTTAAAAAGATTCTCTTGAAAGGAGGAAAGATGTCGTTCCCCCAAATCCCTCGCTCCGTATTTCTGGATACTAAACTATGAAGGAAGTTGCGTAGGAAACCAAATTTTCCGACCTGCGAGGCGGAATTGTTATTTTTCAAGAACCGTATTTCTTTGAAAAAGACGACATTGCCTTTGTTCTAATCTCAGTGGCTGATTGCTTTTACTGCTTACGAATAACTCATCACAATACCAGCGCAGTCTTTAATTGGGAGAAAAATCGAACGCTTCTCTTCTTTGCTCAACTTAGTACCAATGACTATGAGATTCAGATATACAAATCGTACGTACGACCTCATCCAAACGCACCACTCTGTTACCATTCGTCGAGACCGGGCGCAAGGCCAGGATTGTGACCAGATGCATAGACCAGATTCCGATACTTCCCTCCCCACTCCGTCGCCTTGTGAACCTTGACCCGTTTGTTTTCTTGCATCACAGAAATCGTATGTTGCTGGTTGGAGGCGGGCGATTACCACATGAACACTATTACTAGTACCGGGATCCGTCAGTTGGCGTTTGACATACGTATATTCAATTGGTCGCTTGTTAGGAAGAAGCGCAGTATATTGAATTACCATTGACGACCCGCCAGACAAACAATTCCCTCTTAAGCTACATCACCACACCATCTTTAGTAGGCTTTTCGGTACCTACTGTACCGCCTCGCTTCTCTCTTCTGTTTTATCTTGCACTGCAGACATCTCCACGGCGTAGAAGTATGAATCACAATAAAAATAACTTCCTCGTCCTGCCCTTCTCTATTTCCATCGCCCCTATCGGATTCCTCACAGTGATAGCCAATCAAACTTGAATTCTGCTTCGGCGGAAAAGTAGAAAACGGCCTTCTCCTACCCTATGCTATCCCATCCCTCACACGCGGCACATATGCTACACTCCTCTTTGATATCAAATATGCATGTCACACCCGGCAGCCCGTTCGCTTCATCGTACGTCAGCGGAGAAGTTGGTACTACTGTAGGGAACAAACCGTTTCGAATGGATAGAGCTCGAGGTGAAAGTTGGAATTAGCTAAAGTAGAATGTGATACATGAGAGCTGTATTGAAAAGATGATTGTAAGTAGATAGAGCGCGGTTAGAGAGAGGAGATGTGTAAAGGGGAATACGTTAGAGAGGATCTATTCCGTGGAGAAAGGGAGGGAATACTTACGATGTACCATCGCGCAATATCAATGTCATAGGAGCAGAGATAATAGATTACTAGCAGACTAGCATAGAAGGTAGCACTGAGGTATAAGCTCTGCTTACTAGTGTACTGTCTCATGACGGGGATCGCGAACACTCCTTTGAAAGTCAAATTCCTGCGGCCCGTTGTCAAAGTCCTAAGCGCTTTCATCATTCAGCGAGCACCATCTCCCAGAATTCTTCACTAACTTCTGATTCATTCCTATTACTCGCTTTCTGTTCTACCATCACTGAACATCATCTCCGTCCGGATGCAGCGACCTGTAGCAAAGACACTTCCGATCCAGTCCTGGACCGCCGATCTGGTTCTCTTCAGTAGAGTCGGCGGCAACTGGATACGGCAGAGCTCGTTTGGAAAGTTGAATCTAGACCGCCAATACTCGGGATTGAATTCCACGCTCGCCATTTTCCCGGACACAAGCTGTACATTGCGCACTGGGCTCGTGGGTAGAAATGCGGAATTCTCGGAGAGGACATTGTCAGGAATGTTTAACCTAAAAATATTTAATTTTTTTATATTCCCTTTTTCTATCTAACCGAACGGAGAAGACATCGAGTCCATCAATCGTCAAGCGGCTAGATCCTTGGTACCCTGCCGGCTGCCGCAGATGTTCGCGACCCATCTGCCAAGAATCGTTGCAGATTTCTGGGGACTGTCCATCGTGGCAAAACTCTACTAGCATCATGTTCGACGTCCATAATACAGCCGAGTTTGGCGAGATCAAAGCCGTCGGGTGCTGCAAGCAGCGCGTGCCTCTGCACGACGATTTTCCAAGAGGCGAGGTGCTTTGAGTGGACCGAATTTCAGTGTATCTTCAGATTTCATTGTGAGCACTGCGCGGATTACTTGTTGGGCTTTGTGCATGACTAGGGGTGCAAAAGTGGCGTCGAGGTGAGGAGTGTACTTACGCATGTAAGCAGACAGTTGAGGGAAACTTTCAAGCTTATCCTTCTTTTTGTTACTCCTTCTAGAGAATCCTTGGCACAAGGTTGCGGTCGTCCAACATTTCCGAAGATTAAAGCCTGGTGGGGGGATGTGTTCTTCTTTAAATTCTCCGGGACCGGCATGGCCAGTTCCGGTAAGATATCAATCACTGGGGAGATTCTACTCGATGGAGTCAGTGTCTCCCACTGCGCCAGAGTTTCAGTGAACACCCTTGCGCGTTAAACTTTGGTGAAAGACCCACAGGCAAAGAGATAACCTATCCAAGTCAGATCTTCAACAGTGAGTCTCGAGCCGAAAATCTTGGAATTTACAAAAAAGGCCATCCCACACAACGCGCAGTATGAACCGTTACTCATTTTGGGTTATCAGCGGAGACGATAGGTACCAACTCAGCCCAGTGTGAGCTACAAACAGGCGCTATATCAAAACGAAAAGCAAGAAACTCAGCAGCTTTTGAGGACATCATTCTTGACCCAGCATTGCATGAAGCTTTGCGTCCATAGGATTGTCTACGGACCGGCGCAAACCTCACTACGTATTGATAGCGGGGAGACTCGGTGACTATGACTGCCATCTTGGTATTGGAATGTATATAGATCTATGGGAGTGCTGAGTGGGCTACGTATACCCCTATTTGCCACCTCTATTTGCCACCATGAGGGGTAGCTACAACACAGGTGCTGCAGCAAATCTCGACACTTGGGCTAAACCCCGCCATTTTGGTAGATCTGTCGTTCCAAGCTCTGCAGGATGCTCCATTGCAGTAGCGCAGATCGAGAGGACTTGAGGCTGAGTCCTTTTACTACATACGGACGTCAGATTCCCAAAAGGACAGGGGTGTAGACGGCCGCATCTTCATCCACTACTTGACGAATCCTACGGTGAGGACTGGGAGTCATGGTACTCTGTGGACAGCAAAACTCCAGATTTAGTGAATCAAGCAGATTCATGGCGAAGAGATGAAGAGACAAAGTCTCGAGAAAAATCAGCTGTTAGTCACGTGAGCTGAGATCCGACGATTTGTCAGCGCTTTGCCACCTGCTACAACATGAACTCTGCTTCAACTAAACATTCGACAGACTGTAAATGTGAATCTACCGTGTTAATACTCCTGTCACTCAGTCATGGCAGATTTGTGATGTTCCAGATCGAGGACTCTTGTATGAATCGTGCAAGTGAGAGTAACTGAAGCTTGACATTGTAAGTCAAGGTCAGCCTTCTTGCAACTGTATCAATGACAGGGTCAGTGACTCCCAGCTTCGAACACTAGAGAATGAAGTCTTTTAGAAGACGACTCTCTGGATATTCTATTCGCTAATTTACGATAACCCAAAGGTAATTACTTTCTGACATGTTATGCTTCCAACAAACTCCTTCAAGCGCGTCAAATTCTTGAGAGTGAAGCTCTGGGCAGGGGGCACTCTGCAAAAACAATCTTCGAGAGTTGCATGGGTTTTCGAGGGCCGAATGGTGTAGATAGATGAGTAATTTGAGGATACAGGTCATCGACAAATGCGTTCTTGGGGGAAAGAGTCGATGAAAGCGTACTTCTCTGATCATTGAATTTTTGGAGAAGGAAGGCAAGTACTGCGTAACTCTTTGAGAGATGAAATTTACGAATGGATGAGTGTACTAGGGATGAATACTATCAACGGACACATTATCTGGGAAGGAAGGCGACAACGGCGTGACTCTCCGACCGATGAATTTTCGGGGAATGAAGTCGATGAACGCGTGACTCTCTGAACAATGAATTTTCGGGGAATGAAGTCGATGAACGCGTGACTCTTTGATGGATGAATCTTACCAGGCGATGAAGGATATGTGCCAGCGTCACTTCTTAGCGTCATGGTAGGGTATAAGTAGACCTTGAATCTCCGAGCGTCAGCAACCACCCCTTTGTAATGGTACGAACATCGAAGTTGGCCATGTATCCTTCGGGTTTACACACTAAATATACACATCTTTTATCTTGACTTGTCAGCTTCTTTCCGTTCATTAGTTTATGAGATGGCTGACTCTCCTCCGCAAGAACAAATGCGAGGACATTGATGAAAAGACTGTCAAATCGTAGGTAAAGGACTCTCTATGTCTCCGCGTTTCTAGCAACTACTAATACTTTTTCTCATTACAGGATCGAACTGTTGCTCATCCAGAAGAAGTTGATCGCGTATGTCGTTGATTTCCCCATTCTCTTCACATCGTTTGTATTAGTACAAAGAGTGACTATTCTAATTTTGTAGTGCGAGGCAAGGAGTGTATCCGAATCAACGCAAAATTCGGGTTCATCGTACACTACCTGATAGTCAGACGCGAGGCCAACAAGAAACTGTTGAACGGTATTTGAACCTGTCATGTTCCGTGCTCTTCATCTATCTTTCTAACCTTCAATAGATGAAGATGACGAAGACTTTCCTCTTCTAGACAGTGATGCGACCACGACATCAAATGATGATTCTGCCGGCTCCCTGCTCGGCTCAGCAGAGATCCAGAACTCATCCAGCTCGCTGAGTTGAGTTGTCGAGTCATTCGAGGCAGCTCCAGACTTCGGGGTAAGAACCAGATGCTGGCCGCTGACCATGGACCTGCTAATAATGCAGTATCCGGGAAGCCCCTGGCAACACCTCAATACTACCAACGAGTGATCAAGCCTTGGCCAATCTTCGAGCGGAGATCAGCAGAGGAAGATGTAAAAACTATCACTCTTACTATGACCGCCAGATCGGTGATGTGGGGGAGCGCATGGGACTGACTCGAAAGATGTCTACCACCGCCTGGAAAAACTTACGAGATAGGTTGCATCCCAACCAGCCCACCAAGGATGCCAAGGGCAAAACGATTCAGTACTGGTGCCTTGGTGATATCTGCCCGGACGAGTACGTGATCCCAGGGGACTGGGACGTCCTTGGTAACTTGCCTCCGAGGAAACGACAGAAGCTCAAGGAGGAAACGGTCAAAAAGTCGACGCCTCTGACCAAAACCACCACACCACTTGCAGCGTCAGCCACGCCAACTTCCCTTCCCAAGGATGCGGCAGTCTAGTTCTGAGTCTCCATCAACGGAAATGCCGTCTCATGGGGTATATACGCACTGCTCTGGACTCTAAAGGCCTGTATCCGCCCACCACGGACGTCGTTGTGATGGCAAATGACCTCACAGTCGACTTCAATCGTATTTTTTAGAAGGTAGAGTGTCAGAAGAAAGAGCTCCAAGAAGCAGTGGATCGTCAAAAGAATGGGCCCACATGGAGCCGATTCCCAGACCTCAGATTGGGACTCTCAAAGCAGTCCAGGTCCCCGAAAGATGATACCAGGACTGGGCCGAGTAAGCACTGCAACACGGTCATCGATACTTGACATCACGAAACCAGAAGATTGAAGCGACCAAGCAATGATAGCTGCTCTTATTGCGATGTCCAACTATCACAATATACATACAGCAGGGATTTTGGTTTGATAGGGCCTGTTCGGGCCCAGCGAAGGGCGCAAGTTACCCGTTGTGACCATTGGAAGCAATGACGCATGCGCGCATAACAGGGGTCGAGTTACCCGTTGTGAGCGATAGTTGAAAAGAAAGAACAGGCTAGCCAAGTACAGCGCGACCAACCCAACCCCCGTCTGCGCGGCCCTGCGGGCCACCAAACTGGTAGGTTGATGCATAGCAATGCGAGACCTTTGGCTCATAGATATAGCTGTGGCTGTTGTCGTTCATGCCGCCCCCCCTGCCGCTGGTAGGCATTTGTATCTGCTCTGAAGACGTGCTTGGCTAAGAAGGCTTGATAGCTCCTCCTACTGCTGCTCCCGCCCCCCCCGTGAGTGGAAGAGATGCTAGATGATTGAGCGGTTGCGCTGACATGTGTAAGGCCCCGCCTGCATGCGTTACGTGCGTGCCCTCGCGGGTAACCCTCGCGCGACCTGCGCCGCTCCGCCTGCTGGCTCGCGCCGGCGTAAGTGCGAGCGGTGCTCCCGCGGGGGTCACCTCTGCGTGGCCGATCCGCTCCCCCCGCCTCCAAGCAGCTGTCTTTGCTACGGCCACCTCTGGCGGTGATGTCCGCGGCGCCTTGCGCGCCTGGGAGGGTACGAGAAATCCTGATTGGCATGTGCGAGGGTATATAGCTGACATGAGTAGCTGCTGGGCGCTCCGCCCGCCTCGCCGCCCGCTGGGCCCCCTCCGCCTTACTGCTGGGCCCCCCCGCCTTTTAGCGGTTTTTCTTGGTAAGAGGTTGCTTTCCAGCATGAGAGGACAGGTAGGCTAATGCTAGGCAGTGTTGGTTGTGGGTACCTCCTTGACCAATCGGCCGTGAGCTGCATCGCAACGAACGGCCTCCTCAGACACATTTTATGTTGGCAGCACCTTCGACCGATCGAAAAGCCCCTGAGGCACTTCCGATTATTCGGTTTCAACCCACAATGCCCGTTCTCCGAAACCTCCCGACCGGGCTCCTGAAGCTTGGATGCGATCAGATAATCGGATGAACGTGACGGATATTTTGCTCCTGGCGGAGAATGCAGCGAGTGTGACAGCGATCAGTTTTCAGGGGACCGACTTGAACATAATTGCTTCGACAGTGACGACGCTTCGATCCAAGGTTCAGAAAACGTATTCCCAGGGCCGCGAAGTGATGGATGCGAAACAGCAAGAAGTCGTTTGTACACAGATCGGAAGCAAGGTTCGTGTTCTTTATCCAACGCCAGAAGACAGTATCACCATCGTTCCCTCTACCGAATCCATCAAGAATCTGGCGACACGAGCCACCGACTCCAGCGACCGAGCATCACGTGTGGCACACGAGAACCTTCAGGAGGAACTCTCAGCGCAGGCAATCAGCGAAGGAGAGGCGCTCGGCGAGGCAGACGATGTCCTAGACGCGCAACGAAACGAACTTTGGGACTTTCAAAATCGGGTGAATTCCTCCAGTGCCGTCCTGCGTACAATCACAATGCAAGAGCATAATGAGATCATCGAAAGCTACGAATCTTGTATGGGTTGTAACACCAAAAAGCTAGGCCTGGTTTAAGCTTTTTGCATAGCTTAGCGGAGAGGTCTGTGGATGTCGCGGCAAGACAGGAACACCGACTCACGGCATTGTGCATGTACCTACAGAATACTATCGACAGCGGCGCCCATATCAAGACTTGACATCATTCCGCAATCGATTACACCAGCCCAGAACCACACAAGTGCCAGTGTAATGCCTGTTCACCAGACCTTACCGCAGCACTCAATGAGGGATTAGCAGTGGAGGTACGAGAAAGGACTCGCGTACTTCAGAGCAATGGTTACGCCCTCGCGCCTATAGAGCCGGAGACGAAGAAGGCAAGCCCAAAGAAATCCGGGAAGGAGGTCATAGTGAGACGATGCTCCACGATGCAAGATCAAGAGAAGAAGGACATAGGACTCATAGGTATAGAAGATGTCCATGCCAAACCTCTAGGGTTAAGATGCAAAAGCCTCGAACCGGAGTCCGACGGAGAGGGGGCAGATGATGAGACTGGAGGGTCGGGTGCTGAAAAACCCAAGAAGGTCAAGACGGGGACCGAGAACGGCACTAAAGGTGTGGAAGGACACTTCGCGCGTCCGACTAGTCCGTCCACAGGCCTAGACTAGTCCAAAATGAAGCTATTCACACAGTCCACAGTCCGTCCAAATGCTTGACCGTCCAAGTGGATTTGGACTAGTCCATGGACTGGTCCGACTACTCCTCCATGGCTCTCAAAGCATCTTCCTTCAAAGTATCGATAACAACATATAGATCTTCCTCCGTAAAGAGACCCACTTAGAACTACAACTTCAGACACTCCAATGACTCTATACTCTCGCCTTAGAACTAGCTTTTTGGTCTGAAATTGTAACCCAATTGCTACTAACAAATTCGCCCATCATACCCAGAAATGCACCACCAAATTCACCTACACAAATTCATGTCTGGACTAATAGTGGGACTAGTCCGTTTAGACATCTGGACTGGTTCATGCATAGTTTGTCCATCCGTGGACCAGTCCGACTAATGGTCCAGAAATTGGGGGCGGACTACGTGTACTCCGGTCAGAGGGAGTTCGGCCATACGATGAGGTAGCACATAAATGGAAGTTCGTGTTCCAGCCCAGCACATTCTCAAATCACTGCGAGAAAACCGCATGCCGGACAGGATCCTGCTCCCGAGCGGCAAAATTGACCAAAGTGTCAAGACTAGTCTACTCGAAGTGAGAGACCCGGTCACGATCGAAGGATATGATAGCGAGAGGGAAGATGAGGAACAGGAGGAGGAAGTCGCAGACGCCATGGATCCCGCCAACCTCACAATAAATCAGCGTTGGCTCGAGCGATTGTTCCCCACAGCACGCCAAGTTACAGACCTGCGTTTCCGAGTTCAATGTGAAACGCGTTTTACTGCCGTTGGTCAAACCAAGCCTATTCAATCTCTTGGGTTTTGGCGCTCAATTCTTCATTGCTGATCGAACTTACGTGGGATTTTGCGGTGGTGAAATGTGCCACATCTTATGACGCTATCGAATCTGTACCGGATTTCTTGGTTGAAGACACGCTCGGGAACGAATTGTTGGGCCCTTGCGCTCCCGTCAAAGACGAGTACTACGGTGAGGGTTTACCTGGCCACGTACTGTATAATAATGTGGAGAAGGATAAGCAGCTGTTCCCACCAGAGAGGACAGACATGTCAGATGCTCAGATGATCGCCGTGGTTCGTTCGGACCTGACAGGACTGGAGCGACATAACCGACACCCGGACGTGTTTGCCTTCGAAATACCTCAAAGCGGAATACAAGAGCCTTCAAAACCCTTTCGGCAATGAAAACCCACCCGGTTCACGATGTCGCCTTCGCCATTCTTCCGTTCCTTGGAGACGAGGGTGTGTGACACAACCTTCCGAGAGTCGTGTATGTGCCGAAGGTCCATGCAATCACACCATCCACGAAGGACATATCGCTCGGGTGCAAGGTGACCGTTACGACTGTGAGTACAAGAAAGGGCAAGCTGTAGAAGAAGTGTTACTGAATCGGAAGAAGGTCACTCCGTAGCCCCCCCCAACAACAGTAACTCCTGCAGTACGTCATGGTATTAGCGTCGTGCATTGCTGCCATAATCAGTTAGTACGATGAGAAAAAAAAACTTGGCGTAACGGCGCCAGATGGCCGTAGCTCCTCAGGAAGATAGCACAATTGAGGGACAGCTTCGACTACCTCTTGATCAACGCATCCGCATCTCTTCGTCATCCAATGACATGCAAAATCCATGTCTCTCGACCCCCATAACAGTGACTTCCTGGACAATAGCGCGCTTCCTTCAACCCTTCGTTCGACCCAGTCTTCTCAGCTACACCTGCGACGGTACATAACAGAGGTCTTCTACTCATCTCAATTATATCATAGCGAGTTTTTCAAGAAACGTGTGAGTCTTCGCTACAGCGACGGATGGGCTGCAGGCCTTATGGAAAGAAACTTGGCTTTCCAGATGTTTGGAATTCATACTCGGCAGATCTTACCGAGAACAAGTCAATGACTGCCAAAGAGCAGCAAAAGATCGACACCCTCACCGCTATGCAGATGCGTCTGTGTCGATATCCTCTTTTCAATGTCGACCGAGACTTGAATCCGTCCTAAAGGGAGTAGACATATATCTGTATACGAAGGTCGTCGGAAAGTATCCTATTCTTCTGCATCGTCTGACATTATGCAGGATGTGCGCTCATCAAAAGGCCAAGAGAACATTGCCCACACTGAGAGCAGTGTTCAAGGATGATCGGGAAAGACTCAAAAGCGCCACGCACACGCTCGGGATGATGGCTTCACAGAGGTCTGTGGGGTATCCTCCGGTGGGATCCGTCGATACAGACCATCACTATGAAACACTCACCCGCATCGATATGAACCTTTTCCCCAGTGCCCAGCTAAGCGCGATACTACCTTGTTTCCCACCGGAGCGCGTAAATTCAAGTCAGTAACGCCCTTTAGCGTATGAAGCTTACCGGTACTGATCGGTCCTAGGGTTCTCTTCAGGCAACGGAATTGATCGGTCCTAGGATTTTCTTCAGGAAACGGAAGTGTGTGCTTTGGCGGTAGCTCTCGGAGCCTGAGGCCTGATCGCCATCTCAGAGGATGGATGATGGCGGAGATCGAACCTTTGAGGATTGAGAAATGCTCTCCAACGAAATTGGCAGATCATGCTATACGATGTTTTGCACTGACGACCGCTGTCATGCTTCATGAGAAGCTGAGGCGTTGCTATTTTCCAAGACTTGATCCATATCGCCGCTGTCGGCTATACGGCGTATCAATTTGTCCCCCGCCTTCGTTATCACCAGCGCGATATCACCCTCCGGTCTAGATCCGCCACCCTCACCACGGTAGTTGTCGATTGATCCTGATCAGTCCTTCTCCATACTTATCGACACCAAGTCGCTCGAGAGCAAACCTGGCCGGTAAGAGACCTTATTGATCAAAGACGTTTACAAACTGATACGGATCAGTGCACCCGTGGCCTGGCCAATGCTAGGGCAACCCATTTCGACCAGGGGGTCAACCCCGCAATTTCGAATTTTTGAAAATCGCAAAATCGCAAAATCGCAAAACTATTTTTTATAGCCACCGCTTAAATAATATATTAATCTACTAAAATACATGCGATAACTCTATAACGCTTAGATATAATTAATTAAATAGTATTCTATTATCGAAAGAAGTCTTAAAATTATTATATCTACTCTTATCGATCTAGACTCTCTTAGATATAAGATTATATAGATATGAAATATAAGACTTTCTAAATTTTAGATATTTATTTAAATTAATAAGTAAGACGATTTATATATTATCTACTTTCTTTCTACTCTTAAATATAATCTTATAAAATAAGATATAAAGTAAAAGAGTTTTTAATTTTATAATAATATACTTAAAGCGGCTAATAGCGAGTTTTTTATAGCTCTCTTCTATAAAGAAATAGTATTAAATATATAGATTCTACGTAATTTATATAAAGTAGAATTTAATATTATAAAGCGTTAGCTTAGACGCTTTCGAATTATTTATAATATAAAGTATAAATATAAGTTAAGCGATCTAGCGATTTAGAATTAAGAGTTATAAGAGAAGTTTAGAGCTATTATAGAGAACTCGATAACTACGAACTTCGATATTAAATTAATATATATATATATATATTAGAATTAAAAAGATCTTATTAGTAGAAATCGCATCGCGATAGCTCTAAAAGAAATAGACTTTAAGAAAGTTATTCGGCGAGATAAATAGGCGAATCGTTATTAAAGAAAATAAAGATTATTAAAGTCTAATTTCGTCTAGTTTATTAATAGTTATTTAAAGCTTAATAATTATAATATTTAGATCTACGCCTATATTAATATCTACTTACGCTTTATTATTTAAATCTATATTAAAATCTTAGTTTATATCGCTATTAATATTAATATATAGTATCTTTATACTATTAAGATAATTAAAATAATATCGAAGTTTATATATTTAGATTAAGAAATCGAGATTATAATTATAATTAATATTTATTAATATCTACGTATAGTATTAAATTCGAAAGACGAAACGCCTTTATTTCGAGACTATTAAATATATAATAAGAGTATTATTAATTAATAAATCGAGTTATAATAGATATAGCTTTACGATAGAGTAGTTAATCGCTAAATTAGATTCTTCGATAGAATAAGTATTAATAACTCTTTTAATAAAAATAATAAGACTTCTAAAATCGCGCTATTAGCTATCTATATATCTATTATTTATAAAAAGATATTTAAATAACGAGATATCTAAAATAGTTATAAGATTTATAAATAGAAAGGCGATTATATCGTAGTCGGCTAGTTATAGAATCTATATATTAATTTAGAAGTATTTAAGATTAAAGAGAAAGAAAGATAGTCTAATTAATATATATATATATATATATTAAAGTAACTATTCTATAATCTCGATAAATATTTAATATTAACTATTATAGAGTTTTATAATTAGAAGATTATTAATATAAATTATAATTCTTATACTCTAAACGCGTTAAATATTAATAAAAATAAAAGCTTTTAATATAATACGATCTATAATACTCTACGCGAGTAGATTTATTAGTATATACTTAAAATCGAAAACTTTAATTCTATTCTTACTATTTTATTAAGATCTTAAAATACTTATTATTAAATTATATATTAGAATATAATAAACGTTTAAGTATAAGAGATTATAGAATAGAAAGAGAAGGAGATAATTAAATCGACGAGATATTTTAATATTAAACTCTTATCTTACGGCGTTAATATAGTAAATAAGAATATATCTAATAATAAGATCGAAGGTTATCGACTATTATACTTATTTTTTTATATTAATAGCGAGAATACGATAAAGAAATAAGATTAATAAGTATATATATTACTTAACGCGAGTATTTACTAAGTTATATATATTTAGCTAGAATATTTAAACTAATATATAATACGATAAACCTTAAACTTTATATTTTTAAACGAATTAAATTTATTTAAAGTCTTCTAGATATATAATAAAGTCTTATTTTTCTATATTTATAACTCGATTACTTAATAACTTAAT